ACAGAGTTACTGAACTCTCCACGGCTCTAGGTTCTCCATCCTTGGTGAAAATGTGCCAAAGTCAGGGCTAACTTATTCAACTCTGTCCCCTCCTTCCCATGTCCCCTGACACAGAGATGTGTATACAGAAAACTTCTGTAATCCTTGAATGAATAAATGAATAAGGTGGACTTTGGGCTGTAGATTTAAACTGGAGTTGGGTATTAGATAATATAAAAAGGAATCTTCAGTACTTAATAACAGAAGGATGGAGTTCACCCCGACACATCTGGGCCTGGTTTTCTATGAAATGCTGCAAACACCCACGCATACGCAGATGTTGTTACATAATGTTTGGCCAGGAGCCCATCGCCTTGGAGATGACTCCGTTGATCTTCATCCCCAGAGCCGCAGTTCTGCACCTTCAGGCAGCAGCAACTAATGGAATCTTCTGGCTTTTGCAGTTCAGGCAGCTCCTTGGGTAGCAAAGAGTCTCCCTGGAGAAATGTGTGAGGTCAGACTGACATTAGGACATTTAAAAAGGTGTTCAGCCAGACTTTAAACAGGAAGTTTCCTTTTTCTTCCCTGTTGTCATGGCACCACCAGAAATTCCTTGGGTTGCTTATTTTTGTATAGGATTCCTAAGTCAGTGATCTAAACGTTGCATTATTCAGGAACGTAGATATTATAGTCTTCCTGTCCCTGGCCTCTCAGCACCAACTGGTTCCAAGGCCACTACTCGCATCACTGCTCCTCATTTTGCATTTCCTCCCCCTGTCTTATAATCTCAGCTGCCACTTAGATACTGAGTGAGGCTCAGAGCTGGGTCCTATATGACGACTGTCACAAACCCTCACATCCCACTCTCCAATTTATCACATCAGCTCATCATTTATTTCATGCTGAAATAAATAGGCAGACAGAGAATGATTTTGTGCCACTTCTGCCTTGCCTGCACAGACAGCTTCCATAGCCACTATATCATACTCCTGTTCCTTTCTTTTCCAGAAGAGTAAACACATAAAAAACAGATTTCCCTCTGTATGTCCTTATCTTCAAGGTCCAGGCACAGGTCACTCACTTAGGGACACTCAATCACATCCAGTATATGACCAAAGGCAGTTAGTGTTTGAGTTGTTTAATTGGTACCAGGATTTAGTTAGTGTACCCTTGGGCTAGAAGCCCAGCATGTTTGCTAAAGAAATGTACCAAACCTTGGGACAAGATGTCCAGTTCATGACACTTCATGGCAATACTATTCCTTGGTGCATGGTGTCTTTTTCTTCACTGCCAGACCAAAAGAAGTAGGGTTCACTTAGCTTCTGTCAGGTCACCTCCAAAGTCCCCCTTCTATTATATGGTTCCTTGTTCTGTTGCTGTTTACTTGGGAGGGTCATTTGTCTTCTTTTTCTGTCTTTAGGCTGCCAGAGTTCTTGTGTTCAACATGCAGTGTCTCTCTAGAAACAGGACATCATCTGTAATTTTTCTGTTGAACCATCTGATTGCATTTAGTCTGAGATTCATAAGAGAATAGGTCTGATCAACCTGGGACCCAGGAACCCTCTGGTAGTGAATGCAAAGTGTATTTGTGTGTGTGTGTGTGTGTGTGTGTGTGTGTGTGTTATGAGGACTTCTCTGACAAGATGGCCAATAACTTATCCAGCTTCCCAGAAGGACCCCTGATCCCCTCCCACAATCCACTGAACTGCATGGTCCCTTGGAGAAGAACATTTACACACTTTCCTTCATGGCCCTCGGTGTGGTTCCCACTTTATACCTAGATTGCTCTGGGTGTAGTTTTGAGGTTACTGTCTTCCTTACGAGACAGTTTCTGCAGGATCAGGTAGGAAAGGGGATTAGAGGAATGATGGAGCTGGAAGAACTGACCTGACATTTGACCTGTCAACAGGTCTTGCAGGTAAAGCTGATTTAGTCTTTGCAGGTGCACCAGGTGGATAAAGGGCGCATATCTGGTTTCCATTGCCAATGTCATCACAAGAATAATCATAGGGAAACTGTGTGTATGCAGGGTACTGTTTTAAGGGTTTTGCATATGTCATCTTGTGTAATGCTCACAATAGTCCCGTGAAGTAGGCATTAATATCTCCATTTTTATAGATGAGAAAACATGAATTGTGTGCAGATGAATCTATTCGAAGTCCCACATCCAGGAAGCAGTAGAGTTGGAATTCAAACCTAGGTTGCCTGGTTCCAAGTTTATATTCTTAATTGAGTACAACATACTTTATCTAGTTATAAGCAGATATTGCCAGAGGCAGTGGAGCTCAGCTGCCGAACACAGGGAGCTCCCGAGCTAAGGGAGACTCATATGAAGCACTGCTTCCTCTCGCTGCCCCACATGGTGGGCTCCTCGGGCTCTATTTATGGTCTTCTCCCCTGCTTCCCCCTTTCTTGTCTACCCTGTATATCATTTGCATGTGCTGCCAATGGATGATAGATGACTTGGAGCTCCCTGGAGAACTTTCTGATGAACTCTGGTGCTTACAGTCCCCTGCCTTCCGATCTTCCCCCAGTGCCTGTCCTGACCGTCTTCCTCCCTGCTCAGCTTGTGCCCTTGATCCTTCTCCCCCACCCAGCCAGGGCCCCAGGATCCATTCCAATACCAAGCTGGAAATGTGGGAATTCTCTTTGCCTTTGCCTTTTTCTTTTTCTCTCATTCATAACATTACAAGTCCCAACAATCTCACCCCCAAATAGCTTAGGATTCCATCCCTCCTCTATCCTCAATGCCTCTGCCTGAGTCAGCCCCCTTGCTTCTCTTCTGACCCAACAGCCTTCTGCTGGAATCCGTCTCTCCAATTCCATCCTTTAGGAAAGTCCAACCACACCCTTTCTTCCTTAGTCCTCTTCATATTTTGCATGAATTTCTTCTTCACAGCAATTGTTCAATAACTTGCAAAGACAATATATATCATATGTCAGATCTGGATTAGAACCCGTCTGCCTTCGGGGTGGAAGCCTCAGTACTGTGCTATGCCCCTCCTTGGCATGACTGAGCTCCCGCCCACCTCTGCAGACTCACGGTCTAGCATTCCCTGCTCCAGCTTCTGGCCCAGCAGCACCACACCTGTGCTCCCTGCATACACTGTGTGGTCTCCCCCAGGCCCTCTCCCCTGTTCCCATTGGTCTGGAGCACCTGCCTCACCCCGCTACCCTGCGACACTGACCATTAAGGTTCAGCCCAGGAGTGATCTTCCCCAGGGAGACTTGTTATGCTCCTGGGTTGGAACCTCTGTGACTCCTCTGAACTTTGTTTGGATTCTCTGTGTGTGTATTGTTCTCATTTCCACTCACAGGCTGTCTGTGGGGGCCCTCCAGGCTTGGGGCTCGTGTCTGTCCTTGTACCTCCAGCACCAAGCCTGACCCAGGGGGCACCATCCTGTGATCATCTTCACCTGCCTGCCTTCTGTAAGTGCCTTTTGCCTGCTCCTCTCTGCTCTGCTCTGCTTTTCTTTTTTTAAACAAGAGGCACGGATCCTTGCTTTATTCATATAGTAATATCCTTCCAACATCAGGGATTGTGTGTGTCTAGGTACAAAGAAGGGAAAACAGGGTCATAAACAATAGTTGGGTTCATCATGGCAGTGATGACAGCTTACCCAGCAGGAGGTCCCCTCAGGACCTTTCTTGGTTGAGGGAAGACTCCCTCTACCACTAACCAGCCAACGTGCTTTGCCAACACTTGGCCTTTGCTTTAAAATTAAGGGTCACAGGGATTAAAAAAACATGGTCAAGACACTCAGAGCCAAACAACTGCTCCGAGGCCCCTCAGTATGAACAGCCTGACAACAAGAAAACCAGCACTGTGTGTGTGCCTTTTCCTTAGCAGGTTGGGACAAGGCAGAGACCCACGAGACAGCCTTCTCCCTGTGTCACTGGGGAAACCCTTCCAATTAAGTCCTCAGGAGGCAGAACTGGAGGTACCAGAAACACCATACAAGCAGCAGCACCTCTTGGTTTCTCCTGGTCACATTCAAATGTTCCTATAGTACAGAAAATAGAAAAGCTTTTGTGGTCGGCCTTTTTCAGACTCAGAACACTAAGTGGGGGATGGAGGGTAGGAGCTTCCTCTAGCATCCCCATTTGGACTCAGAGGAGTTCTCTCTACTGAGCATACCACCCTCCTTCCTTGCCAACACAGATGCCCAGCTAATATTAATGTGCCAGTCACAAGAGACAATGATAGGCCAAGAAGGAAGAAAATTCTAAGGGAGGGTGCCTAGCACTTGGTGTTTCCCTTATATGGTAAAGCTGGAGGAGAACCTCTCACGTAAGGGAGAGAATTGGAATTTTACAGTCATTCCCTGGACATTGGAAATAAGCAGCTACTTGTCCCAGATCTCATGCTCCAACCACCCTCTCATGAGACACCACGTGAACATGAGCCATGTATCTCGAGAAAAGCTGAGAAGGAAAATGGTTCCCCAATCAGGACAAAGATGCAGAGAGCCACCAACTATTTTGTTGTTTTGTTTTTGTTGAATTCACCAAGCACTTTTTTTATATATAAAAAAGAAAACTCGAAGGACACACCAAATTGAAAGAATCACTGTTATGATAACTTTATCTTGCCTCTTACAGAAGTCTATGAACGATTTTTTAAAAAGCACCTCCTCACCTCATCATGTTTTTCTGACAGTTGTGAAAGTAGAACATGAGTATGTCAACAGCTTGAGCATCGGCATCCTGGAAGGATTTCAGATCAACCAACCACTTACCAAAGAAATTGGCAGCTTTTCAATGTTGTTTTTAGTACAATGGTATATCCACTCTGACGGAAAACCTGTCCAGCCAAATTTCCACAATGCGCTTTGCAAAATCAGTGGTGCCTTTTGTCTGCTCCTCTCTGCTCTGCTTTGTAGATAAGCACTCCGTGGGCAGTGATTTTGTCTATGTTACTAACTTCATTCAGCAACGGCTCTGCACAGGGCAGGTGGACCCTTTAGGATGGTGCGTAGAAAGATGGTGAGGAATTTCATTTTCGTTCACTTTGGGTACAGGTGCAAGCCCAGGATCACCGGGCAGCAGTGTGACCGGTGTACTTCTGGGTTCTACCATTTTCCTGAGTGTGTTCCCTGCAATTGCAACAGAGATGGGACTGAGCCAGGAGTGTGTGACCCGGGGACTGGGGCTTGCCTCTGCAAGGTAAGACAGTCGGCACGATGCCAGGGATGCCCAGAGCCAGGAAAAGTTCTTCATGTTGACTCAGCATATAAAAATGGGAGAAATGAGACTGACCCATAATAGAGTTCCATAGTTTGTGTAGCTTTTTGTGGTCTCACTTCATGGAAATAGAAAGGAGACCTCCCTCATCCTTTGGAGAGGCCACAGACACTTTTGAGCATCTGATGATGGGTATATGCTCTCCAGAAAAATCATTGCAAATTTCTGTCTGCAATGTCAAGAGGTTCATAGGTTCCCAAAGCCTGTCCCTATCTCCTGCCTCCTAAGACATCTTCTCTGCATCCATGAATTTTCCCAATGGGCAGATGTTTCCATGTGGTGGTGAGGGGGGTGAATTGGTGTCACCATGCTGTGGGTCCTTGTAGTGCCATTTCTCTACCTTCAGGATATGAAGGGGCATCTTATGAATTCTCTCTTCCATTTGCACATATTATAGAAGCTTAACCAAAGTGCTGTGACAGCTTAGTGATGACATATCTCTGAGTATTTTGTTAACATCCACATTCTAACATCTCGTGTTGGTATTTAATTTGTGCAAGCAGCTGATTGCAATCAGGGAACCTTTAGAAGGAATGATGTTCCTCTTGTTTCCTGTCAACAGGCAAATGTGGAAGGTACGGAATGTAACACGTGTCGAGAAGGATCCTTCTATCTGGATCCAGCCAATCCCAAGGGTTGCACCAGCTGCTTCTGTTTTGGAGTGACCAGTCGTTGTCACAGTACACATAAGCAAAGAGCTAAGGTATGCAAAGAATTAGAGTTTTTGGGTTTTTATTTAATACTTCTGAATGAAAAAAGAAATAAATTGGTGTGAGGTGTTGTGGAACGTTTTGCTTATTGATTGGTGAGAATGCTGTACTTTCTGTTTCTTGGCCTGCACTGATCATGTTCCTAGGATCATTTCCCAAAGTATCAGGTCTCTGATCAAATGTCACATGCTCACCATTCCCTGTCACTCTCTATGTTCTTACCCTTGTTTTCTCCATAGCTTTTATCAATCGCTGATATATCATGCATTTCATTTGAAAAATTTGTTATCTGGCTTCCTCCACCATTAGAATGTGAATTCCTTGATACATCCTCAGAGGCTACAGCAGGATCTAGGATATAATAGATGCATTGTAAATACTTATAAAATGGAAGGAGTTTGTTGTATTAATTAGCTTTCTAACACTGTAACAAAATACCCAAGATAATCAACTTAAGAAGGGAAAAGTTTAATTTTGTTTCATACCTTTGGAGTGACCAGTCATTGTCACAGTACACATAAGCAAAGAGCTAAGGTATGCAAAGAATACCTTTGGAAGTGTCAGTTCATAGTTGGTTCATTCTTTTGGTGAAGCAGTTCAACATGGTGGGAATGAATAGTGGAGCAAAGCTGCTCACCTCAGGGTAGTGGGAATCAAAAGAATGGAAGAGGAAGGGGCCGGGGTCTCAATATGTCCTTCAAGGACACCCCCAATGACCTAACTTCCTTCCACTGAACCCCACATCTTATAGGTTTTGCCATTCACTAGCACTCTGCTGGGGATCAAACCTTTAATACATACTCAAATTATGTTTTTATGTATATGCTACTATGAAACCCACCATTCTGTATAATCAATATGCACAATAAAAAAAGATGCAAACCATAGCCATTATTTTTCCCCTTAAAGAAAATCCTGTTTCTATACTCACAACAATTCTAACATCAAATGTGTGGAATTTTTCCCACATCAAACAGTTCTCCAATTTTCTTTCCAAATACCAACTGGATGTCTTACAATCTAAATTTCATTCTAACATTATCTACCTGGGTAGTGTCAGACTCCACAGGTTAAAGGTTTAGTCCCTCAAGTCTATCCCTGCTTCAAATGCCAATTGCAAATTCTAGGCCTCAGGTATTTTTGACTGACATGGCTACAAATCAGGGGTTCCCACAATTCCCTCCTCAATTTTGATAACTTGCTATAATGCCTAACAGAATTTAGGGAAGCACTTTACTTATTATTACTAGTTTATTATAAAGGATATGATAAGGTATACAGATGAACAGCCAGATGAAGAGGTATATAAGGAGTTGTCTAGAAGAGTCCCAAGCACAGGAGTTTCTGTTACCATGGAGTTGAGGTGTGATACCCTCTCAGCACCCAAGAACTCTCTAAAAATGTCATTTAGGGGTTTTATGAAGATTCTATTATGTTGGCTTAATTGATTAAATCATTAGCCATTGTTAATCAACTCAGTCCCTCCCAAGAGGTCAGTTGGGTAGGGCTGACAGTTTCAACCTCTAATCATACTATGGTGCTTCTGGCCACCAGCCGCCATCTTGAAGCTATCTAGTAGTCCCATAGTCAGTTATCTCATTAGCATGACTCTCTTGTCACTCATGAGAGCTGGTGATCTTAGAAGCTCCAGTGTTAGGAAATGAGGACTAATACCAAATATCAGACAAAAAGATGATACAATCACTCCCTACCACTTGAAAAATTATGACTTTTAGGAGCACCGTGCCAGGAACCAGGAACAAAGACCAAATAGATATATTTCATGACAGTACAACATCACATCCTTCCTTTCTCTTTTCTTCTTATTTTTCTTTCTCTTTTCTTCTTCTTCCTGTTTTACTTTCCTTCTCACCTATTTTATCACATCTTTTCTTTGGCCACTGTCTAAATTAACTTCATAAAACAACTTCTGTTGTTTTCCATTTTTCCATGAACCAATAGCCTCATGCTTGCTTGCTTTTGTGTGAGTAATGTCTTATATCCAACAAAGATTTAAAGGAAGATTATTCTATATATTTTACTGCTTGCCTCCTACAAAGGAGTGCAGACTTATAATTGGAAAAAAAATTAGTTTGTAAATCTGCCCTGGTCTTCTCTCCTTACCCCTCAGGGAAGCAGAAGGCATTTTTCCTAATCTATGCCTTGTCAATTCTTTCTATTTGCTTCTCCCAAAATGGAACCAGCTTCTTTTATGACCAGGAGAATATTTCATTTTGATGACCCATTGGCAAAGAAATAATGACAGCAACACATTTTTCTCCATAGAACTAACCTATTAAATATGCCCATAGTTCTAATTATTATTCATATACTTATTATTTATGATTCAAACATTTGTTGACCAAATACTAAATGTCAAGAACTTAGGATGTGTGCTGGGATACAAGGATAAGTCCTGCATATGCATGGTCACTGCCCTCCAAGAACTCCTAGTCACAATGGGTCTGATGGGAGCAGTGGTGGGTGAGGGCTCCATCATCAGAGTCCTAGGGAGGGCAAGCTCATGGTCAGATGCTTGGGTGCGGGTATAGCTCAGTGTATGCTTTGCATGCTTGAGGCCTGGGTCTCAAAAAATAAAAATTAAAAAGAGGGGACACATAAAGGAAGCCTCTGGAGCTAGGTGGCTATCCTGTGGCTCCTTCTATGACACATAATGCAGCCATCCCCCAAGAGGTCACAGCCTCACATTTCCATGCCCTGCTTTTGTGTTCCAGTTTGTGGATATGATGGGATGGCACCTGGAGACAGCAGATCGAGTGGATGTCCCTGTTTCATTCAATCCAGGTAGCAACAGTGTCGTGGCAGATCTCCAGGAGCTTCCCTCAACAGTGCACAGTGCATCTTGGATCGCGCCTCCATCTTACCTGGGGGACAAGGTAACAATGGCCTGATGTTCTTCTGAGTCCTCTATGGGCCTCCTCTATCACTGCATGACCATCATCTACTGGGGGTCTGGAAGAAAGCATCAGGAAGAAGTTCAGGTTAAGAAATAACCTGATAAATATATAAATTTTAGAAATAAGGTTAATCAATCATGAAGAAGACCCTATGTAAGGGGCAAAGTGCCTCTTGTGACCTGCATGCACAAACTCCCAAGCAAAGGAAATCATAATTCCCTTTTTTTTTTCTCTATTTTTTACTTACCGTCAAAGGATTTTTCCTCCAGGGAAAGATATAACCATTTAAATAATATCTGTTGCACATAGGACAGGTACATCTTTAAATGCCAATGCTGAAGATTCTTTGTTTTAGAGCAGAAGAAAGGCTCCTTGTCAGAAAAACAAAAGCTGAGAAGTGACTCAGAAGCTTATTTAAAGAAGTGCAGAATCCGTGGCAGCTCAACTTCATAAGCAGAATCACGTGCATTTAGTTACATGATCCTTGGGGAGCTTATAAATGAGCTGTTATTCCTTTGCTGCATAAATTATTATTCCACAGCCTGGCCAACTCTGCTTATTTTATGAGGACAGAAATGCAGGCCCCATGTGGATATATCACCTGGTGATATTGCTTCAAGTTTTGCAAGGGTAGAAACTTTGAGAAGGGGTGGATTTCACAGGGCCCACCCCAGGTGAGGTGATCATCTCACATTAAGAATAACTGAATATTAGGATTTTGTTGATCTAGGGTTTCTAATTCTGTCTTCCAGTTAAAGAACTAATCATTTCATGTCTCGAGTGTGAAATGTTGCTTCTCTGGTGGGACCCACTTCTCCTTCATTCAGTATTGCTCTTCACTTCTCTGTGGTTAGCCTATGTGTTGGTTATCCCTTACTGTGTTACACACTACACCAATACTTGGCAGCTTAAAAGCAACAAGTATATTGCATGGTTTCTGTGGATTAAGGACCTAGGAAGTGATGGCCCAGGGTCTCTTCTGAGGTTGTGGTCCAGGTGTTAGCCAGGGCTGCAGTCATCTGGGACTGAAGGATTCATTTCCAAATTTATTCACATAGTTGTTAGCACAGCTTCTGTTCCTTGCTGGCTGTTGGCCGGAGGCCTCAGTTCCTCATGATATGAGACCCTCTATAGGTTACTTGAGAGTCTTCATTACATGGCAGCTGGCTTTCCCTAGAGCAGTCAATGAGACAGACAAAGAAAATATATGATAGAACTCAAGACTGAAGCCTCAATTCTTTATAACCTAATCTTAGAAAGGACATAGTCCCACTTCTGCCTTATTCTGATCATTAACTCCTTAGAATTGAGTCACTAAGTCCAGGCCACACTCAAGGGGAAGGGAATTAAGTTTGGCTTCCTAGAGAGAGGAGTCTCAAAGAATTTATGCACATAATTTTAAAACCACCTTAGCCCATCAGAAAGGCAATCTCAGTAAGGTGATTCAAGATGTCATTGGAATACCTCCCAACTCTCAGAACACAACTTTGTGAGGCTTTGTCAAACCATAGATCTTAGGGAAAACTCCTGTGGATTGAGATCTCCAAAAAGCCCTATTTCTCCCCTGCTTTCTGTTGTTTGCATTTTCCTGAGTATTTTGTTCTGTTAAGCTGAAGTGACGGTGCCTCTGATTCCCATCCTTCCTTCTTGTTTGGTGTTTACTTCAAGGTCAGAAGCATCAGCACAAAAGTGAAGTGATTGTCAGAGAACTACAACCATTCACTGTTACATTGCCACCATGTACATAACTGCTTACCCAGCACCAAGACAGTTCATGTCCCTAACACAGTTGTTGATCATGTCGTCTGTACCCAGTATACTTCATAATAACTTGGGAAATATTCACCATCTGTTTTCAGGGGACGTTTTTAAAATTTATTTTTAGAGGTTCACATTGTGACTGATAGATATTATCCAAGTCTCTTGGTTAAATAAGAAACCAGTGGCCTAGATTTCCTAGAATTGCTGTAGATTAAATAAATATTTTGATTTCGTAGTCATCTAGGAAAAAAACAAGATTTGTGTCGACTATTATTTTTCTTTAAAAAGAGTCTCTTCTCACTTATAAAACTCAATCATGTTCATGCTAGACAGTTTAAATGATATAAAAAATGGTGTTCACTAGAAGGTTAAAATATCATCCCCAGGGCTGGGGTTGTGGCTCAGTGGTACAACACTCGCCTAGCATGTGTGATGTGCTGGTTCTATCCTCAGCACCACATAAAAATGAATAACTATTGTATCCAACTACAATTGAATATATACACACACACACACACACACACACACACACACACACATATACATATGCATACATATATGTATATGTATAAAATATTATCCCTAATCCCACTCTCTAGATGTCATCCTTGGTTTTGTATTTTTCCTGATGTCAAGGGCCTTATATGTGGGTTAATATTGGCATCATCTCTTTTAACACTATGCTGTTACTTCATTCTAGGTTTCTTCATATGGTGGCTTCCTCACTTATCAAGTCAAGTCATTTGGCTTACCTGGTGATATGGTTCTTCTGGAAAAAAAGCCAGATGTGCAGCTCACTGTAGGTATCAGAACACAACTCAAGTAGCAGAAACAGTGGTTGCAGTTTGTGCTGAACTAAATTGAGGACATCTTGATGTGTGGCCTATAAAAAGTTTGGATACAGTTGTTTCCAATGTGTCCCAAACTGAAAAGGATCCTGTATCCTCTGACCAAATGGTCTCTCCTACCCCCAAAGCATTTAACTGTGTTTCAACCTTGTTTCTCACAAGTAACTGTTTCATGTTGTATGTTTTTGTGCTTCTGTCTTTTGATTTAGTTTCATTAATGGTTTTTGAGCTCTTGTCACATGCACTGCTGGGCTCTGTAAAGGATAAGTAACCCTGTCCTCTAAAAAGGGGGAAATTGGATAGATAGGCAAATGATTTAATCCACGGAGCAGTAAGTATTTAAGAATAAACAAGGCTGTATTGGAGCTGGAGGCTGAGTCCAGGTGGAAGTTATCTAGGCTGAGAGGCCTGCAGAGGGCTTCATGGAACAGATTCCTTTTGAGCCAAGTCCTTAAGAATGGATACAAGAGGAGAAATGCCTCTCCAGGAGAAAGAACTCAGGGAAACCCAGGTGCATAGGGCAGAGGAGGCGGTGCTCAAGGGAGACCAGTCCAACTTGGCTGTCTTGTCAGTGTGTGTGAATTATTGAAAACAAACCAGGAAGGGTAGGGAGGGTGCTTACTGATATGCTATGAAGTTAACTTGATATAGATAGTGGGGGGCTACTTTGGCTTTTGGGGAAGTAGCATCCACACTCTATATGCCTGGTACACAATTGAGACCGGCAATCTGGAAAATTCCTTGAGGCAGGGTGATGTCATATCCTACTTTGCATCCTCTACATTGTAGGATGCTACCTCAAATGCAGATATCGGGGTTCCATAGTCTGAAGGTGGCCTCATTTCTGGTTTATATGCTCCTGATTAAATTCAATGCAACTGAAACTTCCTGAAGGGTTTTCTCATGTCAGTTACTATCAACAGGGTTGTTTCACAGTTTCACACAGCTCAGCTGAGGGCTTCCCATGCTGAGTAGATATTTACGTTGGGGCATGGTCAACCTATGTTTTATTTTTAGTCATAAGCAAATATATTGACGTGTTTCAAAAACCCCAAGGAACCTTTGCAGGTCATCTTGAAAATAAAGTAGGAAAGATTTTCAAGTTATAGCCTAAGGAGAAATAGCTACCCAATAAAAATATTATTGCAGCATGCTGTATTTCAGTTTCATGGTTTAGTAGGGCATCTCAGCTCAGGCTATCAGTGTACTTATTTTTAGTGCCGGAGTTGATTATGCAAACGGTTGGAACTCACTGAGAGGTAATGACCAAAATTTCTCCTTAATTTTACCTTTAAACTTGGAAAATGGTTTAGGCTCATGAAACATTTACTCCCCTGCTTTGTTCTAAACCACTATAATTAAGAGCCTTTCGGGCATGTTTCTTAGATTAAGGCTTTAAATGATTTGTGATTCTAGATAATTCTCTTCTTTCTGAAACCCCAGTCCTCATGAATGGAACGCCTTCAGATTTGGAGGTCCCACAGAATAACTGGCTATTCTGTGTGTACTTGAGGTAGGGTTGCTGATGGGAGGTGCCCATCATCCCATTCTTCTCTATTAAAAGCCCCCTAAGAGCCAGTGTAATGGCTCAGGGGTGAAGGCTGAGAGTGAGCAAGGCTGGATCCCACAGGACAAAGGCTACAAGCTAATTCCTCCCTCCACACACCAGCTGTGTGGTTCCAGGCCTAGGCAAGCTTCACAGCTGGACTCTGCCAACCCTTGCTTTCTCCCTCCCCCTCCAGTCACCCACTCACCAAAGCACTTTCCTGCTACCACAATCTGGCACTATAAGCAATGATGAAAACAGCACCACATGCATTTACTGCAAAGCAGGATATTTTTTAAAAAATTGTTTCCATCTTTTTAAGTCATTTTTCAGTTAAGCCAATTTTCTTAATTTTCTACATGTGAAAATCACTGTATTAGCTGTTATTCTGTTTCCATGTTGTTAATCCTTTTACCTGAACTTCATTTTAGAGTTGAGCTTTTCAAATAATGTAGATCCATAGATATTTGTTTTTACATAAATTGTAAATCTTGAAACATCCTAACCAAGGACTGGTACTTTCATGTATTTCTTTCAACAGGGTCAGCACATGTCCATCATCCATGAGGAGTCAAGTGACCCCCGGCCAGATCGACTGTATCATGGGAGAGTGCAGATAGTTGAGGTAAAGGAAAAGCACCTATTCAATGGCTCCCTTTTGGTGAGGCGGAGGGTATCAGGGATTGAACTCAGGGGTACTCAACCACTGAGCCACATCCCAGGCCTATTTTGATTTTATTTAGAGACAGGGTCTCACTGAGTTGCTTAGCCCCTCACTTTTTGCTGGGGCTGGCTTTGAACTCAAAATCCTCCTGCCTCAGGCTTTTGAGCCTCCGGAATTACAGATGTGCACCATTGAGCCCGTTGCCTATTTAATGGTTCTTAATGATCCCTTTTGGTTTGTGTTCTATTTATTTCAGCCAATCACAATTTTTTATTTAAGAATTTTCACATATAAGTTATGTTTGTGTAGATACAGTTTATATATATTCAAAATACAAATCACATAAAATATAATTTATAGATTTTGTTATTTATTTATTATATATGTTTATGTATATCTATGTTCATAAATTTTTGTTTGTGTAGATATAAGTTTATATACTCAAGACACAAAATTATATAAAATATAATTCATATACTTTAAAATATAATTTATTTGATGTTCACGTTGCTTTGTGTGTACCACCTTTATGGCCCTTTAACACACTCTCTCTCTCATTTCACAGTTAATTAATCTTGTTTTATAAACCCTGTGAGCTTGTAAAGGCTACAACATAGCTCCCTCATCTGTAAGTCTCATTCCTAAGTCTCCCTTAGTGCTTGGGACCTGATCAGTGCCCAACAAATTCTTGGTGTGGATGGGTAGAAAAGCCCTGAAAATGTCTTACATCAAGAGAAATAAAAATATAGTCAAATAAAGCCTCATCAGATCATAAAATATTTTATTACACCTACTTGATCATAACTATTCCTTAAAAATATTGTTCCATTTATATTATTAAGTATATGTTCAATACCTCAAGATGACATTTTTTTGAGTTCCTTGAACTCAGGCATATTTCAACATTTCTGTACAGGTACATTTGTAGAACATTGTCTTTATTTGACATGATTAGAGCTTTTCCCCTAGAAATGATATTGAAAACATTCAGAGGCAGTTTTATTCTTACTTTATTACTACCTGAAGTGATTGGGGCAATCAGTAAGGTAATCACAAAGCTTAAAATAAAAATGCCTAGGAATGAGATGTCCATAGGGGCTTTGAAAAGCTCCAACATAAACTGGGGATGTGGGAGGCTACACTTGCTCAGAGCTGTGTACACATTCAGGTATGTGAACATGCAGAGGAAAAACCTAAGAAGGCCCTACAGTTCTCACTTCTGGCTGACCTCGAGGGACTATGAAAGCAGGAAGTGAAGGCTAAAAAGGACCTTCAAGCTCTTGTCATTTTTTTCTCTCCTGTCTGATTTAAAAGACAACTGCATATAGCAATAATTATCATCGGTCTGGTTGAGAGTCAAAGGGGTTCTCCAATATGTGCACAGAACCACTTTGCAAAGATTAGGAGACTTTTTGACTCCAGCCATTTAAGGAAATCTCTGCGGATTATTAGCTGATCATCAGGGTAACAAAGCAGAGACTTTAGTGGTTATTTACAAGAAATACAGACTTTACAGGTTTAGTTCATCAAACAAACAATAATAATAAATTCTAGGGAGTGGAGCAAATATGATTTCCAGAGATGCCACTTTATATTATTTTAAATGTTCAGCTTTCAGCAAAAAATTGGGGATATGTGAAGAAACAAGAAAATATAGTCCATAAAAAGGGGAGTTAATGGAAAATCGATAAATAACACTTTTACTGAGGAAGACAAAGACATTTGACTCATGGAGAAAGACTTTAAATCAGCATTTAAACATGCTCAAAGAACTAAAAGACACCATGTCTAAAGAAGTAAAAGAAAATCTGAAAACAATATCTCCCAAAATAGAGAATATAAAGGAAGAAATAGAAATTATAAGAAAGAATTTCTGGAGTTGAAGAATTTAGTAATCAAAATGAAGAATTCACTAGAAAGGGTTGCTGTGGACTGAATCATGTCCTTGTGCCTTCGGTTGAGGCCCTAACCTCCAGTGTGGCTGTGTTTGGAGTAAGGCAGTAATTAAGGTTAAATGACATAAAAAGGTGACGCTCTAGTAGGATTAGTGTCCTCCTAAGAAGAGACACCAGCAAGCTCACTCTTTCCCCCATGTGACCCAGTGAGAAGATAATCACCTGCAAGTCAAGAAGAGAGCCTCACCAGGTGCCAAAGCAGCTCAGCCAGCACCTTGATCCACAGCTTCCAGCCTCCCGAACTGAGAGGAAATCAATTCCTTGTGTTTAAGTCACCCCGTATATGTTACTTTGTATGTCAGCCCAGGTTGACGAAGACAAAGGCTCAGAAACAAATGTAATCATGCAGAAGGAAAAAAATCAGCAAAATTAAAGAGGGTCAAGTAAGATTATTCAATCTGAGAAACAGGAAAAGAATGAGGAAAAATAAATGGACTTTAAACAACGATGGATACCGTCCAGTGTATGAACACGTGCAAAATGGGGATACGAGAAAGAGAGGGGAGAGCAAAAGGGAAAGAAAAAATATTTGAAGGATTAATTGTTGAAAACTTCCCCCAGTTTGTTGAAATCATTAATACATACATCCAAAAAGCTCAATAAATCTCCGCATAGGACTAATGCCAGAGATCCACACAGAGACATACCACGGTGAAGATGCTGAAAGACAGAGACAGAAAACCTTGAGAGTAGTGATTCATCACATCCAAGTGGTCCTCAATAAGATAAATAGCTAACTCATCTGAAGGCAGTGGCAAACATGTTCAAAGTGCTGAAAGAAACACATCATCAATAAAGAATTATATGATTCTGCAATCTGTATATGGGGTAAAAATGGGAGTTCATAACCCACTTGATTCAAAGTGTGAAATACGATATATCAAGAACTATGTAATGTTTTGACCAACCAACAATAAAAAATTTAAAAAAATAAAAATAAAAAATAAAGAATTATGTATCCAGCAAAATGTCCTTCAAAAAAGAAGGAAAAATGAAGACATTCAAGTATGTGTGTGTGTTCATATATATGTATATATATATAAATATTCATTCATATATGTGTCTGTATATATGTATTGCTAACCAACTTTGCTGATAAGAGATGCCAAAGGAATTCCTTTGGATTGAAATGAATGGACACTAAATAGAAACTCAAAAATCCACATGAAGAACTAGATCATTGTTAAAAGTCAACCACAGAGGTAAATATAAAGGACCTTCTAACTCTGGTTTGACATTTTTTTCTCTCCTGTCCGATTTAAAAGACAACTGCATATAGCAATAATTATAAATGTTTGTTGATGGGCATATAATGTATAAATATGTCATTTATATGACAATAATAACCCAAAGGAGCAGAGAGGAAATGAAGGTAATAGAAGGAAAGTTTTGGTGGACTATTGACATTAAGTTGGTATTTATATAAATTCTCCAGCATGGGTAGATCTATAGAGACAGGGTAGAGATTAGTGTTTGGGAGGGGGTGAGAATGGGTAATAACTAAAAATGGGCATATGGATTCTTTGGGGGATGATAACATATCCTAAAATTACATTATGGTGATGGTTGTACAATTCTGTGAACTTACTAAAAATTTTACACCTAAAATAAGAGAATATTATTGTCTACAGATTATACCCCAAGCTGTTAAAACCATCCATTGAAATTATTTAAGTATTATATTTATGTTAATAATAATAGCTACCATTGATTGAATGCTAGGCACTGTGCGGAACATTTTATACACATTATATTTAATTTAATGTTCATGACAGCTTTGAGATATTAGGTATTACTGTGCTCATTTAATAGATGTAGAAACTGAGTTCAAAGGAGACAACAGAATATAAAGATCAAAAGTGAAAGCTTTTGCATGAAAAGATGCTCAGCATCATTAATCATTAGAGAAATTCAAATCAAAACCATAGTGAGACGCCACCTCACCCTCATTACTATGATTATTATTAAAACAATAACAACAGTAAAAATAAATAAATAACAAGTGTTGGCAAGGATATGGAGAAATTGAGACCCTTTTGCACTGTATGTAGGAATGTAAAATTGTGCATCTGCTGTGGAAAACAACGTGGAGGTTCCTAAAAATGTTTATATAGAACTATCAATGTTGCTTCTGGGTGTATATCTAAAAGAATTGCTAACAGGATCTTGCAGATATATTTGGGGACCTACATTCCTTGCAGCATTATCCACAAGCAATGGAAATGACCTAGATGCCTATCAATAGATGAAGAGATAAATAAAATGTAGTATACACTTTAAACAGGATGACAAACCCTCGTGGGTGAACCTTGAGGACAGTGCCCTAAGTGAAATAAACCAGTCACAAAATGACAACTACTATGTGATTCCACTGATGGAGTTACAAAAGTATTCTAACTCTTGGAATGGTGGTTGCCAGGGGCTGGAGGAGGGGCAGAGGGGGCTCGTTTAGTGGGTCTAGAGTTTCCTTTTGCGAGAAGAGCAAGTGCTAGCGGTCCATCATGCGGCATTGTCTTATAGCTCACATTACGGCACCGTGCACTTAGAAATGATAAGCTAATAAATTTCATGTGATGTGTTTTTACAACAATAAAAATAAAATGAGTATGTGCTAGATTGTACTGTCACCATTATGTCATTTAATGACTGCCTTTCCTATATCTTTCTCAGTCACTTTTTATTTGCCCAGACAAATGTGCATTTTAAAAGAAAGCATAGCACGGGGACATGGCATATCATTTTAGTGCTCTCGGTTCCCCACCCTTCTTTCCCCACATCTTGTGTTTCTCTCCCTTCCTGGGAGTAACCCAAGACATCTGTTTCTGAATGTAAATGTCCCAGGAGGGACTTCCCCATCTTAGTTGATTGGATTTTCCATCTGCCTCCTGGATATCTTCCTTTGCATTTGTTCTGGGGTCTGCCTCTGAACTCCCTGGCAGTGAGACTGCCTAAGGAAGCCCCTGCCTCTCCATTTTCCCTTACAGGGAAACTTCAGACATGCCAGCAGCAGAGCCCCAGTGTCCAGGGAAGAGCTGATGACGGTCCTGTCTAGACTCCAGGGGCTGCACATCCGGGGCCTCCACTTCACCGAGACACAGAGGCTCACCCTGGGTGAGGTGGGGCTGGAGGAGGCCTCCGACACAGGAAGTGGACGCAGAGCACATGAAGTGGAGATGTGTACCTGTCCCCCTGACTATATGGGTGACTCATGTCAGGTAGGAAAATTTCCCACCCACAGCATTCCCCTGGGGCAGCAACTGTGGCTGGCTAATTTTTGGCTCCTGTCCTGCACCACGGGATGGTTTGAGACACTTTGTCCAATCTCCAAGCTTCTGCTGGGCTAGAGCTTATGTTTTACCTAGACTACCTCCAGGAAATAAATATGAAAAAGGTATGCATGGGACACCACAGGCGTCCAGTGGATGAAGAGATCAGAAGCAGAAAGGAGCCCACTGGTCAGCATCCCCATACTTGAATCTCTGCTTCCCATGAGCTGACCCAGAGTGCTTTCGCCTTTTTCTAACTCAGTTCCTCCCTCCCACCACCTCCTGGTCTGCAGAAAGAGTAAAATTCCAGAGAATTTCCCAGATTCTTTGAGAAGAAATCTTGCTCCAATTTTCTAGTTCTCCGCAGGTCTTCATTCTTTAAGGTCCTGTCAACCCGAATTGTCCTCCAGAAACTAAAATGTACCCCCCAAAATGGGATTATTTAATACCTTACACTATAAATGTGCTCTTTCCCCAAAGGGAAAGCTCCATGTTAGTACAATGAGCAGGAGAAGGCGAACTTCACCATTCTCTGTAGTCTATATTCAGAATGTGAGTGGCAAAATTCTTCACTTTCTTTCCTGGCCCTTTGAGAGCAGAAAACCCAAAGGTGATCTGCACATAAGAGTTCTGCTTTTTAAACTTGGAAATATCTTCCTGCTGTGGTTTTCTGTCCTGTCTTGTGACTTTTAGCCCATAGATCGCCTCCATTCATCGCCCTGTCCTCCATCTTTTTTCTAGCCCCATTAAAATAGATAGCCCTAGGTAAAGAGGGGAACCTGGATTACCACCCTCCTGCTCAGGGTGTGTTCTTTGCGGTGACTCAGCCTGTGATTTATGGCTGTTCTAATCGTCTAGTGCTGTCTGCGGGGCGAGGTGGGTAGAAGGTGATGCCTGCCCCACCTCACAGGAATTACAGAGCGGTGCGCTTCCCTGCAGGACTGTTATGTGCGTTCTGGCACAGGCTGACTCATGTGTGAAGTTTAAAGGTGGGGCCCCTGCCGCAGACAGCCTTCCTTACCTGAGTCAGGCAGGCCTGGGCACTGAGCAGGAAGGGCAGGTATAAGAGGAAGAGGTAGAGATTTGTGTGCAGTGCAGCCAGCAGGACTCCCGGGACCAGGATGCCCCCCGCAGTGAGGCGGCCAGCCTGGAGCACCGGATGGCTGTGGATCTTTGGGGCAGCCCTGGGGCAGTGTCTGGGATACAGTTCACAGCAACAAAGGGTAGCATTTCTTCAGCCTCCAGGTCAAAGTCATCTGCAAACAAGTTATGTGGAGTTTAGACCCAGCCAGGTAATGTCCCTTTTAAGTTTTGATTTGGGATGGGGAGGGGTTCCCAGCTTTATGACATTTTAAGTTAGGGTGATTAAGAAGTAAATGGGTGGGTTGGGGGAGGGGCTGGTGGCCTCCCCTGCATTGACAGGCAGTGTTTATTACAGTACCTGACAGATTGCTCTCCTGAGCTATTAACCACAAACTCCATAAACATCAGCCCACCTGGAAATGCCTGAGATAGTTAAGGGCTTGAATGCTTGTGGCTGTTAATAGACTATGAAACTTGGTGCCCTGGAGAAACTCAAGCCACGGGACAAAAAGAATCCATTACCTATAGCTTTCCAAATTCTACCTTCAGGAAAATTTACCCACAAAGTAAAATGCGACAAAAAGTGAAATCCATGCCTAAGAAGAGTAATCAAAGTTTGCATAATATCTAACAGGCATGCTTCGATTTGCCAGGCGTGAGGCATACATAAACTCTGCTCTTTATTTAAACTTCCTGGATATTATGTACACCTACAGAAATAAATCCTATGGCTGCTAAAACAGCCTTTGGAAACTGGGTAGGGGCGCGATCTTATCATTTACAACATAAAAGTTTACTGGAAAACCTATCTTGAAAAATGATCACTTTGTAAAGGTTAACTAGTTAACAACCCCTTTATTTTTATTTAGAGCTAAGTGCCCAATACAATCTGAATGCTTGAATTAAATTTTATGTAGAATCTGAGTTTGCTTGTTTTCTAGAGGGGGGATGTGATGACATTTCAGTAATGCTCCAACAGTCATATGACATATAACTCTTGCAGACTGTTTTTCTGCTTCTAATCAAAAGCAAATTAAGATGAGTGATTTAATTTTAATCAAGAGAGATTAGCCCTTCTCAAAGCATGTTTAATTAAGGCTTTTACTCAAGTACATTGATACAAACTAACCAGATCTATTTGTTGATTTAAATAATTTGTTCTTTACCAAATACAATTATTTTTTAGGTAGGCAATGTGATGTATCGTGATAACCGTAGGTGCTTGTTGTAGATAGGATCACACCATCGATGGCTGAATTTTGTTCAGATGTATTTATCCGTTGTGCTCTCAGCAAAAGAACATTCCTTTCATACTTTGATTCTCCTTTAGACAAGTCTGTTCATATAGCATACAAAGAAATCTAACTTTTTCCAATGTGTTCTTTTGCCTAAACATAGTTCCTAATAGTTTAAAGGAATATCATATTGGAAATTCTGACCTGTTGTTGTGTATGATCGATCAGTGGTCATTGGTAATGTGGGAAGGTGCTCTGGGCAGCAACAGTGGGGTTCCACCCTGGGGAGTGTCCATGGGGTGGCTTCTTCTTCTCCTCCATTTATCCAGGCAGAGACTTTTATGGTTACAGATGAAACATTCATTTCAAGATTTGTGTTGATCATGACTTCAGAATTTGATGGACATAAGTGCTGTTTAAAGAAAATTAGATGAAAGACTCCCCTTTATTTTAAAATATTATTTTTTTCACTGATGCTTTAAAGATAGGGCATATAGGAGACCAGAGTAACAAACTAGGGGCAATGTCTGACTTTGTGATTAGCTCTGCTAAAATTAAAAGAATGTCTGTAGTCCTCTTTAAAGACAGAAATTTAAGTGATTTCTGACTGAAAGGATGAAAAGGAAAATGAAGTCTTCCCAGTTGGAACTGTCATGTGCCCTGGATAGCAACTGTCCTCTTTCTTCATATTGATTAAACACTTTGTTTGAAAAACAGGGTTGTAGCCCTGGATACTATCAGGATAACAAAGGCTCACTTACCAGATGGTGTATTCCCTGCAATGGCAACCAGGATCATGGCTTTTTTTTTTTTAATTTATTGGAGGCTTTCTTAACTAGAATCAGTTCATGAAAAACTATAATTATTTTTATTTAGATGAAAAATAACAACTAGTATTATTACTCAGGAAGGAGACCATATACTGGAGATAGAAATAATTAAAGCAATATTGAACAAACCCAAGGAGACTCTCTCAGGCTGGGTCTTAGTGTGTTCACCATGGACCAAATATTGGTGAATAGTCCTGTATAAGAATTCAAGCACCTCACCTCTCCTCAGGTTCCCTGTTGCCCACAGATGAATAAGAGGCAGTGAGGTGATTCCAACAATTTGGCCATTATTGTGCAAACCCTATTAAAGACTCTACCACACCTCAATCTTCCTCCTTCTCTGTTGCTCCTTCCCAACCCAAACCCATGATTTGAGAGGGCTCAGCTACTCTTAGCTTTTGTCCCCAGAAGAACCCAGAAGATTCACAGTCCTGATCCCCTTTACCCATCCATGCCTCCACCCATCCTCAAAACAAACAGGAAATGGCTCGGGAGGCTGAGGCAGGAGGATCACAAGTTCAAAGCCAGCGTCAGCAAAAGCAAGGCACTCAGCAAATCAGTGAGACCAGTCTCTAAAAAAGATACAAAATAGGGCTGGGGATGTAGCTCAGCGTTTGAGTGCTCCTGAGTCAATCCCAGTACCCCAAAAACCAAACAGGAAGCAGAAGAGGGACCCCACTTCTACCCCTTTCCTCTCTCTGAGTTCCCTGCCATGCATCTCACACACCCACTGTGGCATGGAAAAAGAACATAACCTGACAAAAAAAAGCAGGCGGACCAAGCTAGTGGTTGAAATTAGAGATGCACACACTGACTAAAGGAAAGAAAAGGGAAATTAAATCTTCTCAGTTAGAATTGTCAGTGCTTTGGATATTAATTGTTCTCTTTCTTTGTATTGATTAAACACTCTTTTTGAAAAATAGGGTTGTAGCCCTGGATATTATCGGGATAACAAAGGCTCCCTTACCGGACGGTGTGTTCCCTGCAATTGCAACGGACATTCAAATCGATGCCAGGATGGCTCCGGCATATGTATAGTGAGTAAATTGATAGTCTGATGCTATCTGCAGGCAATCTGTTTCTCCTCTTTCCCTCCTTCTGTGCCCTGAGACATCAGCGTCATCTCTTACCACACCCTAAGTAGAGGTTGCTATGACCATGTAGGAGGCTCCAGCGCCGTCAGGCTGAGTTATGTATATTTCATTTTACTTTTTCCTTCATCTTAACATGCAGTATCAGAAGAGAACAGCTGTCTGAATGGTTCCATTACACCTTGGTTTCTACATCTCAGCCTCATTAAATTATATTAGAAGGTAGACCTGGGGACTTAGCTCTTGCCAGCATATAATGTCAGAGCTGATTACCTTGAGCCCCAGTTCTGTTGGGGAGGGAGGAGGTTGCAAGAGGAGGACTGGCTAGTGTCAGGTGGACAGTAACTCAAGAAAGCACTCAGGGGAGAAGGAAATGCTGAGGAACGCTTATGGCTCACGCTCAATCAGTCAAAGAAACCCTCCACCATTGCCAAGACAAAGTGGGCTTATGGGAATGGTGGGTAAGTACAGGGTGTGTGGGAAAGGAAAGTACCATCTCACTTCCCTTTCCCCTCAGCCTCCTCAGGGCCTGCATTTGACTTGTTTTCTCAACGCTCCAGATTCTATTGATTATCCACTGAAAATGAACTTCTTTCGGGATGTTTTATAAAATCCTTCTACATAAAATGAGTTTCTTAGGAATTTTTTTTTCTTTTTCATCCTAAAGCTGAATCTTCTATATTCTATATTCCTTCCTCCCTTTGATCAGAGTTCTACCCAGTAGCCAGGACCTTCCCCATCAAGGGAAGGAGAGAACATCCTCACTCCAGGAATACAGAGGGCCCCAGTAGTGCTGTGTTCTTGGAGGGCTCCCCTCTGTTGCCATGGACTTCCTTTAATTCAACTACTGTGTGTTTCCATTGCTCAGAGTTCCTAGACTGTATTGAGCCTGCTCAGCACGTCCCAGGGAGCTGCTTCCTCTGCAAGATGGGACAGGCCAGAACAGGAAAGGGTTGTGAAGGGCTGCCTGATAGAATATTGTGTTGGATTGTAACCTTATAAGTTCAAAAAGAAGAAAAGACACTGAGAAAGGTTGTTTTCCAGCTCCTAGGCCTTCCTTTATAACAGTTTATGTTGGATACTATAGGTTGTGTGTAACACAAGTGAATGCCTTAATTAAAAATAAATATTTATCTTATCACCGAACCATTGCAAGATGTCAAGTCCACATTATAAAAGCTGCCAAAGAACAAAGAATTTTCTCTACAGTCGATTTGCCCTGTGAAAGGAGAACCTATAAGAATCATAATTCATATTTTAATCAAATAAGATTTTTGTTTCCCATTTCCTATCTTTTCCACCCTGTTTTCACTTGTCTCCAATAACCACATGGCCCCTAAAGACTATTCATTCAGGAAATCCTTACTGAGTATTTGATAATGTGCTAGATACTGAGCCAAGTGCCAGAGTTAAAAACCATCAGAGACAATCTCTACTCTCAAGAGGCTTGCTGTGTAGTGTGCATGTAGTACATATGCTATGCACATAAATGCATATGTGAACACACACACACACATGCACACATGGAGCTATTGTCTGCATTCAACAAACTGCTCAATGGCAAGTACTAAGTACTGATTCTACTCCAAAATATGCCTTTACATGGAAAGCCAAGAAAGCATCTTGCATTCTCAAGGCACAGTGATGCAGAGACCAAGTACCTTTCAATATTAAAAGGTCTTTTAGGCCGATTCTGCTGCAAATTGACTTTGGTCTCTCAAGGTTCAAAGTAAATCTCTAAAATCAGGGATAATTCACATATAAGTTTGCAGGACTGATCAAGACAGCTTCCAGGGAATCCAACGTCAACTCTTAGCATGGAGATTTGAAACATTCTTATGGGAATTCATTAAGCATCATGGCTCTGACCCCCTTCCAGGAATCTTTTCCTCACCCCTGGGGAGGATCAGCAGTCAGAGTGTTTTGAGCAGGATATAGATGCCCTCAAGTGCAATTCTTGTTTCTCCAGTGTTTTCTGTCTTGGAGATAAGTAGGCATAGGACTAAACTACATCTATCCAGGCATGTTCTTTAATTAACATTGTGATGTGCATTAAAAAGAAAGAAAAACTAGAGTTGAAATGTAAACAATTAGCTCAAAATGAGGATGTCTCATGAGTGGGTCAGGACAGCTGAGCAAAAAAAAAAAAAAGGCGAAGGCAATCACTCATGTCCTCATTTGACACTGGGACAGTGCTTCTCTGTGGAGTAGGGTGGATTTGCTTCCAATGTCTGGTTGGAAAGAAGAAATCCACACTGCAGTGGGATTTGGGGGAAGGAAGGAAGGATTCCAGATAGGGTGAGCTTTCCGGTGATGATCACATGGGAACATGTGAATAGCATCCTATTTTCTAAAACATTAATCTCCTGTGTTTATAGCACAGTTCTATATCTAGAACAACAACAAAAACTATTTAACATCATAGTGTTTTGTTCATTTCAAAAGACATAATAATTGTACATTCTTATGGGGGGCAATGTGATATTTTGATACATGCATTCAACATGGAAAGCCCAAATCAGGTAATTAGCATACCAAACACCTCAAACATTTATCATTTTCTTGTGTTAGGAATATTCAAAATCCCCTCTCCTAGCTGTTTTGAAATATACCATAAAGGATCGTTGAGTGGGTCATCCTTCAGGCTTGTAGAAAGCACTAGAACTCGTTCCTCCTATTTAATAGTTTTGTATAATTCTCATTTACTCAAATGTTCACAAAGGGTGGATTTGCTTAATCTGGACAAAACGATGACATTCAGGATCACAGGGCAGTCTTTCTTTCCCATTGCAAACAAGTTCAGTCCTCTCATGATATGTATGTACTTTGGTTTTCCCAGCTGAGCTTCAGATATTATTTAAAAACTCATACCTATTACAGTTTCCTGCTCAAGTGCTACCTCTGCATGTAGACATATAGCAAAAATTTTAAATTATACTCATTCCAGATCATTTAATTAATACAAAAAAGTCTGAATTGCCTAATTTCCAGGGCAAGGGGAATTTTCCTGTATGTTTTTGTGCATTTAAATCTTTTTTACTGGATTAAAAATTCCACAAAACAAATTCCACACAATCCGTTAGGGTTTATGTCAATAGTTCACTTGCAAAATTCTATCACAACACTGTACTGAAGATCAACTTATTACACATTAACCTTGACATGAGGCTAATTGAATTTGCATTATGTAAGTAAAATGCTTAGAAATAATTTCTTGCTTCTTTGGGACTTGAGTGCTTCCTCCAAATCCTATGCAACTTTTTTTTATTATTTTCACAAATTCCATGTGTTAAAAACATTTAAATTTTATTGCTCTTCAATGTATCAATGTTAAGTGAATTTGAAATAAAATGAAGTTAATCTTCATAGAAGCAAATTTTTTAAAAATTTTCTTTCTTCCTTTTGTGGTGCTTGGGATTGGACCTAGGGCCTCATGCATACTAGGCAAACACCCTACACTAAGCTGCATACCTAGCTTCACAGGAGCAATCTAAAGGGAAAAAGGGAAGAAAATTTACATTTCCCCAGGGTCAAATACTTTTTTTTTTTTAATTCTCCCAACAGCTTTGGAAATTGGCATTATTCTAACTATACATTTTAAGCGAATTAAAATTGTATTTAGTGACACATCAGGGAATTGATTTTAAAAAAATAACAGTAAAGTGTAGAGAAATGAAGGAAATTACCGGAGCAGGATTTGAATCTAGCTGGTCTCTCTCCACTACATCATGCCTCCAAATAACTTATATATAAGTCACATGTACCTTTGTGTGTGTGTGGCACCAACAGTGATTAGATAGGAAGAACACACTGTTAGCAGAACTGATATCACTGTAGAGTCAGAGGACTTAAGTTATAATTGTGTAAGATTACAATGACCTCAAAACTAATAAATGTAATAGGATGCTCTTCATTGTCCTGTTCATCTGTCCCAAGAACTGTCAGCATAATACGGCTGGAGATCACTGTGAACGCTGCAAGGAGGGTCACTATGGAAATGCTGTCCATGGATCCTGTAGGGTCTGCCCGTGTCCTCATACCAACAGGTACTGTAGAAGCTTGGAATTAACCTTAGTGACAGGAAGTGGTCTAGTGGTTGCCTGGAATTGGGGGTGAGAAGGAGAGATAGGAGGAAAGGAAAGAGACTGCTGTGGTTTCTTTTGGGGGTGATGAAATGTCCTCAGCTTGACTATGGTGATGGTTCTACAATTCTATAACTGTCCCAGGCCACTGAATTGTGCAACTCACATGGGCGAATTTTATGGTATGTAAATGTTCACTCTGCTTTGTTCTCTATGCATTTGATAGCCCTTCGGCCTGACCTTTTTCTCAATAAAGCTATTATATTTAAAAAATGAACACATTCAACAAGCAAGTGAAATAAAAACCAAGGGAGGGAATCACTAAGGAAGCCTTGAGTTATTGAGCAGGTACTGGAATGATGGGGTGAAGTAAGCAAAGTAGTATCTTAGCCATGAGGTCCCCAGGGGAAGCCCCCAGGAAGCTATGCTCACAGACAGTCAGGAGGAGCAGAAATGCAGTGCAAGAAGAATGTATCCAATCAGGCCCTTTGGCCCATCACACTATATGCCCATCACTGAACTGACAAGTTTTGCAAAAGAAATAATTTATTCATGAGGCGGTCAAGTGCAGAGACAGAAGAGCAAGCCTTAAATTCATCTTCCTAAGAGAAGAATTTAGGAATATTTATGGGATAAAGAAAAAGGGTGATTTACAGCAGGAGGAAAGGTGATTGAGGTGAGGGAAAGCAAAGTAATCAGTGGTCTGTATGTGCATAATCAATCTCCGAAGTTCTTCAGAGGACACATGTTCAGAAAATGGCAGAGTTAGCCTGATCTGAGGGTAGAGTATTTTGGTCCCTTGACGTCAGAGAAGTCATTCAAAGAGGACACTTGCACGGGTCCCAGTGAAGAGTTGGCGGTTTCAACAAAAGCAGCCTTCCAGTCCCTGGCAAGTAACCTAGGCAACCATTATCATCAAGATCCACCCATCAGAGGCGTTATCTATAGCAGAGCTAGTGGGAGACTAATAATATATTGCTCAGCTGCGTGACCTCCAGATGAGTGATTTTAAAAGGGAGCTGAAAGGAATTAACTAAAAGTAAGTGGAGCTGGAGGGTTTAATTAGGTTTTTTTCTCAGTTCCAAGAGGGCTGGAGATGAGGCTGGAGGGTCAGCTGGGGCTCAGGTCCTGTTGAACCCGGCAGGCTCCAGCCAACATCTAGGTTTTATCATTAGTGTGATAGAAGACTTGGGACAGTTATGACCCCCTGATTGAGGATCTGAGTGTCATTCAGGCTTCAGGAGGCCAACAATCTATGTAGGTAGAGACACCATTTTCTTTTTATGGTTATCCATGTTCTGCTTGGGTTTGGCACCTGGTCATCTTCTTGCTCCTCCTGTGTTCACCCTGGGGTCCAAGCAAAGAAGAACATAACAGACAAGGAAGCAAAGCACGAGTCAGTTTGAAAATCAAGAAACTGGTAAAGTAACCCAGAGTCCACAGGCTCAGAAATAAGAAGGGGCCATAAAGTGGATTGATATCAGACAAATTGGCCAAGACTTCACATCTCTAGAAGTCACGTGGCCAAGTGTGCATTTCTGGAGATCTGTCTTTGCAATGTTCACTCCGCTTTGCTATCTATGTATTTGATACCTTTTCAGCCTGCCCAGTCCTGCAGGTTTATTTATACAGGGATCTATCACTACGCTTGCCCAGACTTGCTTGAACAGAAGCTGGCAGGAGTATAAAGTGGCAAGCTTGCACCAGCTGTTTGGGGAAACCTTTTCATTTTTGGTTGCAAAGCATGTTTTTCCCATAAAGGTCAGCTTCTCGCTCTGTCGGAGTTGGAGTAACATGTAGTTCCTTGGGTTTTTCAGTAAAGCTATGTTTTCATAGAATTCTCCTTCTGGCAACAGCAATACTGTTAAAAACTCTGAACTGCCCCTGTAGAGGAGTCTGAGTCCATCTAATAAGACAACAGAGGCTTCCCAACTATGAATTCTCTTATCAGCAAGTGATAAGCAGAACAATTTCCCCTCAGATTTATATCAATGTAATGTTCAATGAACAGCATAGATATTTTGCAATTTTTAATTTAAAATTTTTTTTAATTTTTTGGTACTGAGGATTGAACCCAGGGGCTACATAACCACTGAGCCACATCCCCAATCCTTTTTATATTTTTTTAAATTTTGAAATAGGAACTTCCTTAATTGCTTAGGGCCCGCTAAATTGCTTAGGGCCCACCAAATTGCTGAGGCTGGCTTTGAACTTGTGATCTTCCTGCCTCAGCCTCACGAACCACTGGGATCACAGGTATACGGACACTGCACCCAGCTGACGATCACAATTTTACATGATCTCTTTTGGGACAGGGAGCTTCTTTTCAAATATACATCAGTTTAGAGCTAAAATAAGAAGAATCCAAATTTTATGGCTCAATTTGAAAATTGCCAATAACTAAACCCACAAAAATACCAAGTAGGATGAACTGCTCTGGGCTCCTCTCTGGGCAGCTCCCCCACACACACACCGAGCCTGACCTCCCCCCTGCCACCTTTGCCTTGGTCATGTGCTGAATATAAAATAAACTAGAATAAGCAAGGAGACATTTTTCAAAAAAGAATAGAACTCTTCTTCTTTTTTTTATCCCCCTGCCTAGACTTGTTGTATTGCTTCCTTGTTATTCCTGGAAAAAACATTGTTGTAATCATCTCTTCCAGAGTGAGTTACTCTGCTTTGTCCCAAGAGAAGGAATGCACCTCTCCAATCAGAAAAAAAGGGGGTGCCTTTCAGGTCTTATCTCCTGCAGTTTGTCCAGTATTAGCTGACATAATTCATCCTGAGCGCCACCAGTCTAGAGGGGCAAAGCTTTCTTCTTTTTGGTTGCAAAGCAAATTTTTGTTCATGCAGTGGGTTTCAGTGTTCACTTGATACAGTCTGCCCTTTGTGGTAAAAGAGAATTAAGCACGAAGCCCGAGGGATCATGTTTTCACTGTGGCCTGTCTCTTTCTTCCTCTTAAGTTTTGCCACTGGCTGTGTCGTGAGCGGGGCCAACGTGAGGTGCGCCTGCAAACCCGGCTACGCAGGAGCACAGTGCGAGAGGTGGGTGTCCCTCTCCTTGCCCCTCCTTTCCCAGCCACCTGCAGATGGGGACCTGGCAGCTGGCCAGTGTGTGCTGCTGGCACAGAACAGGGATGCGGGCTGGGCTTGGGGCAACAGTGTGGCTGTTCCTTTTCCAAGGGCTGGAAACAAGTTCTCTTGGGGAAAACACGAGACTGTTCCTGTAATGAGTCATTGATGCGCCTCCCTTCTTGCTTTGTACATGGTTCAGAAATCTGAGAATGAGGCACAACAGATTCACATACTCACAAGTAGCCCTATGAGGCCCCAAGGCATGGCCTGTGTACCCCAGTTCCCACACTCATCTCTCATGCCCCTCCCCACCTCTAATACTCCCCACACATGTACCTCTACATACAGCTACCTCTCCCACAAATATCTCTACATACCCTCCCTCTCCTAACCCCCAGGGTCCTCCTGCTTCTGGACATGACCCGACATATTCTACCCCACTCCACATCCCTACTTGCTCCTCCCCCGTACATATTTCCCTCCAAACCTTACATACTCCTAACCCCATTCCTGCATATTCCTACCCCCTCACGTGTGCACATCTCTACCCACCCCCATCTTCATATCCTTACTTACCTGTATACAGATATAACTTTATATATTAATGCATACACACATATCTCCACAACCCAAATATCCCTAGACACACACACACACACACACACATACACACACTCCCTATCCCCACACTATATTTTGAACACTCTGAGAACAGTGTGTCACTTGTTCAGTTTTGAATCTCTGGTTCCTAACATGGTACTGGTCACATAATAGGTGTTCAAATAATGCCTATGAAACAAGAGAATAAAGGCAAGGAAGGGAAGAGTGTAAATTGAATTGTGAAGGGCAGTAGAGCTACACTGATTCATTAACTGATGTTCATGATTAACTTCTATACATCAGGCACTGTATGGGTCAACATCTAAGGCAAAAATTTCCCAGGGTTCAAATAACCTTGAATATCCTAATATCCTGTCTCTCAACAAGCCAAGGGCCCTGTTGCATCAAATATAGGTAGGGTTTAGTTACTCTCCAGAACTATATTCAGTGTGAGATGTTCATGCTAGGACAGGCACAAGGAACTAGACCAGCTGGGGGCGTGGCAGGTGCCCATCCCGCCTGTGGTGCTCTCTCCAGAAATGTGTTCATTGCCTGAAATAGGCACCAGACCTTCCCACCACTTTTCCTTCTCTCATGCTCACGCTGTCCAATCCTCCTACTCTATTTTACCGAGTTCTTTCAGTTGAATTCAAGAAACCTAATGCGTATGTGGAAAATTTCCATAGGCACATGGATTTATTTCTGTACTCTGGTTCTCGTACCCTATCATTGATGTATTGTTCCTGAAAGTATAAAATGCCTTTGAATATTTGGTTGAGTAAGGTTCCCCTGTAACTTTCATCTAAATTTTATTCCTTGGTCATTCTGGCTTATTAGTTTTCTAGCTAAGGTTGGGAAGAGTTGAACCAAATTAAAAAATAAAATGCAAGAAAATTAATTCAACCAGATTTCATAGTAGGGCATAGCCACTGTAGACTGGGGTTGTTGGAAATGTTTTGTGAACAGGGTGGGACTTGGGTAAACCTAAGGGATGATTGGAGCACAAAATAGAGGTAGGAAATTGGAGAAGTGCAAGAAAGCCCAAGAAGAGGAAGATCTCTGCTTCATGTGGAAGGTGGGCCTGCCTGATCATGGAGTCACTGAGTAACAGCTCAGGACACCATTCTGTAGTAATTCGAGTGTCTGTAGCTATTTAAGTGTCTTTCATTTTCTATATTCCATTTCAGCCAAAGGAACCTTTCTCACATTGGCCTTAAATTCATTCATTCTTTCAATGTCAACATGCATGGAGTTCCTAGAATCTGCTCAGCACCATGTTAAACCCTAGAGACACATTAGCAAACAGAGCGTGGACCCCCCAGGGCTCTAAGGCCACGGGTAGAAAGACATGAAAATAAGCACAAGGTCACTGGGCTAAGTTGGGTTGCAATTGAAGGGGCATCCAACCAACCTTGATGGGTGAGGAAGGAAGAGGGCAGCTATAAGGATACCGGAAGGATGGATGGGTTGGGGTCTGGGCAGGTATTCTGGGCCTCATGATTTAAAAGCTATAAGCTCACACCTAGGAGAGGCTTTCTAATTTAATCCTCCTTATGGTTCTCCACAAACAGTGAAACAGAAAACAGCAACTTTCTTGATGAGGCATCTATTTATTTGGCAGGCAGCTGATGTGAAGAGAAATTTTTAATTAACAGTTCTCCTCTCGGCTTATGTTTGTTACATTGAATGTCTCAAGAAAGCAAGCTGTTGTTTCTTAAAATTTTTAAGAACTTTTTCACAGGTAAATGCCAGGTTGATGTCAACATTTTTCGATTGTTAAACATTGATTGGGTTTTCTGGCATCGTGACTGGCACTAGTCATTAAGTATGAAATGACAAACAAGAGGACAATAGAGGGAGAATATACCACAGACAGGAGTCTCAGTGGGTGGAGGAGGAGCAGCCTGCCCGGGGCCACTGTGGAAAAGGTTTTCTAGCCCGCCCCCCCCCCACCCCATGCTCATCTGCCTCTCTTCCCTTGGCTACATAGAGCCTTGGATTATAAACATGTCCTCTGCACTTTATTTACTGTACCCAAGTCATCAGTGAAATCAGGAACTTTTACTTTAATCCATTATGTTTAGCCATAAGAAAGAGAACCAGCTATATTTCTCACAATCAGTTGCTAATGCTCTGTAGAAATAAGGAAGAAGTGGAATCAAACTTCCTGAATATTTATATGATTTTAATATGAGGTGCTTTATGCTTTTGTGTCTATTACATGGAAAGTTTAGATATAAGTAGGACAAATTATTTTAGAACATAGATGTCCCGCATAACATGGTTTGTTAGGCAAAATATGTAAAAAAAAATAAAGTCCTATTATTAGTATTTTACCATCCTGCTTAGTAGACTCAGACAAGCCACCTCAGCCTACCTGTCTTCTTGATAATTAGGGAATATGTGAGTTTTCTGATTCCTCTCTACTTTCTTACACCAAATAATCCCAGATGTGTACCAATTATAAAATGAATATTACATCATGTCTTATAATCTTAGCTACCTTTTATTGTGTTTGTTATGTGCATTATACTAGCTTCTTTACTACATTTTTTCTTACATCCAATTACCGAAGTAGGTATTATAAGTCTAATCATTTGTTCAATAAATATTTATTTGACTTCTAATATCTGCCAGGTACTACCCCAAGTACTAGGAATTTATGAATGGGCAAAACAGCCTAAAACAAACAAACAAATCAACAAAACATACACCATGTTTTCAGGAGTTTATGTTTTCCTGGGGATAATTGATGAAGAAACTGAAGCTCAAAGAATTATGCCAACAACATAAGATCACAGTAGTAAGTGGTGGGGGCAGAGTCGAGCCAGATCTTCCTCACCCAAAACCCATGTGCTTTGCATTAAATTGTAGGTGTATTCATTGGTAAAGGACATTGAAATTGCCTAACAATTTTTAATGCAAAGCTTAAATTTTGTGGAAAGAGTTACCATATTTCTTTGATTCTAATGATTCCATTGACGATAAGACACTATATATCAATTTGGGTAGGACAGGGTGGGAAGTGGAATTTTGCTAAATGGAAATATTTTAATTGACATCTCAGTGCCAGAAACATTAACATGTATTTGTTTTACTTTTTTAAAAATAGACTCTAAGAATGAAGGACATATGATCTTTAAACTTGTACTTATCACTAAATTATCTAGAATAATAATGGTTCAAGGTCAGAAGCAGCAGCAATAATTGCTCTCAGTGGCTTGAGCTCTTTATATACCCCACTGCAAGTATGAATTATGCAGCCTTGAAATAATACATTAGAAAATAAGAAGAAAGTCTTCCTTTGCAGAAGTTTGAAATTTTATGAGTCTTACTTTAAAATTGTTACTATGAAGAAATTAGTTTTAAGTTAAGCAATATTTAATTCTGTGTTATATTTAGGAATATAACTCTTCCATAAAATTCAGTCATCCTGATTTCCATATTGATCAAACCATTTGCTTCAGTGTACATTTTGCTCATCTGCCATTAGGCTATCTGGATATTTGGGGATTTGGTAGTTCTGGGAGCAAGAAAGGAGGGAAGGAGCAATCCCTCAGCAGCCTCATTCAAGGGGTAAATATCCCTATACTGAGAAACATTCATTTATTCTTGCAAATCTATGTCACCATTCCTTCTGTAGGGCTACAGTATCCCAAACAGAGAGTTAGATACAATAAAATTAGGTGGGATAAATGATGAGTTGTTGGAGTGTTTCTCATTCTTTCTCTATTTTCTGTAGATGTGCACCAGGATATTTTGGGAATCCCCAGAAGTTTGGAGGTAGCTGCCGACCATGCAATTGTAACAGCAATGGCCAGTTACATTCTTGTGACCCCCTCACTGGAGGTAAGATTAGTGCACACCTCTGCTAATCTGCATTTGTAAAATTGGTATAAAATAAAAATATAAGGACCAAGCACAAATTTTTAGGACGTATAATACACAATTCCAGCTAACAAATTGTCCCCTTGTTTCGATAACCTGGCAATTATATCTGGGAATGATTAGGTATCATTTATAGGTTTGTTGAATAACTTACTTCTATTAGGGATTTTAAGAGTAAATTATCTTTAAAACCCAAGCAATTATAGATAAAAATCACTTTGGACTCTTTGGCAATTTGCTGAGCTTTCTCTTTGACACTGTAGGGTTGTCTTAAACATTAGGCTTCTTTGTGTGGATCTGAAGCCATCAAAATACTCTTTCTCTTATAGCTACACATATTCTGGGAGGTGTACAGGCAACTGGGGTGGATTCTACACACCAAGGAAAAGAGTTAATGGGAGTTAGTATGAATTCATTAGGAGCAACACAGAACAAAAAGGAAGAGTTATTCACTTCCTTCTTTTAAAAATATTAATATGATTTATTAGGAAAATACCATTGGTGTAGTGTAATACCACTTATACAAAATCTCTCATCTTTTAGTTGTGGGTAATTTGAAGAACTAAGCCCTGGATGTGTGGGTTAGGTCTAATCAAGTAACCATAACCAAAGGAATGCAGAGGAAATGGATTAATGCCAGTCTAGAATAGGGTATTTATTGCCATGGTCTCAGTACTTCATTTTTTACTCCATCTTGCTGAACATTTTTTACTTGTATGGATATATAGCAGGCATGTCTCCCAGTTACCAGATGACAGGAAGTGGTAAGGATAGCAAATGCCTCTGTGATATTTTTAGAATACAAAAGGGCCATGTTTTGGAAAATTTCTAGCTTTAATTTTTGCTGTAGTGAAATTAGATTATTTTTCAGAGGGAAGTGAGAGAGCATTTCATATATGAATTTATGGCATGGGGAAAAGAGTAGAAGTGAAAGGTGAAGAAGGTCCAAGGATGATCACAGGGCTTTCCTCAAATGTAGTTAAGAGCCTCAAACAAAGCTCAGCTCATGGGTGCAGTCATCGGCAGTGTGACCCAACAACATTGTGTGCTTATCTCTGTCAAACTGTTTTGTCATTTGCCAATCCCAGAGGACCATTAGGCCACAGGACAGCGGGGATTTTGTCCTGATGGCTCTATATGTCCTGTACCACAGCACACAGCAAATGTTCAAAGATGCTCAGTGAATGTACAATATGCTTGAATGATTTTAGAAGAAGTGTCAACATGTAGGGAGCTATCCACTGGAGAAAGCCTTAACACTAACAATTAGGAATTTTAATCCAATAAGAAAGGCATGGTCCTCTATATAGGTGGCCCTTTGTAGACAAGAAATGGAATTATAGTATAATCAAGGGGCGACCAAAGAAGTTCTTGCTCAGCCCTGATGGAAGATGAAATTGCTCCATGAGCAATGGTGTGGGTGAGGGTGGGAAAAGGAAGAGCCAATGATGTTGTGTGGTTGGATGGCTAAAATCTTCTCGAACTAACTTTTCTGAAAACCAAGTTAAAAAGTAGGTGGAAGAGTAAGTTTAATGGTAATGATTTCTTTTTCTCTTTTCCTGATTTCAGACTGCATCAACCAAGAACCCAAAGATAGTGGCCCTGCAGAAGAATGTGATGGTGAGAAAAGAAAGCCCTTCCCTTCCCAGGTTGTGGGGTTTAAGATATGAGCCCCATGCTGGGACACAGGGTTTCAAAATGGGGAAATCAGACCCTGGGAGGAGATGGAGAAGGACAATAGAAGGTCAAATCCAGCTTTTGTCAACCACTCACTGATGACCTTCAGGAAGCCACCTTACTTCTCCTGGCCTTGGTTTCATTACTTGTAGAATGGACATGACTAGACCTACTTCATATAGCCATTGGGGAAATGCTTATAAATCCCTTATCACAATATTTATGGCATGGGGGAAAAGAGTAGAAATAGATAACCTTAAGAAATAAATAACCTCAATAGTCTCGTATCTATTTTTAAAAATTAAATGAAAACTATACATATAAATGAAACTCCATAAATGAAAAATTAAATGAAAACTATACATATAAATGAAACTCCATAAATGAAAACTATATGTTATTATTTTTTCCACATTCCAAAGAATTAACATGTTGCATAGACTCACCATTTTTATTTTAAAATGCTCAGGTGTATAGGGCTCACCTGATTTTGGGATCTATATCCCTCCCTGAGAAGGCCAGGATTGTGACTTCTGCCTGTGATGACCGTGATGACCTATGTGCTTATGGGTCCAGCCCTTACATTCTCTTTGCCTTCCCTTGGCTCCAGCCCCAGCACTTTTACCTTTGATTATGGTCCCTGCAGATTGTGACAGCTGTGTTATGACGCTCCTGAATGACCTGGCCACCATGGGTGAGGAGCTCCGTCTGGCTAAGTCTCAGCTACAAGGCCTGAGTGCCAGTGCCAGCACCCTGGAGCAGATTCGGCTTGTGGAGACCCAAGCCAAGGACCTGAGGGTAAATCCCCTGGGGGACCTAAAGTACATACTCTGTGAATATATCTGGGTCTCTAGTAGCCACAGGAATTGGAACTTAAAATTTGCAGATGCTCAAATCTTTGATGTAAAGTGGCATAATATTTGCTTATAACCTACACACAGCTCCCTGTATATTTTAAATCATCTCTAGATTACTTATAATACCTAATACCCTGTAAAAGCCATGTAAATTGCTGCTATACTATATTGTGTAAGGAAAAATGGCAGGAAAAATGTCTGTACTTGTTCAGCACACACAGTTTTTTAAAAACATATTTTTGATACTTGATTGAATCTGCAGGTGAGAACCTGCAGATATGGAGAGCTGACTACAGAGGAGACCTGGATGAATATCCTCAGGCAGGAAAGGGGGAGGGATTGACTCCCGGTTTAAGAATCAAGGGGCTCCTGTCTTCCTCTGATTCAGTGAAGATAAGATTTTCACCTGTGGAAAGTGCTTGTGAACACACAAGCCTAACACTTCTAAGTGTACGCTCTTAACTGAATTTTCATGGTGATTTTTTTCTCACAGAGCCTTTTAACTCAAGTGTGTTTCATTCAAAAGTCTTAGACACAGGGCTGTAAAATAAGCATAATTCTGTTTTAAATGTTTTATAGAGTTTTCCAGAAAAGCCATGTGAGTCTAAGGTTTGCTTTGTTGGAAGTTTAAAAAAAAACATAATTTTAATTTTTAAAAATAGATACAAGACTATTGAGTTTATCTATTTCTTCTTAAACGATATTTGGTAATCTAAGTCTTTCAAATAATGTGCCTTTTTTATCTAAATGAAGAAATGTAGTTACATAAAATTGTTCATTATATTCTTTTACTATCCTTTTAATGGTGCAAAATCTCTAGCACTGACCTTTCATTTTTCCTCATATTTGATAATTTGTATCTTATCTCTTTCTCTGAATTATTTTGGGAGGTTTATCAGCTTTATTGATTTTTCTATTTTATTGGTTTTCTCCACTGTTTTTCTGTTTTCAATTTCATTATTTTCTGTTCTTATCCATATTGTTTCCCTTTTTCTTGCTGGCTTTGGCGTATTTTGCTATTCGTTTTCTAGTTTCCTAGTTGAAAGCTTATTTTACTGATTCAAAACTTTTTAAAAAAAATTTTTTTTGGTAGTTGTAGATGGACAGAATGCCTTTATTTTATTTGTTTATTTTTATGCAGTGCTGAGGATCAAATCCGGTGCCTCATGCATGCTAGGCAAGTGCTCTACTACTGAGCTATATCATAACTTTTTTTTTACTGAAAACACAAATATTTGAGACTATAAACTCTTGCCCTCAGTATTGCTTTTGCTGTGTTTCACAGATTTTGAAATGTTGTGTTTTCATTCTTGTTCAATTCAAAAGATTTTCTAATTTCCCTTGTGACATAGCTGTAACCCAGGAGTGTGTTGTTTAACTTGCAAATTGGAAAATTCTCTAGAGAACTTTCTATTATTAATTTCTAATTTAACTCTGTTGTGGTCAGAGAGCAAACTACATATGATTCCAATTATTTTAAATATGCTGAGGTTTGATTCTTAGCTCTGAATATGATCTTCCTGGGTGAATGTTCTTTGTGCACTTGGAAAGAAGGGGGCTGGCAGAGTATCCTTAGAAATAATGGGGCCTAAAGTGCTCCACAGGGTCAGAGTCAGGTTCTCTGAGGGAACCTGTAGCCTACTCTGTCTATGAATGAAGACTGAGAAAACACCACCATAAAACAGCCCAGAGCTTGTTGTTGGGCAATGACTATAAGAATGAAGGAAAGTTATAGGAATCACAGCATTTTGGTCAGACCAGACAAATCCACAAAGTTGGGTCTATGCTGGAATGACATCCTCAGTGTCACCATAGTGCTCAAGTCCTGAATTCCAACATAAGACCTGGTCCTGGATGGGGGGATCCAACATGGGGATGGTGATAACTATAAGATCACTAGACAGGGTGTGGGGAATGCAGAGAGAGGGGCAACTCCCAATGAACCTGTGACCATTTCAAACAACCCTATTAACAACAGAAAAATGTGCAACTGAAGCAATAGTCAAGAGTTGAATAAAGTATGTACCAATGAAAATAATAGGATAACCAGCAAATTACTTTGAGGAATAGAATCCAATGCAAGGAACAAGAAATTAGGAAATTTAAGGGGGTGGGTAACCACCAGAAATGAAACAAGGAGAGGTAGAGATAAATACATCCCATTGAAATTCATGGAAATGAAAAAAAAATACTCATTGAAGTAAAATAATGCAGTAGATGAAATAAACCCAAGACTAGACACACTGAAATAGGCTTTGGGGAAAGTTTAATAAATGCTTTTAGAGTAAGAGCTGATTGTAGTGGCTATAGCAGAGTATATATAGCAAGAAGTAATTCTAGAAAAATGGCTCTTTTCATCCCTTCAGGGTAATTTTAGTCCATGGTTTATAGGCTTAATATAGTGGAGAAAGAAAAAAATAGCCTTTATGTTATGAGAAAAACAGAGGAAGCTACACGAATTGCTTTGATTTCCTTGATACAGCCCTGCACTGCTTCAACTTTCTGTATGCCAACTATGTGCTGGGTTCTATGCTAGGTGCTTTGCTCAAGTCTTACAATATCCCTATTGGGGAAATAGTACTAGTTTCATTTAACAGACACAGAGAAGCTAAATAACTTGCCTAAAACCACATATCTAGAACACAGAGGTTCTAGAAGAAACCAGATGGAGACCAAATTCTAATGACCACTCTTTACCCCCTGACCTCTTATCCGGGTATTCTACCAACATTTATGCAGTCATGTCACTTTTCCCACTATAAAATGAAAATAGAACTATCTTCTTGCCACATCACATAAACTCTGTGACAATTCAGTAAGAGTATGAACTAACATTTTTGAATGCTCATATGTACATTACATTTTAGAATATATTAACTCACTTGTCACCATAACCCACCCTGAAGTTTCATATCACATTTCACAATTTGCTGATGAAAGGGATTAAGCTTGATTGGGCTCATCTACTAAGCGGGTAGACTGAGGGTTTGGATGGATTATGCTTAAGAATGTGTTCTTTTACCCAACACTGGCTCCAAATACAAATGGAGGCAATACGATCATTGTTTTCTTGTCAGTTTTTTCAAGATATTACTTCCCCCTCCCAAACTGAAAATAACCACTACTCTTTTCAGAAATGTTACCTTTAAAAGTAATGAGGCAATTTTGTACTATGTCAAGGATGAGAGACCGGCCTTTGTAGCCTGAAGCAATCATGGTCAGCTATACAGCCATGGACAAGTCACCCAACTTCCTTAAGCTTCAATTTTCTCATTTATCATTTTAAGATATTCAACTGCATGAGCTCAAGAATTCCCCTACAGCTCTGTTACATTGGAGTCTTTGAATCTAATGAGTCTTTCAATAAAGTAGCCATATGCATTACCTTTAGTACTATAAGGTTAAGCATAGATTTTTTTTTAACAAAGAATATAAATCTGAAAATCAATATATCAGATAAGCAGTATTACTCTGATTTCTATAAGGTCAGGTCATTCATTCAACTAAAGTGGCTGTTGTCTCCATGTTTTTAAATTTGCTCCTGCTTGGATCTTAAATGTCCCCCAAAGGCCTCTATGTTGAAGACTTATTCCCTGGAATAGTGTTCTTGGGAGGCAATAGAAACTTTAAGAGATGGTCTAGTGAGAGGTCTTCTTGACCCTAGGGGCTTGCCCTGGAAGGGGACAGTGGGACCCTCAGCTCCATTCTCTTCCTCTCTCACTTCCTGGTAGCCAGGAGGTGAGAAGTTTTGTGTCACCCAGTGCTTCCACTGTGATGCGCTGAGTCATCATAGGCCTAAAGCAAAGGGGCTGGAAACCTCTAAAATTGTGAGATGAGATGAACACTTTACTCTTTGTAAGTTGATTATCTCAGGTATTTGTTAGACTGATGGAGAGCTAACTGGGAAAGCTACTTTATTTCAGAGCCATGTCACAATTGACATCAGAAGATGGATTTTTTTTTCATGGAATCTGTTTCAAAGAACCACATTATTTTTCTTTAGAACTGCTGCTGTTCTTATTCAATGAGTGTCTTCATTACCACATTCACCAGGTTGATAGGATGTAGCCTCAATTTCTACTCCAAAGTGAGATTAGCTTGGTGTGTTGCTTTCAGAATCAGTTGCTCAACTATCGTTCTGCTATTTCAAATCATGGATCAAAAATGGATACCCTGGAAAAAGAGCTGAGTAACTTGAATCCTGAATTCGAAACTTTGCAAGAAAAGGTAATGTATGCAGTAGATCAATTACCCTAGTCCTTTTTTCCCCTTCCTAGATATCTTCATTTTTTTTTCTTTCCCTATCAATTTAATTTGTAGCTAACCAATTTATTTTTCATATAGGCTCGAATAAATTCCAGGAAAGCACAAACATTATATAACAATGTTGATCGGACGATCCAAAGTGCAGAAGACCTGAACACAAAGATTAAAAATGTCATCCGGAATGTGCACAGTAAGAAAAATCACTTGACTCAATTTTTGTTTGTTTGTTTTGTTACATAATCTTTGCTATTCACTGAAAGAATTTCCTTTGGCGAGTTCAACATTATGAAAAAGTCCTATGGTGGCATGAAAAAAAAAACTAATATGAAACCTCTATGAAAGCTTCTGCCTTTTTAAAAAAGAAGTAGTTTACTGGAGCCCAGAATTCCCAGTTTAATAAACTACTCGATATTTTCCAGTTCTCCTCAAGCAGATCTCTGGGACAGGTGGAGATGGAAACCACTTGCCTTTGGGCGACTTCTCCAGAGAGTTGGCAGAAGCCCATCGCATGATGAGGGAACTGCGGAACCGAAACTTTGCAAAGCACCTGAGAGAGGCAGAAGCTGAAAAAAGAGCCGCCCAGCTCTGTAAGGACCTGCCCAAATTCTTGCATCCTGTCCATTCTAACTGGCTTGAAATACAAAGTGCAAAATACAGATTAGATAGAGCTACTGGTTATAGATGGAAGGTCTCATTTCAGTGAGTGTGACTGTAAGAGTATCACATGATGGAAATAGGGGCACACCCCCCCAACCTGGGAGAGTGTTTTAGTCAGCTTTTATGACACTGTGACCAAAAGACCTGACAAGAACAACTTTAGAGGATGAAAGGGGCTCATTATTTCAGAGATCTCAGTCCATAGAGGGCCCGCTCCGTTGCTCTGGGCCCAAGTGAGGTAAGACATCATGGCAGATGATAGAGGAAGGCAGGTCAGGACATGTCACCAAGAAGCAAAGGGAGACTCCCCTCATGATGGACAAAATATATACCCCAAACGCATACCCACAAAGACCCACATCCTCCAGTCACACCCTACCTGTCTTCAATCACCACTTGCTAATCCCTAATGGAAGATTAATGCACTGATTAGGTTAAGGCTCTCATAACCGAGTCCTTTCACATCTAAGTTTTCTTGCATTGTTCATAATGAGCTTTTGGGGAACACCTCATATCTAAACCATAACAGAGACCAAGAGACTTTTCTTCAAGAGACTATGAATCTATACATCTTACCATGGTATAGAAAAAAAAAGTGCTTCTAGAAGTTAGATATTCAGACCTCCTTTTTCCTTTTAACTGCATATTCATCCTTTTAATGTTTCTGTACCTCTTTCCAGTTTTCTCATTGTATCATTTTTGATATTGAATTGTTGAGTCACAAATTCATATTAGCTGTTATATCAAAAGCAATTACTGTTATATCGAAAGCAATAGAAAAGGACAGCCTTGAAATTAACTGAATATTATCTAACAGTTTTGACTAGAGAAAATGCCTCAAAACTAAGCTGTTAACTTGGCACATATATTTTTTTTCAAGTAAGGATATTTATTCTTTAGTAAAGTGAGGCATCTGTGGTTAATATGCAGACAGTAGCAGTTTTCTTGTAGCAGGGATATTGTTCAAATGCAATCTTAGTCTTGGCTTTTAACTGTTAAGGTGGCAGTTTTAACAGTGGAAGAAGTGTGCACTTTATACTCTGCCACTTTGGTTCAAGTCCTAAGTCTGACTGGTTTTGTAACCTTGGGTTGACCCCCTAACTTCTAGAGGCTCCATTTCCTTATCAATAACATGAGAACAATAATTATTATTTTCATAGGAGCTAAAAGATGCAATGCATGCAATGTATGCAGGAGGCCTCATAAATGTCAGTTTCCTTTCCCCTTCCCTCCAAAGTTCAAGGAGACTCACAAAATGAACAGGAGTTCAGTTCTCCTTCTGCAGTCTTTATAACCTAGCTTCAGTATGCTCTTCTCTCAAGTGGGAAACATAAAGTGATGTATTACAGTGTTGGACCAGAAAAGGCGGCAAGCCCTGAAGCTGGAGAACAATGGACTTGTAAAGAATATACGGGATTCTTTAAGTGATTATGAAGCCAAACTCCATGACCTACGTGCTGTGCTACAGGAGGCAGCTGCCCAGACGAAGCAGGCCACTGATCTCAACCAAGACAATGAGCGAGCTTTGGGAACCTTCAAGGTGAGCTCACAGTGGGAAAGTGCAGGCTTTCATCATGGTCGAGACAAGGGAGCAGGATCTTTGTATTCAACAAGTGGCATGGCCAGGGCCCTGGCTGCTTATATCACCTCAGATCCTGCCTGGTCAAGTGGGAACTAGGCATTGAATTCTAGATAGGGAAGAGGGGTGGGAGGGCAAAGGAGGGGGCAGGAGATTCGCAAGAGCGGTGTAATGTGATGGACATCATTACCCAAAGTACATGTATGAAGACTCGAATTGGATGTCAATATACTTTATATATAAACAGAGATATGAAAAATTGTGGTATATATGTGTAATAAGAATTGTAATGCAAAATTTAAAAAACAAAGTACATGTATGAAGGCATGAATTGGCTTGAACATACTCTATATGCAAAGATATGAAAAATTGTACTCTATATGTGTAATAAGAATTGAAATGTATTCTACTGTCGTGTATCAAAAACAATAAAATCAATAAAACTAAAAATAAGTAAACAAATAAATAAATACAAAACCAGTCAATTCCACTCCTCAGCTACCAGAAAAGATTCTGGACTTCAGTCGCAGGCTAAGCCTTTCAAACTGCCTTAACCCTTCCCCTGGCTGAAAGAGTGTTGGAGGAATAATGATGCCAAGAAGATGATAAATTAATCATGTTAGAGTTAATGAAGTATACTTTGTTTCCAATGACATGATTTTTCAGCTAGGTAAGCATCATAATCTCCAGCAAAGGCATTTAAGTTATTCCAAGCTTCATAGGATACAAGTTAAGAACAGGCTGCAAACAGAAGCTACAGTGACAGAATTTAGAGCTCAAGAATTCATACCTTGCATTTTTGATAGTGAGCCTTATACATCAAACAACAACCAAAATGTAGGATCAGAGTCAAATTACATCAGACTGACCCCCAAAGTGATGTCTTGTGCGTGGCCACATGCTCACTTCCCACTGCCTCCCCTCCTCTGTCTGAATCCCTGACGGCGCCTGGCAGGGAGCAGACTCCAGCTGCATGGCTGTTTGACCTTGGGCCACCTTCTGGCCTGGCCTGCTCAGGTCCTGTGTCATCTCTCATTCAAGCACCTGTTGCATTCTTGCTGGGACTGGCAGACAGTGTGCTGGTTAGTCCTTGATTTATTGAGTTAAAAATTTCTCATTCTATTCCCCAAATTTAGAACTTAGTAATATTTTCACCTCACTGGTCAAGTTGACCCAGGGTAGAAATCTTTGACAGTGTTAGCGCTTGTTTCCTTAGCAGATAGTGGGAGGATACTATGGCAACAAGATGACACTGAGGAGAGAACCCATGTCCCATCATTTTGCAGTTGCATAGACCAACCTCAGGTTCAAGAAAACATCCCGACTCTGAATTGTTTATATGCTGTTGTCCAATAAATCCATCTGTGCTTTCTGATGATGTGTCTTGGAGCTCAAGCAGATGTTCTTTTTATCCTCTCCAGAATCAAGTGAAAGAAATTGATTTGCTGAAGAGTGACTTCACAAAGTTCCTGACTACTGCAGACTCTTCCTTGCTTCAGACCAACACTGTACTACAGCAGATGGACAAAAAACAGAAGGTAGAGGAGACTGCTAATTCTCTAGAAAAATCTAGAAACATTTAAGTTATATTATTGGGGGACTATGAGAAAGGCTGATCTATTTTTTTTTCCTTGAATGTGTGTCTTTTAGGTGGAAGCAAATATCCCAAAAAGTTATCAGTGTTTCTCCTTTGGGCCAGGGGTACAAATGATGTGTCTTATCAAAGTCCATCTATTTTACTTAATTTGTCTGCAAGGAGCAAGTCAATTTTATGATTAAAAACAATAACAACAACACTTTGAAATGCTGTTTCTTAAATATCAAGCATATCTTTATTAATAGAATGCATTTAAGACTTGATAAAAGATTGACAAAATTTCTTAGCAGCCTAATGGGCATTTTGAAAGTGTCATTTATAACAACTATTTCCATGTCATAAAATCCTTTGGTTTCATAGAACTTTACCTTGATGATGACATTGTACTTTTATAAACTTACTAAATAGGGTGCCCACTAGAAATAAAATGCTCAAGATGATGGTAAGACATGGAGGGATATTGTCAATACTCCTATCTGAAGTAACCAAGGATTAATTGGTATGCTAAATGGGCTTAGAAAATATAATTTCATATGGGAAACATCATTTGTGACAGAGTTTGATAAAATGGTATATATGGCCTTTGCTTGAATTTATACTGTCTTTATTTACTTGGAAAAATAGGAATATGAAAAATTAGTTTCTACTTTAAATGCAAGAAGACAGGAACTAAGTGACAAAGTGAGAGAACTCTCCAGATCAGCGAGCAAGACATCCCTGGTAGTGGAGGCAGAAAAGCATGCACAGTCTTTACAAGAACTGGCCAAGCAGCTGGAAGAGTAAGTGGATGGAGAGATCCAAACCCCAGGGGCTGGTTAAGTGCCAAGTGAGGCCCTTCATGAGCTAGTGAGGGGCCCAGAATATGACAGAGAGTGGGATCCTGGCTGAGGCCCCATTCAGGACCCACAGCCCAGGACAAAATCAGATCTACAATGAAGCGTGGATTCCCAACCATGACCTGGGGGTGGAGCTGCAGAGGCCCCCACATCTGGTGTCCACTTGCCTAAAGAAATGGGAAGACTGGAGGGGATGGCAGCCCTAACATCAAACCTGTTAGAGAACCTAACCTGCTCGACCTTTTTGCAGGATCAAAAGAAATGCCAGTGGGGATGAGCTGGTACGCCGCGCTGTGGACGCTGCCACCGCCTACGAGAACATCCTCAATGCCATCAATGCAGCAGAGGACGCTGCCAACAAGGCCACCAGTGCATCTGAGTCAGCCCTCCAGGTGGGCATCTGTGCCAGTAGCTTATGTAGATTTGATCTGGAGGCAATACGTTTTCTTATTCTCATTCTCTGTGTGTGGAGGGATATTGAAAAGCATTATTGCAAATCAGAACTTTTTTACAGAATACACTTAAACTCACTCTATTCATGGGCCATTTCTCTATTTATTTGACAATTTGATGTCTGTAGGGCAGTTTAAAACTATTTGTAAATCCAGATAGAAATTACATCCATTATTGACTGTGAATGTAAACAAATAGTATATTCTGCTTGCCAGGTATACTTTTATCCTGTGATTAAATATTAGCATTTGCCAAAAAGAAACTTTTGTAAACAATTTGACCACTGTTTTCTACCAGTGATTTGGTTTTACATCTGGGTATGTCTGTGGAGTTTTGTGAGATCTAACCTGTATCATATAATATTCCTATATCAGAAAAAAAGGACAAAAAATATTAAATATCAGAGTCAGAAGAACAGGCCTTCATGGTAAGTTAAAGATTTAGGTTTCAAAATGTGAAAGCCTGAACTAAATTCTCCCTTTGATTATTAGAAGGGGTACAAGTGACAGCAGGCAACTGTCTCACCATCTTCCAGTACGTCACTGAAGATGGGTCCACCTCCCTGAGCCCTGGATGTCTACTTAGGATCCAAACCATCTCTTTTTAGGGAACAGTATACTTCTAGGCCCCTTCTCCCCTTCAGACTTTACCTTTTAAAAATTAAAGAACTTGAAGACTATTGTGAAACTCTTCCTTCATATTTCCTAAGGTGTAGCATATGGTTAAGAGTGATAAATGCTTTGCTTGCAGACAGTGATAAAGGAAAATCTTCCCGGAAAAGCTAAGACCCTGAGTTCTGACAGTGATAAATTGCTGCACAAAGCCAAGTTAACACAGAAGGAGCTACAGCAAGGTATTGGGGGTCTGGGGTGGCAGGGATAGTCAAGGGTTTAAGATGACCTTTGAGACCAGGAGAGGCAGCCCTGGAAACAAATGTTCTTTCGGAATTTCAGTGTCAATACAGAAGATACTGAATTTGTGATTTATTTTTCAATATCATGTATCAACCCCAAAACTCTAAATATCCCCCATCCATCATCTATGAAATTGACTGCAGTCTCATAATCATAAAAAAGTCTTGTGGTCATAGACTTCTTTTAGCCTGTCCCTGAGGGGACACTCTTAATTTAATCAATTTTGTGACCATGGCATTGGGAACCCACATATCCAGATCATTCATTCCAGGTCATTGATGCAATTGTTTTCAAATTTATTTCTTTCTTTTTCTTTTTTTTTTTTTTTTTTGTGGTACTGGAAGTTGAATACAGAGGTGCTCTACTGCTGAGCTATAATTGCAGCCCTTTAATTTCTTTTTTTTTTTTTTTACTTTCTTAAATTTTGCTTTATTTTGAGGCAGAGTCTCATACCTGGCCACTGCTTCATAATTTCTGAACTCTTAAAATCTTAGCAATCAAAAGGTCAAAAGTACCCAAACTCTGAAACATGAGAAGTTTTTAAGCGTAAATTTTATCTTTGGAAATTTTTTCACTTAATTTAATTTAATTTTGTTTAAAAAGAATTAAACTGTTTTAAACTCACCAAACTCCTATGTTCTAACAATGCTGTCTTTTGAATTTCTCTGGTCTCTTGTGGGCATTCAAGGCTAAGTAGAAATCTGAGCCCACAGTCCTCACTTAGCTTCTTTGTTCTTTAAGATGGATTAGACAATTGTAAATTTATTTATTAAGAATTTTTTTAAAAATTAAATATATGAAAAATAAAATACAGAAAAAATTATGTACTAATAAACACACATTTGCCTAGCCATTTTTAAGAATTAAAATTTCATGGCATGACATCTGCTCTCTTTATGACATTTGAGCTTAGAGGTAGGATTAGTGAGGTTTGTTTGTTTTTTGCAGTGCTGGAGATCAAACCCAGGACCTTTCACATACTAAGCACACACTTCAACACTGGGCTACATTCCCAGTCCAAGATCAATGTTTTAAATAGGTTTGAATGCTAATAACTACACTGCTTTAAAAAAAAAAAAACAGTCCCAGAATCATAATGTGAGTCACATATCATCAGTATGATTTTAAAGCATGTGTTGGACCCAAAGACAGCAATATTTGAAATTGGTCAGGTTGGAAATGAACAGGAACAAACAATGTCTACTTTGTGTTCTTTAGATGACGCACGCTCTCTCAAAAAAAAGCCCTTCTTGTCCTCCAACTGAAGAGCATTCTTTCTGTATTATTCATTTGTTCATTCATACATTCACTCATTCAACAAATATGTGCTAATATGAATCTCCAGCTAGCGCCAGGCACTGTGCCCTGTGCTGGTACTTAGCATCAAATAAGACAGACACTCCCTTCACGAAGCAGAGTCTTCTGGTCCCAGTGGAGTAGTTCAGCCCTCTCCTGAGTTATTCAGCTTCTCTCTTTCTTCATGCATTTCTAAGGAGTCTGTCACCACAAGGCTCTGATGCACTTGTGGCGTCTGTAACCAGAGGGCCCCAGAGCTGTCAGTCTAGGCCATGTGCAGCAGGCATTTTTGGAATGAACCCCAAGGCACAAGTCTACCCAATATCTCCCTGATGCCAGCTATCTCAGAGGTCACAAATATCAGTAAAGGATCAGAGCTCATAGAATGATTGCCTCTTGCTGTTTATTTTCTTCTAGAAATCAATCCAGCTCTCAACAACCTACAGCAAACCCTGAATGTTGTGACTGTTCAGAAAAAACTGATAGACACCAACCTCACTACTGTCCATGACGACCTTCGTGGGATTCAGAGAGGTCATCATCTCCCTGGACTACTGTACTCGGTTTCTTTCATTGAATGTTTTAAATTCTTACACCTCCCTATCTGTGTGTGCATTAGGTGACATCGATGGCATGATCAGCGGTGCAAAGGGCCTGGTCAGAAAGGCTGACGACATCACAAGTGAGGTTCTAGATGGGCTTAACCCCATTCAGACAGACTTGGAAAGAATTAAGGATACTTATGGGAGCACACAGAGTGCAGACTTCAACCAGGCTCTGAGTGATGCACATAACTCAGGTACCAGTCTTTCTTGGGTCAGGTGTATTAACCATTTTCTGCATTGTTATGGGTCTTGGTACATCTCAGTTCTTCCCTGGTAAAGTCTGATCATAAATGAAAATATTTGAAAATAGTTTAACATCATACATTCAAATAGTATAGATATTCTATTAGAAAGACCAGGCACGCTGTTTTTCCTTTTTTAATCCATTGACAGTGCTATTAATTTTCTTTTTTTTTAATAGAGTGATTAGTTCCTAAATCATGAGGTATTTAATTATGATTGATATTAAGGATTAGAAAACAAATTTTTTTTCTTGTAGTGAGCAAGGAAAAGGATATGATACCCATATTGAAGAATAAAATCTATGATGCATTTGGAAAGGGATCATCTGACTATGATCCATCCTGTTCAACATTTGGGGCCTAAGTTTGCCACTTACCAAATGTTGTCCGTTAAGAACATCTGTATTTAACCTTTTCTCAATGCACAATTTAAAATTTCTGTTTTCTCATCTCACCAACAGTAAAGAAATTAACTAAGAAACTTCCAGATCTTTTGAGCAAGATTGAAAGTATCAACCAACAACTGTTACCCTTGGGAAACATCTCTGACAATATGGACAGAATTCGAGAACTAATTCAGCAGGCCAGAGATGCTGCAAATAAGGTGCGGTGTCCTCACTTTGTCATAGCGAAGGCTAATTCTTTGATATGTTAGTTATCACATTCATCAAGAAAGGAAAGGCGTTAATTTATTCGAGAATTGATTGTCTTTCTCGCCCTAATTATTTGGTAGATTGAAATATAAAGGTTGGTTTCCTTCTCTTACCTTCAGAAGTGCATAGGACCTTCATCCTCTACATTTTCTGGTCTATCAGGGACTTGAAGCAGTTTCCTCCCACTGAGTTGATGCAGGCAGGAAGGATTTTCTTCCAAACCTAACTTGTTAAACTATTATTGCAAGTTCAGGTGAGGGTTCAATTATCAGAATGTGGCAATATAATACTGCACAGAACCTACTCTCTTGTAACTTGAAAAGTGGAGAATCTATCTTTGTTGAGGATGGAAGACAGGATTATAGCAGTTTTCTATCACTGGAGAACTGATCGATCAGCCTTTCTTATTTTCACCTGACATTATTTGCCTGACATTCCTCTTATGATTTATATTGTCCCCAAACAATGTACAGTAATCCTCCCTTAACATGGAAGATACATTTCAAGAGCACTGCCCACCCCCTGGCCAAGGATGCCTGAGACTGTTTTTTTCTACTTATTGATACCTATGATAAAGTTTTATTTATAGACTAGACATGGTAAGAGATTAATAGCAATAACTAATTATAAAATAGAGCCATTATAACAACATAATAAAAGGTATGTAAATTTTTTTTCTCTCAAAATAACATTATACTGTACTCACCTTTTTTCTTGTGTTGATATGAGATAATACAATGCTTACACAATGAGATGAAGTGAGGTTAATAGTGTAGGCATCATGATATAGCATTAGGGTTCTACGTCAGATTGCATAACAGTCCATCCAGTAACCAAGACAACTACTAAGTGGGTATCGGGCAGGTAGAATATAGAGTGTGGATACTCTGGACAAAAAATATAATTCACATTCTGGGCAGAATGAAGTGTGATAACATAAGATTTTACCACTTTACTCAGAGTGGTGTCCACTGTGAAACTTATGAATTAGTTATTTCTGGAATTTTCCATTTAATAATTTTGGACCACAAAAATAAGATTTTGACTATGAGTAACTGAAACCTTGGAAATTAAGGCCTTGTGTGAGAGGGAATTATTGTAAAGAAAGTCTTTGTATTTCAAAACAAGTCCTTGTATTTTGCAATACAATCCTAGTCAGCTTTTTGTGAGATATTTGGGAAAGAAGGTCAATGTAGAATACCACTGTCCTGGAGCACCATGGTTGATTTCTAGACATAGTATTACTTTTTTATTTTCAGCCTCAGCAACTGCTCTTTCTTTTAGGAAAGTGAAATAATCCCAACAGAGAACCTTTAGCAAAAGAGAAAGTTTTGAAGAAACTACCCCTTTTAATTCCTGTGCATGCCTTGCAAAAACCAAAAGAAAAAGAATGTATCTGTAGCTTTTGTCCTTATGAGTTGATTCACTAGTTTATTTAACAAGACTTGCAGTGTATTATAGCACAGTGGTTAAAAACTGGTGAATGAAGCCAGATTGTCTTGGTTTAATTATGTTCAGTCATTTTTAACTGTGAGGCCTTGAGCAAGTCACTTCACCTCTCTGTGCCTCAGTTTCTTCATCTGTGGAGTAGGGTCAATAATAATACCAACCTCAAGAGACTGTTAGAGTCAAATGACCTAATGTAGAACAGTTCCTGGCAGATAGTAAGTAGCCTTAGTGGAAAATAATATTTAAAAAATTAAGGCAGTGCTTTTGAGTACCTGATATGCACTGGTACTCCCTTGGGTATGAGGACACAGAAATAACTAACCCATTGTCCTGAACTCAGGCTGCCCACCAACCACTGTAAATGGTTTCTTAGACTTTGATAAGAATAGAGTTATGTCTTAGCAAGTCCCAATTCTACCTCAAAGGGCTCAGAGTGGTACTAATGGATAGCACTAACAGACATGTATTAGAATGTTCATTGCAGCAGTTTTTCATGATAATTGTTTTTTTGAGAAAAGCTGAAAGTTTGCAATAGTAAATGTGAACAAGCTGGAGCAATGCATTATTAGCACAGATAAATCTACAAACATAGTGCCCAGAAAAGAAAGCAAGTTGAAAAGGATGTGTACAGGCAGATACCATTTGTGTAAAATATTTAACACATGAAAAATAAGACTAGTTAGAGTGAGTAGATAAATGTATATGTAAAAAATATTTAAAATGCATACAAATTTGTATGTAACTAAATTCAGAGTAGTGTTGACCTCTGAGAAGGGAGAGATTGGAACAGGGACAGTTATATCCCTTATGTTTTATTTATTAAGGTGGTGATAAAAATACAGGCATATTCTCTGTACCCCACCCCATCCCCACATCTTTTTTAACACATAAAATATATTCCCAATTTACAAAAGTATTGGTCCATGTCCGATTGGAGGGGGAAAAAAGGCCCTTCACCACAGAGATTCTAAAAGGCACTATTTTAGAGCCTTAATGCATGCATTCATGCACTTTTAAAGACTGAATGCCTGTAATAAATGCAACAATAATATGTAATATGTTCATGGGAATTCATTCCTTAAAAATGCATTTAAAAATATTTTTGCTGTATTATAGATCTTTCTACCATATGCAGACATCATGCCAAGTGCTTTCATGCACTAACAATAATCATACATTAACTTCTGTATAAAATTCATCCAGAGTTGGAATACTACCACTATGACTACTTATTAATATTAATATCAGGGAGAGCATGAATACCCTATTATCTGGCTCCTCAAACAGCGTCCTGAGTTTGTAACTTGGGTCCAGGAGATGTCCATACTCCCTGTTTTTTATCAGAGCTGTTCAGGAAGGGCTGATGGATGATAGATAGGGCCAACAACAAAGACAGTGAGAACACCACTGTCTTTGCAGCAGAACATTTGACACCTGATCATTCCTCATAGGTCGCAGTCCCCATGAGATTCAATGGTAAATCTGGCGTTGAAGTCCGACTTCCAAATGACCTCGAAGATTTGAAAGGATACACATCTCTCTCTTTGTTTCTTCAAAGACCTGACTCAAGAGAAAATGGGGGGACTGAGAATATGTTTGTGATGTACCTCGGAAATAAAGATGTAAGTATTGCTTGTATGTTTCTTTTGTTCTTACAGCAGAATGTTTTGGGAGGTGTGTATTTTTGAGACTACATCCCTTCCATTAGTGTATCATGGGAAATCCCACCACGGCTACCCCTCACCACACCTCCCTGCTGTGGGGACAGCCACTTGAGATGTCCATCCATCATGGATTATTAGCTGCTGATGGATCCAGTGGCCTTACTTGGTTGACTCAGGATGTGGACACATGTGTGTGTGTACCTGTGAGCACATGCACATGTGAGTGGGGAGGATCGGCATCCTCTCTCCACACTGCCAGGGCATCAATATCAAGACTTCATGGAAATCAACTTTAGCTCCTTCTCACAGAAGCATGACTCTATTATATTCCTCAGAAGGCCCAGCCACAGACCCTTCCTCAATTCTGCAGGGTGGGAATCATCCATGGATGAGAATGGATGTGAAACAAAGCCTTTCTTGCCTAATAAGAAATGCAGGTGCCCCACCTTTTTATCATCCAAATTCATTAACCTTACCATTGTAGGAATTTTGAATGGTTGGTGTTAGATTCTTAAAATCAACAGTACTATTAATTACACTTTCATGCTTCAAAATGTTGGCACTTTATTTGTAGTCACCTTATGACATGACTTTTTGCTTTGTATTATCAAAAAATGCACATTACTTTATGCCTTCAACAAATTTACACCATATGCAGTCAGACCTTCATCTCCATGGGTTCCACGTCTATGGATTCAACCAACCATGGATCAAAAATGTCCAGAGAAGAATAAATTGCATCTGCTGGGCATGATGGTGCATGCCTGTAATCCCAGTGGCTTGGGAGGCTGAGGCAGGAGGATTAAGAGTTCAAAGCCAGTCTCAGCAAAAGCAAGGTGCTAAGCAACTCGATGAAACCCTGTCTCTGAAGAAAATACAAAATAGGGCTGGGAATGTGGCTCAGTGGCTGAGTGCCCCTGAGTTCAATCCCTGGTACCCCAAAACAGATAGATAGATAGATAGATAGATAGATAGATAGATAGATAGATAGAAAGATCTGGACTAACATGTATAGATATTTTTCTTGTTGTTCCCTCTATGATACAATTTAAGGACTATTTATATAATGTTTACATTAAATAAAGTATTATAAGTAATGTAGAGACAATTTAATGTCTTTGGGAAGATGTGCATAAGTTATATGCAAATACTATGCCATTTGATATATGAGACTTGAGAACTTGCAGATTTGGGTATCTTTGGGGGTCCTAGAACCAATCCTCCCTAAAAACAGAGGGAGACTGCACTTATTATCTACCACACCTTGGTTTATGATAATCAAAACTTTATTTCTTGAATGTACTAAATGACAGTGTACATTTTAAATGGTTACAATGGCTTAATAACATTTTATATTATGTATACTTCACTACAATTTTTAAAGATTTACTTTTTCCTCAACATGCTCACGTTCTAAGAAGGAGGAAAGATATGTACATAGCTGACATGGCAAAATAGAGGTATCGCAGAAGAAACAGTCACAAAGGTTAAGAGGGTATGGCATGCACTAACAGAACAAAAATGGCCTCTCTCTCTTTTACCAGATTGAAATCTAATGGATGGCTGAGTCCATATCTGGTCTATCTGTATGACAGGTGCTATGAAATACTTGGAGATTGAGAAAATGGAGGAATTATGGAAATAAAGGCACTATAACATGAGCAAAGATGGCCCAGACATTATCAATTAAATTAATTGGTTTATAAGAGGATGCACCTCATTTATTCTGTCTGCCCAAGGCTCAATGCGTAAAACCCATTAATTTATGAAGTAAAACTCTGGAGATCTTCTTGGGATGGAAAGTTGAGAAAACATAAGTGTTTGAAGGGTTCTGAGGTGGCCTTTATGTCCCAGGCTTCCAAGGACTACATTGGCATGGCAGTTGTGGATGGCCAGCTCACGTGTGTGTACAACCTGGGAGAACGAGAGGCAGAGCTCCAGGTGGATCAGACCTTGACTGAGAGTGAGTCCCAGGAGGCTGTGATGGACCGGGTGAAATTTCAGAGGTACAAATTGGATTTGATATTGCTCTTTGTGAACCTGACCTACACTCCTCAAACTCTTCATTTATCTGTTGACAAACACTATTTTTCGTATGTTGGCTTTGAATTTTTTAATTTTTCTTATAACTTTATTATCTAATTTCAAACAGAATTTATCAGTTTGCAAGGCTTAATTACACCAAAGAGGCCACCTCCAATAAACCCAAAGCGTCCCAATTCCATGACATGGATAGTGGAAGTAGCAACACACTCCTTAATTTGGATCCTGAAAATGTTGTGTTTTATGTTGGAGGTTATCCACCTGGTTTTAAAGTAAGTATAAATGTTATTTCCCTGAATGAAAACATAAATTTAAAATAACATAAGGATTCATCTCTATTTTAATTAATTATCTTATAATGGATTTGACCATGTTCTTAAACACGTTTAGTGATAATAACTAACACTAATTGAGTACTTCCTCTGTATACTCTTCAAACCTTAAGTTTATTAATTTAAGTAAACATCATTTTCATTAGCATTTGACAGATGAGGAAACTGAAGCAAAGAGGTTTAGTAACTTGTCCATGATTATACAACTATTCAAAGGCAAAGCCAGGTCATCAAGCTCCAGGGCCCACATTCTTAACCCTTACGTACTGTTGACTGTTCAAAGTGATAGGCTTATACTATTTTTTTTTTTTGTTAGCCTTATTACTTTCCTTTGCTCAATTAGTGGAAGATTTTGTTTTGTTTGTTTCATTTTCAGCTTCCCAGTAGACTGAGATTCCCTCCATACAAAGGTTGTATTGAATTAGATGACCTCAATGAAAATGTTCTGAGTTTGTACAACTTCAAAAAAACTTTCAATCTCAACACAACTGAGGTGGAGCCTTGTAGAAGGTAAATGAAATCTAGAAGTCAGTGTCTCTGTAACTGGGTGGGTAACCTGCAGTACATTTACCTGTAAGAAAGGGTGGTTAGGGAAGCTGTTGATGTTGTTTGCTGCTTTGGGTCAGTAGTTCTTAAATTATGCATGCAACACTGCTAGTCCATCCTGAAAATCTCATAATGTCAGTCTTCTCCAAATTGTATAAAACATTAGATTGATGGAGTTTTCTCAATTTTTTTAAAAAAACTAAATATTTCTTAAATTTTTGATGTCTCGTACCACAAGATGATACCTGTTTTAGACACAAAATTTCATATTTACTTTAAATTTTAAAAACAGTGATATGCAAAGTGAATGACTTTTGTAGGTACAGTGGTGCTTTTTGAGAATTGCTGCTTTGAGCTTCTAACCATCCTTACAATTAAAAGGACTTAGAACAGCCAAGGGTGGTGGCATACGCCCGTAAGCCCAGCAGCTAGGGATGCTAAAGCCTGAGGATCCAAAGTTCAAAGCCAGCCTCAGCAATTAGTGAGGTGCTAAGTAACTCACTGAGGCCCTTCCTCTAAATAAAATTCAAAAAAGGGCTAGGGATGTGGCTCAGTTGTTGAGTGCCCCTGAGTTCAATCCTTGGTAGCCCCCCTCCCCCCCAAGAAAAAGTCTTGGAAGAGTCAAAAGAGCTAGGTCAAGCATTTATTGCTCAGAATAAGGTTATATTTCAAATGAGTACTTTTCAACATTTTAAGAGCTTCAGCTTGTAGGCCACTTCCTTGTGAGCAGCCATTTCCAAAAAGGATTCTTGAATATTACCTTTTTTGATATAGGGGATAAGAGCATGTCCAGGAGAAAATTTTGGCTCTTTTAACATTTTAAATGTATTCCCTCTTCTTTAATAAAATCATGACACCTAGATTGCATATTCTTTGTCCTACTTTTCAGATGGCAGCATATCAGTAGCACACTAGCACAGTGATCCCTTGCTGCAGTGTTCTAACTTTTAATGATTGCTGTTGACAGGAGAAAGGAAGAATCAGACAAAAACTATTTTGAAGGTACAGGCTATGCTCGAGTTCCAACTCAACCAAACGCTCCCATCCCAACCTTTGGACAGACTATTCAGACCACCGTGGATAGAGGTTTGCTGTTCTTTGCAGAAAACCAGGTAATATATAAACATTCGGAACCTAACAAAATATCCATTCTGTGTAGCAATTTGCAGATGACTGGGTTATTTATAAACAACCAAGTAGATCTGAAAAACAATGTGCAAAGGTGGCCTGCCTCCTCTCTCTTGGCCAATTGCTTCTTTCTATTGGTTGGGGGCAGGGTGGAATGGTGAGTGTTGATGAGGAAGAGTAATCAGAAATTTGAGACCATAATGCAAAATGGGGACAAAATATCTCCCATTCAATTGTCTTTGTCAGTATTATTATTATTATTATTATTATTATTATTATTTTGCTTAATACAATTTAGTCTTTTTATTATTCTTTTTTTCCCTTCAACATTGGTCTTTTTATTTTTTATTTATTTGTTTTTAGTTTTATTGATTTTATTTTTTTAAATACATGACAGTGGAATGCATTACCATTCTTATTACACATATAGAGTACAATTTTTCATATCTTTGCATATAGAGTATGTTCAAAATTATTTTTAAATTTATATTTTACAGTGCTGGGGATTGAACCCAGAGCCTTGCACATATTAGGTGAACACTTAACTACTGAGCTATAACCCCAGACCTTTTTTATTTTTATTTATTTATTTATTTATTTATTTTTTCCTGTTTTAAGACAATTTATTAGTACAAAGGCAATGAGATGGCAGGGTAGCAAAAAGGAAGGTGGGGTGGGGTGGCCCTTGTGAAGGACCAAAGACAAGTCGTAAGTAATAGCTACAGTGCTGAAATTTCATTACATTCTAATGAGGACTGTATGCCTGATAACCAAGTGGTAATTCCTAAGTTTAGTAGTTTTGCAACATTTTTAGGAAACACGTAATATTAACATGTTTTTAATAAGGCATTGTAAGAGTGATAATGATTACTGTAATCCTTTTAAAAAGCCTTGGTCCATTTCAAAAGATCAACAATAAATTTTTAAAAATCAAGAGGAAAGAAAAATAAGTTGTATGCCCCACCCCAAATACATAAGAACCACTTGCTGGCATTTGTTTTGTATTTTAAAGGCCTTGGAATAAGATGGGCCAGATTTTCAAAGGCAATTAATAGCTTGTACAAGGACTTGATTCATTTGATTTTAGCACCAAGGAAAATAAGAGTCAGTATCCCATGGAAGACACAGTGGGTTTTTCCTCCACCTCTCAAATTGCACAACTTTTACCAGGTCAGGATATATAAGCATGCATCCTTGTTGCCCTGCTAGGAGTCTAAAATGATTTTAAGTTTTAAAATGGCTGCTCAGATGACACCAGCAGAGTTCTTTCCCTTTAAGACAGGATGGCAATGAACACTATTAAGTATCAATTTCTTTGATCAAAAACAAAAATCTCTTTTAAGGAATAGTTACTTTCCTGGTCCTTCTTAACCTGTCTTGTAAATTCTCTATTGCAATATGTGTTTGCCAGTTATGTTGGTGTTCCTCAAGAGAACATCCTCCAGGTATGCCTGATCTATTTCTATTTCCTTAATGGTAAAGTATGCCTACTTTACATAGTACCATGGGTTTCCTCTTTTCTTTATTTTTTCTTTTTGCTATAACTTGTTTATCAAGGCAGAGTGTATGTTTAGATCAAGAAAAAACTGACAAGTATATCTTAAAACATACATTTCTTAACCTGAGTAACATCTGAAAACCTAAGATTTTATTACATTTTCCACTGAAGTCAGTGTTGGTGCTTACCTAAGAACGTACAATGTCAATTTTGACACAAATCATGTCCCTCAGTACACATGTATTTTTCAAAAGAAAATAAGTCGTATTAAAGTAATATTTTCTTATACGCTGACATTTTTATAGCAAATTGAAAATTCTGAGTAAACAAGGTATTTCTAATGACAAAATAAATATAGTATATGTAGGTAGCTTACATGTTTCTTAGTGTAAAGGCAGCAGTGAATTTGCATCTTGCAACGGATCTGTAAATCTAGTTGCTTTTTTCCTGGAATTTCATATAGTGTCTTACCATACCATGTTCCACAGGCTAGAAAACATTTTTTGGCATCAGTATATGCAGAAGCCTCTGATGAGCTATTTTCCCCAAATGACATGTATTTTTCCAACTTTCCCAGAAAAATACAAAAATTTTATCAACCACTTTTACTGAACAAAAATGTTACTACTAATTGCTCTTTTAATTTTTACTCTAACAAATTCTTTAAAAAGTTTTGATATCTGATGTTTTTGAATTGCACACTCATAGAATATAATTGGATAAAATATACTAGATGATTTCAAAAGATCAATCTTAGTATCTGAATCATTTGGCACATCCTTAATAATATCCACAATAAAATCAGTAGAAATATAACAATTTTCAAAGAATTCATACATGCTGGAATCTTAGTAAAAGGAGCTGCTAATGCAAAGATGAGGAGGTTCTGCTCATCTTACTAGTTACAAGCTTTTCTCCTCATGGAGTAACTGAGGCTTTCTGGTTTGTTTGTGGAACTTTTGTTTGTAGGAAAGCATAAACATAGGGCCAAATCTTGTTGGTTTCCGTTCCAGAAAATGTTTCCAACACCCCTTTTTTCTGATAATACTCCAAAACTGGCTCCGTTTGTGCTTCATAAGCCTTCAGTCTCTTGATTACTGTGTCTGGTCTATCATCCTCACGCTGAATCAGAGGCTCTCCCGTCAAATCATCTATGCCCACAGTTTTAGGAGGGTTGAATTCAATGTTGTAGACTCGGCCACTGGCTGGATGAATCCAGCGAGCAGTGAGGCGGTGTTTAATGACCTCAAAGGGCACATTCAGGTTGATTACTGTGTCTATCTGATAAACTTTATCCAGGGCTTCTGCCTGTGGAAGTGTCCTTGGAAAACCATCCAATAGCCAGTTACATTGGGTGAGATTTTTTAGCTCATGGAGGGCTAGCCGAGTCATGACATCATCTGGGATGAGCTTCCCTTGGTCAATGAAACTCTTGGCTAACACACCAATCTCTGTGCCTTGAAGCATATTTTGTCGGAGCAGGTCCCCGCTGGAGAGGTGCTTCAGCTCGAAGTGTTTGGTGATGCGCGAGGACACGGTGCCCTTGCCCGAGCCCGGAGCCCCCATGATCACTGCGCGCACTAGCCGCGGGGAAGCCCCCATGGCCGCTGACAGAGGACGAGGCAGGGCGGACAGCGGGACTGCGGCCTGGCCTGCGCGCTCACCGGTTTCGCGGCCCGGGACGGCCGGCTGGAAGCCCCTTTTTTATTTTTTGAGACAGGATCTTCCTAAGTTGCTGAGGCTGGCCTTGAACTTGGGATCCTCCTGCCTCAGTTTCCTAAGTAGCTGAGACTACAGGCATGTACCTCCGAGCCCGGCTTGGGTGTTGGTTTTGTTCTTTGAAAAGTACTGCTTGCCTAATAATCTACTTATCGTGCCATAGAACAAGTGCAGACCTCCTGGGGTCTCTGAGATCCAGATGACTGATGTGACCTCCTGCTATTCCATCTTGCTTTGCCTCTTGCCAGGCTGCCCCGGGGTGTCTCTTTACCAGCCTAATTCTTGACTTCTCAAGACATGGAACATTCAAGCAGCTGAGATTCCTGAGGACCATTCCTTCTTTTTCATTGATTCTTTTTAGTTACACATGAAAAAAAGAATCCATTTTGGTATAATTATACAAGCATGAAATACTTAAGTTCATTATGTCAGAGAAATCCAAAGGCACACTCAACAAATGATCATCAGTGCCACCTGCTGGTCTAGGGAAAGTAGGTGGGTTTGCTCTGGCTCCCATGTAGCCACCCTGGGTCTTTCAGTGAATTGCTCCTGGGAATAGGAGTTCCTGTAGCTGCTCTCACAGGTAATATTTTGGAAGAAATGTGGATCAAACCATGGGCTCTCTAGTCTGAGAATATGGAGTGGATATGGAGTTTGAGATTTTACTAGCCCCTTCTACCTGCAGGGTAGGGACACAGACCTGGCCTAGCTCTCCTCTCTGGGGTTGGTCTGGACCCTTCAGGAGATTCTGAGGCTGAGCTAGTTCTGATGGGTCCCAACCAGCCTGAAGGATGCTACGAGGTGAGAAGTTGCCCAATGCCTTCAGTGTTTTCTGAAACAAGGTCTTCTTTCTTGAGGTTGAATATTTCTTTCTCAAAATGCTTGGGACCAGAAGTGTTTCAGATTTGGGATTTTTTTTTTCAGACTACAGAATATTTGCATATACAGAATGAAATATCTTGAGGATGGGACCCAAGTTTAAACAAGAAATTCATGTATGTTATACGCATAGCCTGAAGACAGCTTTATACAATACTTTTAAAAATTTTGTGCATGAAACAAAATTTGTATACATTAAACCATCAGCTTAGTGGCATCACATTGGTGCTCAAAAAATAATTTTTTTTTAGGTTTTGAAGAATTTCATGTTTGGATGCTCAAACTGTACTACATTTTGAACTTCTTAAAGACTAAGAACCAGAAATAGTATATATGTTAGAAGAAAACTTACATAATGTCATTGTGTAAGAAATGATGCAGAGCTGCTATTAAGCAGGATGGTTCCTTCCTCTCTGGGTGCTGCTGTTACTCTTTTTAGTGGATTGATAAACTCTAACCTGACTCTCAACAATAAAGGCTTAGGATCTAGAAAAATTGGTCCTTTGACCAATTTTCTTTTCAGATGAGGACTCTGGCCTTGGGCTTCAAAGGAACAGCTTTTTATTGTTAGGGGACTGGGTAAGAGCAAAGCCTGAAGCTCTGAGTCAGAAATTCCTCTGCTTATCTGACCACAGAGGAAATAGCTGCCTTCAGTGCATGCCTTGCTCCATGACAGCCAGGCAATAATGTCAAGACAGACACGGTTCCTGTCCTCTAGAGGGGATGTCCAGTGTCACACAAAGCATGTTATTAATAGGTCCTTAGTCTGTTCCAATTGCAAGGAGCTGTATAGAGGGAAAATGAGGCTGATGGCATTAAAGACTTTCTTGAGCAGAGGATGCTTTGACAGAGACCGAGAACAACAAGTAGAAACTGGTATTTGGGGGACAGGGCAATGCAGGATCTGGCAGAGGTAGGGACACAAAGAAGGCCTAGGGGTGAGAAAGCCAGGAGCGCCCAGGGATGGAAGGGTGACCTGTGTGGTTGTGACTTGGAGAGCAAGAGGGAGTGCTAAGGAATGAAGGGAAGAGATGCTCAGCCCTGCAGTTATCTGCCGGGGCATCAAGAATGTGTCTGAAAACAAAGGAAAGTAAGGTTCTTGCACTGGCATTTTCAGAAGGCTGCTCTTGTTGCCGAGTGGAAGTGATTTGAAGGGACACAGGGGAAACTAGCAGGCTATTGCTATGCAGTTGAGCTAAAGAAATTGTGGCTGGGACCAGGGGGATGATGTGAGAGACTTAATGGAAGAATTCAGAAGATTTGATTGGATGGGAGAGAAAGACCAGGAATGACTCTAAAGGGTATGGCTTGCTTACGAAGGTGATGATGATGATGATGATGATGATGAGTGAGAGAGATCGGGGGAGATGTGCAAAGGATGAAGAAAAGAAAGACAGGTTCGGCTCGACAGCATATGGGAGGCATGCAGATCATAAATTCTTCTGAGGATATTTTGAATTTGAGGTATCATTAGTCATGCAAGCACTAACTAGGGGATCAGACATACAGACCTGGCCCCAAAGGGACATGTCTAGGCTGGAGAGAAGCATCTGGGTTTCATGAGCACAGCTGAGCTGGAACCATAGGAGCAATCATGAGCATCAAGGCAAAGGGAGTGGTGTGAGGGAAAGAAGGAGTCCCATGCGGGAGCCTCGCAGGACCTGGACACTGAAATAGGGAATAGAGGGGAGGAGGCAGCAAAGTGACCAAGACGTAGGAGTAAATCGGAAAACAGGTGGTGGAAAATATCTGGGGATTTTTCTCTCTCTGAAAGGTAGTGCTCATGTTTTCAAATTACTATAATGTTCTCTATCCTTTCAGTTTCCATGTTTGTTGTGGATGGGCTATGGATGGGCATGAAACAAAATCATGATAAACACTACCATGTTTTGCGTCCATCCTGAGTGCCAGGCCTGATGCTCTCATCACCACCTACAGCAGTGAACCATCACACCCATCCGGTGATGGCTCTTATAGCACTGCTACCCCTCTTAACTCAGGAGACAGTTGGAGCTGAGAACAGGTTTTGATCAAGAATAACTTGACTCCCAGGGCCTTGGCCCTTCTTCACCCAGGTCACCAGATAATCTGTATCATTTCCATTCTCTAGGATCGCTTCATATCCCTAAATATAGAAGACGGCAACCTCATGGTGAGATACAAGCTGAATTCAGAGCCACCCAAAGAGAAAGGAATCAGGGATACCATCAACAATGGAAAAGATCATCTGGTATGACCTTCGAGTCTGTTTACATGAATTTTTAAATGTCTATAGACCTTTAAAATTGATTCAATGCCAACAAAGACAAAAACAAACCCTTTTATTACCAGAATGACTTATTTTATTAACCGAGGGACACATTCTTTATAAAATTTGAACATTTAGGCACAGAATAGATAATATATATGACATATATAAACCATTAATTTTACATAAAAATATTTCTATTAAAATATTTTCATATCAGATTTTTTTTTTACCCCAAACTGCTACTGCAATCTTTGTACCATGTGTATAAATGAATCTGAAGAAAAGTAAAGATTGAATGGCTCTGGGCCATTCATGTGAATAGGATTCTTTTCTTTCCCATTGCTTTCTGATTTACCTCATTTATTTCAGATTCTGATCAAAATTGGAAGAGTCCAAAAAGTTATGCGGATAAATGTGGATAATCAAAACATTAAAATCGAGGGGGAAATATTTGATTTCAGCACATATTATCTTGGAGGAATTCCAATTGCAATCAGGGAAAGGTAAGATCATATGTTTTGATTTGTTATGTTTAAAAAAAAAAAAAAAAGGATCACCTTTTATAGTGGTAATGAATGCCATCAAAAAACCCTGGTCTACTTTGTTTAATTCTGGCCACAGTTAACTTTTCAGTTCTAACAGTATAGTTCACAGATTGCAGATACTGAATAATGAAAATGGCTGTTCAAATAGGGGAAACTTTGTGTTGTCCCCATTGTCATCCCTGGGAGGCGAGAAACTACAAAGAACACGCTGCCTACAAGTAGAATGAGGCTGTGGCCCTGGCCAGTAAAGGTAGCAAGGAGAGGGTAGGTGTCCCCTGGCCTGATGAGTAGTATCAAGCCCTGAAAGCTGAGGTTGCTGCCTTTAGGAAGTCTCTTGAAGAATCTAGACACAGTGTCTTTTTCCCATCTGTATTTCCAGCCCCCTGCATGCTACAAGCATGGAATAGGTACACGACTCATCCTTGGATGAATGAACCCATGGATGAATTAAATGCATTCCATACAGGCTGTAAAACTTAGTCTGAAATCTACCAGTTTTAGGATGCACTCAGAAATCATTTTTATATTCTTTTAATTTGTTTGTAATGTACCAAAGGCTTTTAGATCACTGACATTAACGTGTTAGATGAAAATATCCTAGAAGGTTTTGTAAAGCCTCATGATCAAGCTAAAATACTCCTAGAATGTTTGATTGTGATCATTTATATATGTGATTCTTCTTTTTTGTACCAGGGATTGAACCCTGGGTGCTTAACCACTGAGCCACATCCCCAACCCTTTTTATTTTTCATTTTGAGACAACCTCACAATTTAGTGAGCAATTTAGCTTAAGGCCTTGCTAAGTTGCTGAGCCTGGCTTTGAACTTGTGATCTTCCTGTCTCAGCCTCCTGAGCTGCTGGAATTACAGGCATGCACTATTGTGCCCAGCCCTACATGTGATTCTTCAGATTGGAAAGCTCAACCTTAGTAGTTTGGGAGTGAATGTCTTTAAACTCGGTGGCCCTTGCAGATCATGGTCTATAATACCTGAATTTTGCAAATGAAGAAATTGAGTCAAAGAGATGATATTAATATTGAATAGTAATATTAAATAGTAATGTGATCATGAACAGCTAGTTATGAATTGCCAGTGCCCTTGATATTATTCAACTAAGTGTAATAAGAGACTACTTTAGGTAGTCAGCACTTCAGAGTACATTTGAGAGTTATTGTTTATTTGTTCACTACACAAGTGTTTTTGAGGCCTAGTGTGCATCAGGGATGTGACAGGTGTTGGAGAGATCTCAAGAAGAGAGGAAGTGAGATGGTCATGATAGTCAAGTATGGCACATGCTATGAGAGTGCACACGGGCCTCAAGGCCACACTACAGGGGATCTTGCCAATCATGGTAGGAGTCATTGGAAAGACTTCAGCAGCAAAAGGGCATGATCTCTTTGAGGTTTTCAGTATCTCACTCTAGCGCAAGGCAGAGATCAGATTAGGGAAGAGGAAGAACAGAAGCAGGCAGAGAAGTTGGAAGAATAGATAGAGTATTAGCAGAGGTGAGAGATGAGGGTGGCCTGATGCAGGAGAAGGGGTAATAGCAGTTCAGGTGAGGAAGAGGGAGCAGGTCCCAGAAGTAGCCATTAACAGTTGCCTAGGCAGAGCTAGTAAAGGACGAAAGTGGTCAAGACAGATACCTGGTTTTTGGCTGAACATGTGGGTGAATAAAGGCACCAGAGGAAGAACAGGTGACATATTCAGTCTGAAACAGCCTGAGCTCAGAAGCCAGAGACACAGCCAGGTGGAAAGGCACAGAAGCAGGTGGCAAGAATGGCCTGGAACTCCAGAGAGAAAACAGGCTGGAGCCAGGGTGACTGATGTTCAGGGACAGGTGGGCATTGAGATTATGGAGACAGGTGCGCTGCCCAGAGCCAGAGACAGGAGGAATTCTCCAGGGAAGACAATAAGAAAACCATTGGTAGGAGGTTTGCATTTGTGTGTTACTAGCAGAAGGTCCCTGGTCAGTGACATTGGCACCAGCCAATCCAGGACCACTAGGGTGGAGGGCAGGACCACGAGAGCAGTTCTAGTTTAGGATTTGTCACCGAAGAGTGGTGTGGCCTTGGGTTAAGTCAACACTCAATCTTTCTTTGCCTTTTTATCTCTCTCCACTAAGAAAATATATACGCAGATATTAAATGCCTATACATGTAGACAGACATATAGGATTCTCCTAGTAATTGGTCTTAGAATGTTGCAAACAAACAAAAAGGCTATTTCCTTTTTCTGGCTAGTATATTCCAGTTTCCAATCAAAATCAAAAGAAAATGGGAAATGCAGGAAATAGAGGCAAGTAAAAAGATTTCTCTGGACTTTTACACTTTTGAAAGAAAATACTGGATTGGGGACATAGCTCAGTTGGTAGAGTGCTTGCTTCGCATGCACCAGGCCCTGGGTTTAATCCCCAGAAAAACACTCACACACACACACACACACACACACACACACACACACACACGAAAGAAAGAAAGAAAATACTAAGCAATATTCAGCTGTTTCTGGGTTGCCTCATCCCCAAGTGAGGCCATTGGTGGTCTAGTGAATCCTGAAACTGCCCTCTGACATGGGTTTCTGGAGGTAGGTGGACACAGAGGAATTCTACCCATAACCCACAGCCAAGCTGTGTAGAGGCAACCAGGCAGCTCTTCCCAAGGAGGGAGGTGTCTGATGCCTGGCATACATGGAAGGCCCCTGTGGACATCTGAGTATCCAAACTTGTCATGGGGCAAAACACACTAGCAGTATGGCAGGTTTGCTCCAGGGATTTTGTGGGTGTTTTGCGTCTCCCTCTCTTCCTGTGATGTATCTTCTGGAAATGGGAACCCATATCTTGGAATGTTTAAGATTCTAATCAGAAATCACAGCCTGTAACTCCCATCTGCTTCCCAGGAGAAGAACAGAACATCCCTGATAATACCAGTAGGTCTGACACCAAAAAGGAACTTTTTTCTGGGAACTTATATCACTGCATTACAGAATGTGATTATAAAATGTGAAAATAACTTGAAAAGTGAAAAACTGATCAGGGATCAGTTGAAGATTTACTAAGTACCCCACTCTGAGTTTAGGATTATATTTTTTTCTTGTCACTCTCTGAAATCTGCCTACAGCAGCCATGGACCTAGATAAGCTTTGTGGACAGATTGGCCCAGAGTATGCATACACATGTGCCCCAGTGTGGGAATACTTAACACACCAACATGTACCCTGCATTCACGTTCCTCTAGCAAGTATGTTCAGACCCTGCACTGTGGAGAAACACAGAAGTTTAGGCCTTCAGATAGCCCAGGAGAGAATTTCATAATACATCAAAATATGTATAAAGAGACCAGCTCCAAAAATTAAAAGTTTAGGCCTTCAGATAGCTCAGGAGAGAATTTCATAACACATAAAGATATATATAAAGAGACCAGCTCCAAGAATTTCCTCCTCTTCTGGGCCAAAAAGTCATCTTTACAAAATAATTAAGCTCATGCTGCCATACCAGTGAGAATTTGTTTCTGCTTTTTCCTTTTAATGAAATTTAATTTTATGTGTGTTCCATGCAGCTCCACTGTTCATAATGAATTGGATTAAAATGAATGCAGACACCTTTCCATTTAGAAAAGTGAGCAGCCCTAGGGACTTATAATGAAATCTTCGGCTTTTCTTAGTATACCATTTGTTTTAGAAATATAAACATTTGTCTGGGCTTCAGTCAGTTCACATGTGTTAATGCTTCATGTAAATTCAGCTCCAAACACACCCAGAAGTCAAATCACAGGAAGGTGTTGTAGAAATGGCTTTCATAATAATAATGATAGTATGGTAATATGGGGGTGGTCACTAGCCCCCACCATCTCAAGATGAATCCTCACTGTGCACCAACCATTGTTGGAATGTGTTACACATATTAACTTATATAAACTCAGGACAACTCTACGAAGCATTAACATGATCCTATTACACAGATATGGAAACAGAGGCAAAGAGAAGTCAAATTGCCTGCTCAAACAGCAGGGATAGCCCTCATCTCTAGAGAGCACTATTGTGCCTTTGGAACACCTGAGGGTCCATAGCCATGTGCCACCACTGTCTGAAGCTTTTCCCCTACACTAGCTGTCTTAATTCTCAGAGTGACCCCTGGCCTACTGTCACACATGGTAAGGATAGTTAAGAGGTGGATACAGCCTGGAACCCAGATGACACCATTGGTTCAGCCTAGCAGTGGTTAAACCACATCACATTTTCCATAATTGAATCGAACCAAAAAGTAACCCCTTACTTCTTCCAAGTTCATAGTGGCTCACTTAAGAGTGGACAGGAAAAAAAAAGAACAAAAGTTTTTCTAGTGCGTTTGTGGGTTCTTATATGTTATTTACAAATTTCTTAACACATTTATATAAGTTAACATAATAAGTATATATTAACTTATTAATATACTTTCCATCTACCATGCAATGCCATGACTCTGGGGAGTGGAGGGTGGAAAGGTCTAGATATTGGGTATATTTTGTCTCTGTCCATTTTGGGGACAGTGGACATTCTTCTGTCAACATTATTGTATTTTTAAAGTGAAGAATGAAGACTCACTCAATGAATGAAGGAGGTAGATGATTCCAGTATCATAAAATAAGCAACATTATAGGAATTCTGAGAGAGCATGTTAGGATATGAGCACAGAGAGCCATAAAATGTATGGAACTTGTTTATGGATGAGAAATGCTGGACAGCAAGTGTTTCAGCTTTGACTCTCAGGTGAGCCTGACATGATCCTATTCTGTATCCTCCATCAGGTTTAACATTTCTACACCTGCTTTCCGAGGCTGCATGAAAAATCTGAAGAAAACCAGTGGTGTCGTTCGGTTGAATGATACTGTGGGAGTCACCAAAAAGTGCTCCGAGGACTGGAAGGTAAGTGGAGGTTCAGAACCTTGCAACAGAGTGCGGAGTGCATCCCAGCTGACCCATCTCCTGAACTTTGGACTTTTTTCTGTCCTATACTTTCACCAATACCCGCGAACTGGTCCCCCTACACTGCCCATGTATTCGCAAGATACAGATCCTTTTCCAACTTGCATATTAAATTTGTAGCAAAGTAAGAATATCAGCAATAGGTGCAAATCCTTACAGATGATTGGTAACTTATTAGGCAGAAGAGAAAACTCAGTTTCTTTCTGAGTTACATAAATCACCTTCATCAGTTCCAGTAAAGTGATAGAGGGCAAGGTACTGTATTTCAGCCATGAAATGTTGATAGCACCAATAATTTATGCCACATTTGTATTTCAGCTTGTGCGATCTGCCTCATTCTCCAGAGGAGGGCAAATGAGTTTTACCAATTTGGACTTCCCCTTGCCGGACCACTTCCAGGCCTCATTTGGATTTCAGACCTTTCAACCCAGTGGTGTATTGTTAAATCATCAGACCCGGGTAAGAAATAGTCCCTAATATTGAACAAGGTTTAAACCTGACTCAAGGTTTGGTGTCAAAAACAACAGAGTTTTGTTTTGTTTTGGTACCAGAAATTGAACTCAGGAGCACTTGACCACTGAGCCACATCCCCAGTCCGATTTTGTATTTTATTTAGAGTCAGGATCTCACTGAGTTGCTTAGTGCCTCACTGTTGCTGAGGCTGACTTTGAACTCATGATCTCCTGTCTCAGCCTCTGGGATAACAGGCGTGTGCCACCGTGCCCAGCTTCAGAGATGTTTTGAACGTAGAATTATAAGGCATTTTATCTCTCATCATGGCAAATGCTATTGTATAGTTCAATCATGGGGTAGGTCCTAAAAGAAATCAGGCTTAGGACATACCTAATAATTTGCAGAACTGAATTTGTGGGTATCCATGAATTCACTTTTATTATCTTAAAACTTTTCTTTAGTAGTGCATTATAAAGCTATACAGAATAGTGGGGTTGGCTTTGACATATTCATAAATGCATATAACATAGTTTTCTACATTTCAATCCCCAGTACATCTTCTTTCCATCACCCCTTCATTTTCATTCTTTACAGGTATATTTTGTGATTTAAAATGAATTATAACTATTATAAATAACAATGTGGCTAAATTTTAAATCTAAGTTTAAAAAAAAATCCAGATTTATCTCATTACTTTTTTTATTACACAAAAGCTAGCTCTTTAGGGACTTTTCTTGGCAGCAACTGGTTGAACCCTATTTATATCCAGAGATGGCAGAAAAGAGGGTCCTTTGCTCCCTCCCCATGTACAACAGAGCCTTAGAAATTCTCTTCAGCTAGGGGGTGCCCTCTGCAGCTCAAGAGGATTTTGCAGGGGTGGCCATGTGGATGTAGGAGTCAGCGAGTCAACTCTCACAGACTCCACAAAATTCACTTGCAGAATGAGTGGAATTTTTAAGTAGAAAACTGTCATTCTTGATTTGTGTCTTTAGGATTGTCCAGTGTAATATATATCTAGCATCGTTGAGAAGATGGGAGGTAGTGGACTGACTCTGAGGCTACCTAGTATTAGGAATACCTCTCCTCTCTTGGTAACTTGCTCTCTCTCTCTCTCTCTCTCTCTCTCTCTCTCTTTATATTTCTATATATATATATATATATATATATATATATATATATACAATTTTAAAACTAGTCCTAAAAAAGCATGTGTCAGGCGCTGGGGTTGTGGCTCAGCAGTAGAGCACTCACCTAGCACGTGCAAGGCCCTGGGTTCAATCCTCAGCACCACATAAAAATAAAGTAAACAAAATAAAGATATCAAAAAAAAAAGCATGTTCCAACATTTGACAGTGGGGGTGACTTCCATCAAAGCAGGGGGTCTTGGCCTAGCTCTTTTGACAACTAATACTTGCTTCCTCTGCCATGTGTAGGAGCACTTAGTACACAATACAGAAAATGGTCAAAAGCAGATGGAAGAATAGAGTTAGTGAATGATTACATTAATCCTGGATAATAGAGGAATCTTAGAAATATCTTAGGGACATTGCCTTCAATTCTGTAATGGATTAACTAAAAAATACATAGAAAGTAGCATTTTTTGAACCAATTCAAAATAAGTACTGCCAACTGAAAAAAAAAAAGGCAGCACAGCAGGGTGCAGTAGAACATGCCTGTAATCCCAGCAGTTTGGGAAACTGAGGCAAGAGGATCACAAGTTCAAAGCCAGCCTCAGCAACTTTGCAAAGCCCTAAGCAACTTAATGAGACTCTGTCTCAAAACAAAACATGAAAAGAGCTGGGGATGTGGCTCAGTGGTTAAGCACTCTGGATTCAATCCCTGGTCCCCCTGCCCCAAGGGAGGGGGGAAACAGACTGAAAGCTCACTGAAGAATCACATCTTGCTGAGTACCATGAAAATTTATACTTGGTAGAATATAATATGAATAAAATTGGAATGACAGCTGCTGAAATTGCACATTTTTTATTTAATAACTGACCAAAAGAGAGAAATCATCTTGCCAAAAATTTTGATCTGCAGAATTTGACATGGGAATTTTTGCTTCCTAGAAATAATGACCAGATAGTAAAAAAAAAAATTCATAATAATCAAAGAAAAGAAAACATAGTTATAATGTTTATGGAGGAAAAATCATTGTTGGAAATTCCTGTATCACTTACCATTGCTTACAGAAGTTTCACTATTACTATTAAAATGGCTCATTGTATATCTCCAAAGAGTCAGAGTAGAATGGATCAAGCTTGAGAAAGAAATATTATTGAACTTAATGATCAATAATTAGCATATTTGCTATTTTAAAAATTGACAAATCAACTCTTTGCTATAAAAAACATTCAGAAAAAAATTGATGGAAATAACTTCAGCAAATAAAAGTAGAAATAGAAAAATGTAGAAATGATGTAACTATTTTGTATAACTGAGAAATACAATTGGCTTAGTGAATGTAGAAAGTCCAAAACAAAATGATTTTGACGAATTCATCAGAGTTGAATTAATTTGCTTAAGATCTTTATATTCATAAACATGGAGTCAAAATATTCAAAAAGTAATCTTTAGATTAAAATGACTGTGTCAAAACATCTGGGTCAAAACATCCTAACTGTTTTGCACATGGCTTGAGTCATAAATTCAGTATTTATTCATTCATATTCCTTGAATACAAATTAATTGCTTTCTTCTATAATGATTTCAGACAAGTAGCCTTCAGGTCACTCTGGAAGATGGTCACATTGAATTGAGCACCAGGGACAGCAACGGCCCAATTTTTAAATCTCCAGAGACATATATGGATGGCTTACTGCATTATGTATCTGTAATAAGTGACCGCGCAGGGTGAGTGGGATGATATTTCTGCTAAAAGTGCTGAGAGTTCTACTTTATTAGTTTAATTAAATTTTCTGGTACCTTTTTGCAAAATATTTATTCTTAATACAAATGTGATTTGACTAATAAGTCTTGGCCTTTTTCCTTGTTCCATATTAATTTCCTCATTCACAAAATAGATCAATAGTTGGATAGATAAATTAACTGTGGTGCATTTAAAATTAAATACTATGCAGCAATAAAAAGAAAGATCTAGAACTATATATAATGACATGAATGAACCTAATGTTGAGCAAAAGAAGTCACACATCAAAGAGTTCATCCCCTGTGATTTTATTTACATGAAGTTCAAAAAATAGGCCAAGTTAATTTATCAAGTCAAAATTCAGGATACTGATTATTCTTGGAGAAGGAGGGAAGCTGGAGAGAAAAAAAAGGAACACAAAATCTATTTTGTTTCTTTTTTGGGGTGCCATTATGTTGGTGTATTCATGTCTCAGAAATCTGTTGAGTTGAACATTTATGTTATGTGTACTTTCTCTATCTGTACAATGTCTAATAAAAAAGGTAATGTGAAAAATATATATATGAAAAAAATTTAATGTTCTTTAAAAAGTCTAACTAGTTCTTTTAGGTAATAGTGATTGAGTCTAGGTTAAAACAGCAACTTGACCAAGATGGCAGAGTGGTATTTTTTTTCCCTAGTTGTTCTTATATTTGTTTTGTTTTCCTCCTCTTCTAGCCTCCGACTTCTCGTTGATGACCAGCCTCTGAGAAGGAACCAAAGGCTATCAGGCTTTTCAGCTTCTCAGCAATCTCTCCTCCTGGGTGGGAGTTATTTCGAGGGTTGTATCAATAATGTTTTTATCCAAAGGTGGGTGATCTTTTCTCCGTGTGTAACTTCTGAGGACAGCCTGCCTGTGTGAAGGGTATCTCATTGATCCAGTTAGCAAAGTCAGATCGATCAACATGCTGTACAAGCCTCTCACACCGCAGACTCCCAAAATACCCTCTTTGGCAAGAGACGTCCATTAACAAACCAACCAACAAAAAAGCTCCTGACTTCAGCCTCCCTGTAGAAGGGCAGCTTTGGCATATAACCTTGGAAAAGGTCTAACTAAAATTAACTTTCAGATTATGGTCCTGAAAAAATATTCACCCTGAAGTTTTATTTCATTTTAATCAAGATGGGGGTAATTAGATATAATCAGTTCACCATAGTTTTCAAGCCAAGGAATTGCATGGACCAGTGTAGTAATAGGAAATCAAACCACCACAGCATTGAACATGACTTTTAGTAGAAAGAATAGAGCTTGGTGTTTCTATGCATGCTAGCATTTAACTATTTCCTGAAATTTTTAATAATTGGATTTAGATAAAAGGCAAAATCCTCCCCAAGGCAGAGAGAAGTCCTCCTGGTGTTGGCCATGCATCTTGTACTTGGAACTTGTAGGCTGCCTTGATGGTGCTCCCTCCCTTCCCACCACCCATCAGGCACCAACCTCCTTGGCCAGGATCAGGCTCAGAGTTCTCAATCTCCATCTGTTTGATGTAACATCTTCCTTGAGCAGGAGGTGGGAGTGATGGAGAAGACAGGAAGGGGGTTAGTCTTTCGGCTGACATAAGTCTCAGGCAGCAAACATGGGATAAAGCAGATCTGCTGTGACACTTTCCTACTCAAACATAGTCAGATGCATCCTTCCATAAACTCAGAGGTTTGCTGGTGTTTGCCCTCATTTTGTATCAGCCGGTGCCCATCTTTTCCCTCTCTGCATATTTGATTTTCACATTTCTCTCTATGACACCCATTCCCAAGAAAGAACTAGTATTCTAGCCCTGCCACAGTCCAAGTAATAAAAGTTTCTTGAGCCCTTCTGCTAGCCTGTAGATGTGACATACAGGCAGGTGATGGAAGTTGACCTAGGCAACGAGAATGCTATTTTTATGAGGCACTCTCTGGACCAGTGGGTCTTCCTCCATGAGTGACAGTTTGACAGCAGCTTTCACTTCTGCCTTCCTTCCAGGTTATCCGAGAGTCCTGAAGTCCTGGATTTGGCCAGTAAATCTACCAAGAGAGACGTGTCCCTGGGAGGCTGCAGTTTAAACAAACCACCTTTTCTAATGTTGCTCAAAGGTTCCACGAGGTTTAACAAGGCCAAGACTTTTAATATCAACCAGGTAAGTGTCAAAGCCTCACCCTGAGTTTGACTTCTCCCCAGAGCATGCTCCTCAGCCTGCCTGGTGGGAGAGGGTGGGCCAGGGGATGAGCAGTCACTGGGTCCATGTTGGGCAGTGGCTCCATGAAGCAGCACTGGTAGCCATTGATGGCTGAATTGCACCAAATGACAAAGCGAGTTTTCTTTTTAGCCTTTATTTTGTATCTTGATAAAAAATTTGGCATTGTTTGCAGTCAGAGAACAAATAGAAATATAACTGAAGGCAATGGGTAAGTGCAAAGCCTGGAGATAGAAGAAGGCAGAGAGGTTGATTACTTACACCTGAGGGTTGTTATCAGCAGTGTTTTTATCCAGAGGTGGGTGATCTTTTCTCAGTGTGAAACTGATAAGGACAGCCAGCCTGTCACAAGTACAGAGAGCACACTGGGGTTCATTCTTAAAGCAGTGCCTCTGCACCAACAAAGAAAACAAAGGGCTTGTACTGGAAAGACTCTAATCCCATGCAGAGGCAGGTGCACTTCTGAGCATGCTCAGTTGGAAGTCATGCATCTTCATATGTCACATGTTCAAAAATGACTGATAGGAACACTCATCCCCTGGGTGGAGGTTTTAACGTTATATTGAGATTATAATGAACAATCTTTACTCTAAGTTACCTGGAAGAGGGCCTGTGAGGCCTTGGCTGGTTTAAACCAGTTCCTTGTGGTTTTCTCTGGAGGGCTTCAACGGAAACATAACAAACAAAAAGCTTGAGAGGAATACTAATAGTCATCTAAAGGGGCAGCAGCTCCCCTGTCCAATATAGATGATTGCCCCTAAAACTAACTGCATAGCTGCTAACAGAACTTGAACTTGAGAATTTTTTTTTCTGTAGCTGATGTCATACTCTTTTGACACTTGTGCTGAGACTATAGCAGTCCAATGATTTTCTTTAGAACATAAGGTCCACACCACTTCTCTTGCCCTCAGATATTACCTCTGCCCTAGTGCAATTCCTGAGGTAAGGTATACACATGCACCCAGGCCTCGCTGAAGCCAATAATATGCATTATCAACTGCATGTTAGAAACACCCAAGGAACTTTAAAACCCCAGTGTTCAGGCTACATCTGACCCAATTAGGTCAGAGGCCCTTGGACTAGGCCAGCAAATCATAAGTTTATAAACTCCTCAGGTGATTCTAATGTGCAGTGCTGAGAAAGATTGAAAGGAAATGCCATTCTTGGTGTAGAGGAATGAAAATGTGGTCATGAATTGAACACAGGTCAGGATTTAGGGAATTCCTCGCCCTGCCTGAGGTCAGCAGTGTGACCTCCCCAGGCCTAAGGTCACAGTTAACCCCAAATACCTCTGATCTATCAGGTATTACAGTAACGCTCCAAGTACACTTTCATACTAAATCCTTAACCTTTTGTGGTAAGTACTATTAATAGGCACATCTTACAGAAAAGGATGCTGTGTTTTAGACAGATAAGCAATTGTTGGCCCATATTCCCCCAGGCAGAATGTGGAGATACAATTCCAACCCAGGAGCCCATGCTGTCTTGAGAGCAATCTGCCCTTGTTCAACACACTTTTCTCTTGATGTCAACCACATACTGCTCATCTACCAATATTTCCTTGCTCTACAATAATTCGGGGACATGAGAACAGATAATACATAAGAAGAAGTGTTTCCTGCTATTAAGAAGAAATGCATTTCTTAAATTCCAAAGGGTTGTCATTTTACTGCTGTGAGAAGAATAGTTTTAGAATTGCCTTCTTAGAAATTAAGTCATGTATTCATTTTTTTTATTGTAAGGCTGATAGCTACTGAGATACAAAATTAGCATAGTGATGGTAGGACTGGAAAGAAGGAGATGGATTCAAAGCTAGTTAGAAGATATAATATATTGAAATAAGACAATAATTGGATTTGAGAGACCAGGGAAAGGCAGGAGAATTCCTTGTCAGCCAATCTGGATTGTTGGGTAGACAGAGATGCCATTGAGAGAGCCACAGAGACAGGAGAACAAGTATTTGGAGGGAAGGAGGAATAGTTTGTGTTATATTGAATGACAGGTGTCTTCAGGTGGAGATAGATGGGGAGGGACCATCAGTGTCTCTGGGTGGAACTGGGGCTATTGCCATGGGAGATACCAGTGAATACATTATTTAATTTTCTCTCTGCTCCAGGCAAGCTCCAGGGTAGATAGAAGAAGATCATTCTGCTTCCAATAGCAGAGAAAATGCAACATAAATTAATAGTTAGGTCATAGACCTTGGAGTCAAACTTCCTGAGTTTGCATGGAGCCTTTCCACTGACTAGGTGTGTGCCCTTGAATTGTTTAACCTCTCTGTGGGTCTCTTTGCCCCAGTGTAAATGAAGACAAATAGTGATAATATCTCATGAGATTGGCATGACAATTAAATGAGAAAATAAATACAAAACCCTTAGAAAAGTGCCTTCCCTGTAGCATGCAATACACATTAGTTATTATTACTGTGTATGATAAGAGGAACCTAAATGAGAGGGATGTGACATGCTATAGAAGTGGTACAACAGGAATTTTCCTGTCATGGGAATCAGGGGGGATCTTTCTGGAGGATGACCCAGGAGCTGGAGATATGTGGAGTATGAGTTGTGTTTAGATTCATGAATATTTGTGCAGCATGAGCTGAAGCCCAAAGTTGGGAGGCAGGATGTGGGCGGCACTCACTTGTACCAAACACTTTGCAAGCATCCTCTGTGATGCTCTCAAGGCTTCATGTTGTCTCTTTCAGCTTGCACCACAGCCCTCTGAGGGCAAAATAAAACACCACTTCATGGGCCAGGAAATTGAGTTCAGAAATGCTTTAAAAAAAAAAATCTTGCCCCAGCATACACAGTCAGTAAATAGTAGAGTCAAAATCTCCAATAATATGCTTTTCAGGCCTCTACAGGCTGGAAAGGCTTGGTGAACAGTGGGAAATTTAGTGGAGAAAGGAAACTGGAGAGAGATAACTGGAATCACACACTAGCATCTGATCAGGCAAGCTTAGTATGTCCCTTGAATGTTCTTCAACAGTCAATGCAAAGCCATTGAAATAAGTGTTTTAAGCTACTTTAAAAAGTAAAGATTGTTAAACTGGCAGGCAGGTTTGGGGATGATTTGAAGTAGGAAAATTCTAAAGACAAGGGGTCAAATTGGCAGGCTACTGCAATAGTCCTGGCAAGAGAGTCAGGGCTGACTTTAAGGGCAGAGGCACTAGAAATGAAAAGGAAAAGTGGAGACAAAAATGTGTCACAGAGAGACAGAGTAAGATGTGAAGACAGTGTACCAAAGAGGCAAAGGAGGCAGGTGTTCATGATGACCAAGATTTTGAGCCTGGGTTCCCTGAAGGACAAAGGGGATTTATCAAAACTGATCTTGATGATTGTGTGACTGCTGAAGAAACAGGACAGACTCACACATGGGTCACCTCTGATGGAAATGAGGCCGGGATGTGGTCCCCCTGCCCTTCTGTGTCTTCTCTCAGTCCTTTCACCTGTCCTGCTGCAAAAGCCCACGTGAATGGTGAGGAAGGGGTTGGCAGGCTTATGGCTCCATGGAGGCCTTGTGCTGCTGTCTCAGGGGACACCATGGTTCTTCTGATAGTCCAGGATGGGGAGGGGCCCTGGATACCTGGGGTTCCCAGGTCCATCAGCTTTCTGCAAAGTGGCCAGAACTGTACAGGATGGGAATAATGTGTATCCTCCCCAAAGACAGAGCCAAAAAAAGGGGGGGGAGTGTTTTTTTAAAAAGGGGGGTGTTTGGGGCTGGGGATGTGGCTCAAGCAGAAGCGCACTCCTCAGCACCACATCAAAATAAAATAAAGATGTTGTGTCCACCGAAAACTAAAAAATAAATATTAAAAAATTTTCTCTCTCTCTCTCTCTCTTTAAAAAAAAAGGGGGGGGGTGTTTAGATTCTCTAAAACTTTGTCTCCCCAAAGAATGAGCTCTTCCTCCTTCTTGGAGGCAAAAGACCCCCAAAACAAAGCCTCCCTGGGACACCCATGGGTGGATCTGGCTGTGGTGGGGTTAAGGAGCTGAGAATGCATGCTGACTCTCCATTCTGTCTCCTCCTGTCACTCAGAGGCTCACAGAAGGTTTCTCAGTGGGAACTTCCATCCCATGGGATTATTTGCTGTCTCTTCGACTTTTCCATTGAATCCATTTCTTAGAATAGAGTGAAAACTGAACAAGGCATTTGGCAAGATTAGACTCTTCCCTCTTTCACCTGATAACTAGCTGCCCTAATTTTTTGCTCCTCTCCCATGCAGCTGTTGCAAGACACACCAGTGGCCTCCCCGAGGAGCATGGAGGTGTGGAAAGATGTGAAGTCTTGCCCACTACCTCTCAAGGCCGAGACCAATCAAGGAGCCCTCCAGTTTGGGGACAGTCCTTCCAGTCACTTGCTATTCAAGCTTCCCCAGGAGTTGCTGAAACCCAGGTATTTTTGAATTTTCCTGCTCCAGTGCCAACTCAGAACCCAACTGCAATTCTACCCCAGGGAAGTCTAGCTGTATGACACCGTGCAACCTGTCACTAATGAAGGTGGCCCGACCAGTTTTGTAAAGAGAGGTGCTAGCCTGCACAGGACAGGCAGCGTGATTGCCTGCCATGTGCTCTTCCTCACAGCTGGATTGCAAATGTGACAGTGTGCTGCTCAGGGCCTGAAACAATCAGTTCAGCTCCGGTTTAGAATTGACAGTGTTCTAAAAATAAGGCTGATATTTTTTTTTTTCTAAAGCTGCTATTTATTTCAATGACAAATCACCTTTCTTCTCTTGCATTCTGTAGTGAAAGGAAAATCATTCTTTTAGGTAGCCTCGGTGCCAGATAGATCATTTTTAGAGAATGCATCTAGACTTTCTATGCTAACAAGTTGCATCCTTTTGGAGGAGGAGGAGGAGAGATATGAATCATATCGGTACAAAGTAGAAAAACAAGGTTTGTCATTTTCAGGTGACTTGAAGGAGACATAAAGAAAAGAGTGTCAAGCATTTCTTCAAGAGTATTCTACAGAGGGAGCATTGCCCAGGAGTCAAAAAGACCTGGACTTGAACTTGTGGCTTGCAATCCCTGCTTGGCCACACATTGGCCAGCTCCACTCCTCTGAGACAAGATGCCAAGATGGGGTTAGGTGGGCAAGAGTTTTATTGTGGGAAAGCTTGTGAAAGATGACCAGGAAGGGACAGATGTAGGCAGGTGAGGGGACAACCTGTAGCTGGAGGGTCCTAAAGACATTTGCGAAGGAAGAGGTACAGGGAGGAGGGTTGAGTACAAGGACCTCATACGATAGTGCAGTTCTGAGAAGTCAGCCATGGGCCCCCCAAGCACAGACCACCCCTGAGAAGGGCTCAGTGTCATGCATAAGTGGCCTGCTCTAGTATATGACCTCACTCAGTCTTTGGCTGAAAACAGCCTGCAGTGCTGCTGCAGATCCTAGGGTATGACAGCTGGGGGCTACCAGGACACTGCAGGTAGCCCCACAGCAGCTGCCCCACAGCAATTCTTACGAAGGAAACACATCTTTGTGGCCATCATAAAGTGTAACTTTTCTAAGTGTAAGCCTTCTTTCCATGTCTGGCTCATATGCTTTAGCAAACTGCTGTGTATCTCTGGACCTCAGTTTTCTCATCAGTTAAATGGGGCTGATGCTGTTTTCCTTGCAGCAAGGAGCAGTAATGGCCTGGAATGAAGCAGGCCCTGGGAACCCCATTCAGTGAACCATGAACCCCATTCATGGGCGTGACTCACAGGCAGCTGGGTGTGAAGGCCCGACAGGCCTTGCAATGCCGGTGTTCTAAAGGGGAGAGCCTATGCAGGTGGCTCCAGATCTTCAGTAGCTTCAGGAAAAGTCTAAGGATCCTTCATTTACCAAATCTGTGCAAGTGGAAGACTAAAATAGAGGGAGTAGGGTTTATCCCTCAGTTTACCTATCCCTGACTTCTCAGTTGGGATGCCCTACTGCCCTGCCCTCTTGGTCAAGATGACCTCAGTGACAACCATCTCTCTTAAAGGAACAGTAGCTGCACATACTGCCCGGAATGTCCTTTCCCAGCTCTCCATTGTGGCCTCTCCACCAGCTCTGCCCTCCCCAGGTCCCGTCCCCTGCATCTTCTCCTTTAGCGCATTTAGTGGAATGAGTCACCAGCCGCTTCTTCCGATTCAAGCCCAGTACCTTTGCATCCAATACTCAGTTACCCATCCTAAGTGGAAACGGTAACATTTTAAAAGGCAAAGTGAAGAATCTTTAGCAAATAGAATTTTTAAGTTATTTTAGTCTCAAATATTATAGCAGTCAGATTATATTTTCAGGGAGTCACAAGATTTATAACATTCTGCTGTTCTCATTCTGATTTTCATCCCGGCAGGCAGTGTTTTGATTCTCCTTTAAAACCGGTCCCATTATTATAAAATGTTGTTTAGATTCTCCTCCCTTCCTTCAGCCATGAGGATTCATAGCTACAATATCATAGATTGGGATTTGGATCTACTGCTGCCTTTTTGGAGTGTTAGTTAGTCTTTTCTGAAAGAAAATTGCTTTAAAAAAACAGTGCTAGGAAACAAATGTCAAGTCTGATTACCAAGCCCACATATGCAAAGTACTTTACATTCTGGAGCAAGTTCCAGCATCCTCCTTAAAATTGGCAAATTGGCCAAGCCTCATTCCCCAACCCTACACACTGGCACACAGACACCAGGAGAAACACTGAGCGGTGTTACCATCTGGGTGGTTTAATTTAACAAATATGGGTTGCTTTTTCATTTTGAAGAATGTTGCCCTCTAGGAAACTTGATAATCTGAAGAATAAATGTGCATCTCAGCCTCGCAGTATTAAAAAGCAAAGAGAATTAATAGTGTACTTTTTCCTTCCACTTTCAAGATCTACCTCCAGATTTTCCATTTACTATTTAACCCAATTTAGTTTTTATTAAGTGCCTACTGTTTACTAGGCTCTGGGGAAACAGCTGTGAGCAGAACGAACCTCGTTTCTGCCCTGTGTACCTAGATGTTAACCACAGTGAATGAGTGTTTTAGTTTGCTTTTCATCTCTGTGACCAAAATAACTGACAAGAACTACTTAGAGAAGGAAAAGTTTATTTTGGCTTATGAGGTTCAGTTGATGGATGGCTGATTCCATAGCTCTGGGCCCAGGGTGAGGCAGAGCATCATGGAGGAAGGGCTTGGCCAAGAAAGGCAGTTCAGGACATGATAGTGGGGAAGCAGAAAATGCTGTACTCACCAGGGAGAAAATATAAACCCCAAAGTCACACCCTCAGTGACCTACTTTTTCCAGTCACACCCTGTCTCTCTACATTTACCACCTGGTTAATCCATACCACTGGATTAATCCACTGATGAGGTTACAGCTCTCGTAATCTAAACATTTCACCTCTGAACATTCTTGCACTGTCTCACACATGAGTTTTTTGGGGTCACCCACATCTACAACGAGTGATGATACCGATGTCTTCATCACATTTATCATGCTGCACTTTCATGAACCCCTCTCAGTACACACATGTACTATAAACAACTCAAGGAATGGAACATCCATGGCTGCATTCCTAAAGCCCAGCATAATCCTTATACATGCTCATTAAATATTGTTGGATAGAGAGACAGTTGTGAGTTTTCATAGAAAATAAAACTTGCTTAGCCAGATCGGCAATAATAAGGAACCCTCATGCAAATAAGCATTAACTTTCAACTCTGCTTTGACTCCATGGTATTTGCCTGATTCCATTTCCATCATAGGTGAACTATAAGGGTCAGAAAAGTGTGGGGTAGGTAGAGAAGGTGACTTTGTACCTCTGTGCCTTTTTGTTCAAAATGTCTTACAGAAACAAATGCTTATCTAATGTTTGAATCACATCCTTGTCATCAAGCTGTCCCCTGCTCCTCCTACACTTCCCATGAATATACACAAAATAGGATGCATGTTCATTGGATTTAAAGAGTTTAGGTTTCTTAGTCACAGAAAGAGAAGTACTGTGTGATTGAATTTAAATGGGGGACCTAGAACAATCAAATACACTGATACAGGAAGTAGAACGGTGCTTGCCAAGGGCTAGGTAGAGAGGCAAACAGGGGACAATTGTTGAATGGGTAGACATTTTCAGTTTTAGAAGATGAAAGCATTCTGGAAATTGACTGTATATCATTATGAATATTCTTAACACTACTGAACAATATGCTTAAAGTGGTTAAGATTGTACATTTTATATTATGTAAATTTTACCCTAATTTTCTTAATATATATATTCTTTGAAGTTCAGGCATGTTCTTTCTTGCCACATGCTAGGATTTATACCATCAGCTAAATTTGCCGTAGGAGTGCCTCATTATTCCCCCAAAGTGGTAAAGAACTTGTACCAAAAAAACTATCCATAGTTGGATTAGAATGTCTTCTGAAAGTTCCCAGAGAGACAGGTCAGTTAATGTGTGTCTCACTTTTTTTGTTGTTTTTATTGTTGCCGCCCTGGGAATCAAGCCCAGGGTATCATGCATGGCGCCTCACTTATGCATGTGACAAAAGAGAGTTTCAGTGTTTGCTTCCCACCCACTTTCCCAGACCAGAGAAGCTGAGAAATATTAAAAACCTCTGTTTTTCTTCATTGTCTATTGCTCTTTTCCCATAGATCTCAGTTTGCTGTGGACATGCAGACAACGTCCGCCAAAGGGCTGGTGTTTTACACGGGCACCAGGAACTCCTTCATGGCTCTTTACCTGTCAAAAGGACGCCTGGTCTTTGCATTGGGAGCAGAAGGGAAAAAACTGAGGCTCAAGAGCAAAGAGAAATACAATGATGGGAAGTGGCACACGGTAAGAGCTGGGGCTGCACTATTGCAGGTCGAGCATGCCCCAAAATCCAGAATGTGTCAGAATCCTAGATTTTTAAAACACCGATTTGGCAAATGGAAAACTCCACACCTGATCTCTTGTGATGGATCACAGTCAAAACACAGCCACACTAAAAGTAATTGTACCAAATTTCAGGGTATAGGTATAAGGTACATATGGAACATAAATGAATTTTGTGTTTAGAGTTGGGTCCCATTCCCAAGATATCTCATTATATATGTGCCTATTCCAAAATCTGAAAAAAAATCTGAAATCTGTAACAAGCATTTTAGATAAGGGACATTCCACTGTTGTGCAATTCATCATGCAAGTAGCCAAAGACACAAGTCCCAGCACTCTTCTCAGGCACTAAAGCATGGGCATAGGGAGAGCTAGTGTGGTTGGAGGCCCTGAGCATCTGCATCAGACTGGAGACTGCTGCACGTGCCTTGTGTGTGTGACACCCCATGTGCCAGGGTGCACTTGACCCACTGTTCTTCAGTCCCCACCACACCATCCTGGGCTGCATCACTCCCCTAGCCTGCATCCACCCCTTCTTCTTGGGCCATTGCTGTCCTCCAGGGCCAACTTCCAGGCTGCTAGACCTCTTTCTGGTCCTGGAACTGCCTTCCCCATAGCACACTATGCAGATCTACATCTCCCACCTTCCTTCCAAAGAAGAAGATTTTTTAAGAAGATCCACACCCTAGAATCCCAGCTTTGGCCCAAAGGCATTCCAGATGTCAAAAAGATAAAGCAGAAGTGCAAAAGGGAACTTTTAATTTTTTTTCCTAATGAGGAAACTGGTTCTCAGAAAACTCAAGTGACCTGACCTGAGTCAAGTGAATGACTCTTACTTGGTGATTCCACAAATGTTTCATGAGCTGCTCTCTTGGAGCATGTAAACAAAAATATCCTCAACTTCATGTCAGAAACTGGTGTCTTGAGAAAATACCAGAGCAAGGGCGGGAAATGACAAGGCAGGGTGGGGCGGCTATCTTATATCTCAGGTCAGGTAGTCAGGAAAGGCCTCCAGCAGGGAGTGGTCTTCATATGGAATTATGGGAAACAGCAGAGGGAACAGCAAATAGGAAGGCCTTGAATTGGAAGTTAGCTCAGTGAGCAAATCACAAAGCAGTAAGGTTGGAGAAGGAGGCAAGGCCTGATCATTTAAGTCTTGAAAACCAAGTTAAGGACTTTGGATTTTATTCCAAGGGTCTCTGAAGTTTTTGAAGAGACTTAAGCTAATGAAGAAGCAGAATTACATGAATAGATTTATGTTTTTTTTAAAAAAAAAAAAACTCTGTTTAGTTGAAGAAACTACAGGAGGGTAAGAGTAGAAGTGGGGGCCAGATGGATGTGATAGCCTTTGCCTAGAGAGGCTGAGGTGGAGGTGTGGAAAGAGGTGGGGGTCTGCATATGTTCTCAAGGCAGAGCAAGAGGGCTGGTTGGGGGATTGCATGAGGGGAGGATCTGGGCCAGCAGTTGGGTCAACAGCAAGTCATTTCCTGAGATGGAGAAGCTAGAGAGGAGGTGGATATGGCCAGAGAGGTAGCTGTTTAGGGCCAGAGAAGACTAGGAGCTCTATTGTAAGTGCCTTGGGGGCAGTGTCCAATCACACACTGTACCAGGTGTGTCTACAGAGAGTAGAGGGGTGTTAATGAAAGTCCCAGAGCCATAAGATGCAGAATCCATGACGTGTAGCAAAGAGTTGAAAACACTTGCCCCTCTTAGCAGAAGAGAAGTGGTTTTCACTTGCCCTGGAGCCTTGCCTAAGGGTGTGGTGACTTCCACTCCTCAGATCTATCAAACTGCTCCTTCTCTTGGTTGCAAAGATATTTGTTGGTTTTTATGCCTTTGGTTGTTCATCTTTTGTTTAAGTTTCCAAATCTCATTTTTGAGTATTATTTAGCTCACCTTTTTAGCTCAGTGTATTCAACTTCTAATATATTCTCACAAAACCATGGTGATGATCATAAACAGGAAGAAAACATCTGATTTTTAAAAGCTAGCTGAAAGTTAGAAAAACTTTTTCCTGTAACCAGTAATAAAATACAGCATCAATTGTCAGAGGTAAAGATTTGATTCATTTATTCTCTTTCCTCCAAAGGTGGCATTTGGGCAAGATGGTGGAAAGGGGCGCTTGGTTGTAGATGGGCTGAGGGCCCAAGAGGGGAATTTGCCTGGAAATTTCACTGTTGGCACCAGAGAACAGATTTACCTGGGATCATCTCCATCAGGGAAGCCAAAGGTAACTGTAAATTTAAAATAATTCACTGTGTATCAGAACCATTATGATTACATGAGATATTTAAGAATTTCAAAATACTTTAAATGACTTTTTATATCTAATATTCACAACCGAAGGGAAGGTGCCCACTCCCCATACTGAAGCTTTGCTTTTTAAGGTGCAGGTTGAGACACAGACCCCAAGAAATTGAATATGGAACTTTGGTGTGGCTTTATACACATGAGTCTCAGCTTCTAGGAAAACAGGTTTAAGGTCGTGGACCTAAAGAGATTTTGAATTAAGATAATGTATTCCAGGCTAATTTGTGCCACCTTCACTGTCCTTGCTGAACTTAGGCAAAGGATTTACTTCATGGTTTGCTCTCTCATAATTTGTTATTGAATTTTAATGTGTTTTTAATGGGGTCCTTTTCTCTCTCTCAGAAATGGAAACCCAGTATCTTTTGCCATAAAGAGTAGGTAGCCATAAAAACAGATATGCAAAATAAAACAGAATTAGAAAAGTCTAACTGGATATAATGGTCTATACCCTCTTCATTGGGAGAAAAAGGAGCTTGCCAAGTGATCAAGGGCTGTTTAAGATATATTAGCACAAAGCTGAAATGTGTCCCTTGTCCTCACCAGTGGGCTAAAAGGAGCATTGCCAAAGGAAGAGGGCAGAGGTGTAGCTCATGGTAGAGAGTCTGCTTGTACACACAAAAAGGGAAATTCCAGAAAAATTTAACTGACTCAACATTTACTCGAATGTTGTTCAGTGTTTGAAATAACAGACTATCTCAAAAACCCAACTTGGGAATGCTGACTAAGGACAGTCAGGACTCCCTGTGTCTGCAGGGAAGAGAGGCTCTCCTCTGGGTTTCTCGGATTCTAAGGCTCTCTGGGGCCTCAGTCCAGGGCCAGCTGTGGGCATGCCCTCCCCATGCCTCTCTCCTCCCTCTTATCCAGAGGCCAAATTGCACCTGTGATACCTGGGAAGGCCTGGTGCATCGGTCTCTTCTCCGAGTTCCTTTTTCTCCTACAGAGGTAAGCAAAATGGTCAATAACTCAGGCCTAGGAACTGCCTTCCACCTAAATGTAACTTTTACTCCTTTCCTCAAGAGCCTGTGGCACCTTGTGGTGTGTTTGCTTTTGGTGAGACAGGGAGGGGCCAAGTTCAAACGTGAACTTGGAAAGGGACATAATATCTAATATCCTATTAGGTCTTTATCACTTCTCAGGCTGACCTAGCCAAAGCCAAGGTGTCTCCACAGGGTACAGCCTGCCCACTTGCATTTTGGCCAGGGCTTAGGTCCAGGCCAGAACCCCAACAACCAAGAAAGCATTATCTTAATTTATTACATTCAGTAACTTTTACATGTATACCACAATATAAAACATATGTATATTGCAATGCAATATATGTATACAATATAATCTGTAATATGTAACATATTCAGTGCTAAAGAGGATCCTCAATACTAATGTTTACTGTTTTCTAACCTTTGTATATATTTGTCTCTCAGAGAAATCACAGGAATGAGTAGTTATTCAAGGCCAAAATTTGGGCATTCTTTTGACCTGAATAGATTCTCTTAAAGTCACCTTCTCTTAATCACACCTGGCTTCCCAACATTTGGGCAAATGTGGCACCCATTGAAAATATTTTTACAGGGAAGGTTTATTTTGTGACCCTCCTACAACCTGAGGGTATAAACCTTTGTTTTAGTCCTCTTCGGTATCTTTCCAAGAGCGGTGCTTCTGAACACCAGAACTGTACTCAGTCCTTAGGGATTCAGTAGCAGGTTACAGCCCATCCTGGGGAGTCTGCACTTGGTCTCAGACACAGGTGTTTCATTGTCACGTGACAACATAACAAATCTTAAGAAACTAACAACTTTATTAAAAAAAAAAAAAAGAAACTAAAAACACGAGGAGGCCAATCAGCAGCTTATGGTTGACCCTGGTACCACATGCATCTCTAATATCACCTCTCTTATGTCTAGAGTCCAGGGTTCTAAAAGCATTTATTGTAGAAGGAAGGTAAGGGATTTTGTTCAATGATTCTTAAACTTTGTTTTTAGAATTTTATAAATATTTTGAGAATTTTCCTAATCCTTATGGTCCTTCTTCCCAGAAAAATGAGAACATCTGGTACCAGAGGTTACAAATCCTAAAAAGCCCATCTGTGGGCCCAGGTGAGGAGCCCCAGTTCCAGGCCAGCTTCAGGCAGGCAAGGAGTTCCCCACCAGCCCACTGATGATGCACACGGCATCTTATTTTAACTACAGCATTCGTGATTTGTCGGAAGGACACTGAGCCTAACGGTGTAGGGAGCTGTTTTGCACTTTATTATTTTTGGAACATTCTGGCCTCGTTTTTCAATCAGCTGCCCTGCATTAAGCTAGCACATTGGCTCATAAAACCCAAAGAAGTGGTTTTATTCCTACAAAGAGTCAAGGAGCTCTGTTGAACAGTGGGGTGGAAATTTCCCCCTGTTGTGGCTCAGTCTAGATGGACCAGGGTCAGGTGGATCCTCCTCCTCCTTCTTCTTCCAGCCCAAGTTGGAAGCCTTCACCGCCTCTCCCTCCTACACACCCTGCTTGGTTTGGTGACACCTTCAAACTTGGACCACACACCACACATGTGGTGTGCAGGTTTTTCTTGAACACTGTGGGCAGGAAGCCAAATGGCACAGGAAGGCCCTCCTGACTTTTTCAGACTGAAGTACCCTTCATGTTGGCCACCCCTGCATTTCTGAGAGTTGTAATAATGAATTCTTTCTTTTCTGCTTGGTTACAGAGCCTCCCCCAAAACAGCTTTGTGGGATGCCTGAGGAACTTTCAGTTGGATTTAACGCCCTTGGATTCCCCTTCCGCGAGCTTTGGGGTATCTCCTTGCTTGGGAGGCTCTTTAGAGAAAGGCATTTATTTCTCCCAAGGAGGAGGTCACATCATCCTAGGTAAGAAGCAGTTTAGTAGAGTTCATGTCTCTAAGTCTTGAGAACCATTTTTATTCTTTAATTATGATGTTTTAACTGTTATTTGTTTTGTTTTGTTTTTTTTTAAAGCTAATTCTGTGTTGTTGGGGCCAGAATTTAAGCTTGTTTTCAGCATCCGCCCCAGAAGTCTTACTGGAATCCTAATCCACATCGGAAGTCAGCCAGGACAGCACTTAAGTGTTTATATGGAGGCAGGAAAGGTAGGTGGCAGTTTGATAATGTGGGAAGGGTAGACGGCAACCAGATTTCATTTCTGGAGATCATGGTAGGTGAAGTTACGGGAGAAGGTGGAGCTTGTATTTAAGAGATCTTATATTTAAAAGACCTGGCTTTGAGGCTGCCTTACTATTTTCCATTAGCAAGGAATTTGTCATCATATTATCTCCTCTTTCTTTTCAAAACTGGGAAAACTCTAACAAGTTGGGCTGAATTCCAGATACACCACTTAGTTGTAGGGCCCTGGGGAAGTTGCTTAAACTCTTCAGCTCACTTGCAGCATCTATAAAATGTGGACAATAATTCTTATTTCCTGGGGTTGCCATGTACCCCATAAATGTTCATTTTCCCTTCTTCTCTCCACCCTCATCTCTACTTTTATTGAGAATTGTAGGCTCGGAATCAACAGGGTATGTCCTCCTACCGGCTGTCTACACCATGGCACACCTGTGCCCATGGTCCTCTACCCATGGAATCCATTCTGCATCCAACTTCATTTTCTACACAATTCCAGCCCTCTGCTCCCCACAACCAAGCTGGTCTCTGGGTCCCACTCTGACTATCCTTTGGTTTTTCATGGATTCCTTCCTCAGTTTATGCTTTTGCTATCTCTCCCCTCTCATCACTCCCAGTTGGATGTAACGCCCTTGGATTCCCCTTCTGCAAACTTTGGGGAGGCTTGGGAGGCTCTTTAGAGAAAGGCATTTGTCTCTCAACCACCCAGCATGTCTCCTTCCTTCTCAGAGAAGTCTCTTGAAAATATTCTTCCAGGAAGACTTTCATAGTCTTCAAGTCAAAGATTGCTGCTATGCCATTTTCTTTCATCTCTGTTCTTCCACAGCTTTGTGGGAAAAGTGCCAGAAGAGAATAAAATGGACCAAACTCCTAGATCAGTGTGTGTGTGTGTGTGTGTGTGTGTGTGTGTGTGTGTGGTGTTTGTGTTTAGTGCTGCAGATTGAACCACTAAGCAAGTTTTTTACATGCTAAGCAAGTACTTTACCACTGAGCCACATCCCCAGCCCCTGGAACATCTTAACTGGAGTCTGAATAGATCTCCAGTTGCCCAGAGGAACAAGCAACTACCCATCTTTGGGTAGATGAGACAAGGCTGGATTTTCAGAGGAGGGGTTGGAGAAGGTGTCCAGTGGGAGTTTGTGGATAGGAAATAATCTCAAGAAAACAAAATCAAGACCCAATGACCTTCATGCCATCAGTGACATTGTTGACCTCAAGAGCTGCCTGTGAATAGATGGGTGCATTTAACTAAAGGCAGATTAAATGTAAATTATTTACAGTGACACTTACTCTAGTCCTCTCATTTCATTCACTTTAATTCAACCCTTGAAAGATCTTGAAGGACCCCTGACTGGGAAGGTGGGATTCTGCACAAGACATTTTGAGTGCCTGATGCCAAACATATATATGCCCCGTACAAAAGCAAACTGTTGGTTTGTTTTATGTTTTATGTCTCTTGTTTTATGACGCTCTAGCTGTAATGCGTTCATGGGGTTGTTATTATTATTATCTGGCCCTTGCAGCAGAGGATAGGACTCCACTAGCATTTTTGCCTTCCAATTTCCCATGATCTGCTCAACAGATTCACTGTCACATGTTAACTGTTAAGGAGGATGGAGTGTTCATCAGTAACCTTTGAGTAGGGTTGATGGGGATAGGGTTTGGATTGGGAGAGAACAAACAGCTCATCACCATTGCCAGCAAGGTCAAACTGGGTAAGATTTGCAGCTTGCTTGCCTGGGAGGGATGCAGCAGAGGGATTTTCAGGAGCCTTTGACCCCATCATCAGGTTCAGGAATTGGGAACCACTATTCAACACACTTGTAGGGCTATCTGCATGGCCAGGCTTAGGGAAGGGAAGGGAAGGGAAAGAGGGCAGGGGAAAGTTGACTCATCTACCTTTTGGAAGGAAATAGCAACATGCATGTGTGTTCCAGGTCACTGCCTCTATAGACAGCGAAGCAGGTGGGACCTTGACATCAGTCACACCAAAGCAGTCTCTTTGTGATGGACAGTGGCACTCAGTGGCAGGTATGTCATCCAAAAGCCTATTGTTCATGTATTAAAACACTCTCTTTACTTCTGAATTGAATAGCCCAAAGGTAGCTTCAGTCCATTCATCCATAGTACGTGACCAGGGTCAACCCACCAGGTTAACATGTCCATTCTCAACCCCAGCTGTGTTCAAATAGTTCAAGGCTGCTGCACCCAGCTCTCCATAACAGTCTTAATTTTTTTTTCAAGGTAATCTAACATTGTGATTCAGACTGGGACTCTGAAGTCAGTTCAATTTCAGGCCTATCCATCTACCCTAGATGACCTTGAGGAAGATAAGCTACTTAAGAGCTCTTTATATTCAGTTTCCTCACTGTAAAATTGAGATAAAAATGGTGCATGCCTCCTGGGTTGTGAACATGAAATGGGAAAATGTGTGTAAAGTACTTGGTCTACTGTCTAATGCAGAGTGAGCTGCTTTTACTATTATATTATTAAAGCTCCTTGAAGTATTATTTTTTTAACAATCATTTAATGTCAATGCAAACTACTTAGACAAACCAAAGGTAAAGAGCAGCCCGATCCTCTCAAATAGAATCTGTTATTTTATTAATAACCTGTGGATATGCGTTTAGAGATATGTAAACCTGAATTGGCTAGAATGCCTTTTGTGAAAGGTGATCTTTTCCTGACTACACAGAAAGCTAACTACATTGCAATTCGCTCAGATTGTCAACATGGGAGGAATTTGGTATCAAGAGCTATCTTTGATGTCAGTTTTCAGAAATCAGTGTCTTCGTTAAAAAATAGCTGAGATCAGTAGAAAGCAATGAAGTAAACCTGACTTCTGGAGACAGGAGATCAGGGTTTGAATCCCAGATTTCTAAACCAGGCCTTCTACTCAGGTCATAGAGAGTCACAGTCTCATATCTGGGAATGATAATGTCTTCCATGTAGATTCATTTTAAGAACTCACACTGCCTGGTGTTAAGAAGTTAGTTGAATTTATCCCAAACCTGTCAGAATGCCTACACACAGTGGCCCCAGGGGTCCTATGGGGATGAGTTAAGCAGTGGGAAAGGCTCTCATGTGACAGACCCAACCATTTTTTTTCCTTTCCAGTCACCATCAAACAACACATCTTGCACCTAGAACTGGACACAGACAACAGCTACACAGCCGGACAGCTTACCTTACTGCCTGACAACTCCCAAGAGACACTCCACATTGGAGGTGTCCCAGGTAACTCTGGCTCTGATTTCTTCTATACCCACGTTACGTTACCCCATGTCAGCTCTCAACATTTTCTTTTTAACCCAATATATACCACGTCCAGCAGATGGGTAATTAACAGGGCAGCCTTTGGCTGGATGGTGGAGATGGTGAGACCCTGCGCTCTAGCATGTACTAACAATGGGGGCACATTTCAGGGCAGTCCAGGTGACATTACTGCTGCATCCCCTCGACCCAAGCCTATAATTTATAAGCCTCTCTTAAGAGGTTATATTAACCCAGAAACCTGATATAAGCAAAGAACTAGGAAAGGGGCTGAACAATGTGTCTCTCTTCCCTGAGCATTTAGTTTTACTGCTAAATTATGAGGCTTTCTGGGGACAGAATGGGAGGATCAGGTGGGCAGGGAGGGAATCGAGTTCAAGGCTGGAATTTTGCCTGGAAAGAGCCTTTTCATTCTTTATAGTTTTATGGCCTTCCACATAGTCTGGTTGTTAATTTTATAGGCCTTTCATGACCCATAAAAAGCAGCAGAGTTCAGAGTTATTATCTATTGATTGGGGCTGTGGAATCTCCTCTGAAGAACTTGAGTAGCCTCGCTGCCAATGTATCGCAGCAGGTGCAGAGTCAGACGTCAGCTTAAAGAGGGGGAAATGTCTGGGTGGGATGAGACCAGGGGTCCCTTTAGCTCTTTCTAATAAGATTCTTTTGCAAAACTCAGGGTGCATTTGTCTGACACTCTGAACTATCCACTGACTCCCTCTTGCTTTTCTCTTTCAGCCAATTTGCAGACACTGAAACTCCCAGTGTGGAAATCATTTTTTGGCTGTCTGAAGAATATACAAGTCAACCACATCTCTGTTCCTGTTTCTGAGGCCACAGAAGTCCAAGGGTCTGTCAGTCTGAATGGCTGCCCTGACCACTAACCTCAGGCTACCACCCAGCAAGGAAACTCACCTTCAAAAGCACAGCGGGAGGACCTGATGTGCCTCTCTGCCCATTCAAGGTCATTCAAGGTGACTCAAGACACCATTAAGACAAGTTTGACAGCAGATTCAAAATTAGTTTTGAATTCCAACCACATAGACCTATCATTTGGGCATTTACTGCTAACTATGTATTTTATACCAAAAAAAAAAAGTCTTGAAGAAGATAAATTGTTATTCAAGCATATACATGATGTTTTGGCAATATTATTTTCTACTACAAATTAAATGTCTTTTAAAGAACACCCCCCCACACACACACACAAACAACACACTTGTTTAAAACATAAATCTCTTTAGAGCACTTTAAAAATATGAAACTTTTACATATGTTAAAGGGTTATAATTTATGAGGTTAAATAAATGCAGTGTACTCTTCACATTATGATGCTTTATTAATGTAGAACCAGGGGCTTGATGGTCATTGCTAACTGTGTTAATTCCTTAACACATATACAGTGTGCTACCTACAACATGGTTTTCTTCAGTTATCAAGCACATTCTGGGAGATTCTGTGTGCTCAGTGTGTGAACTACAGTGAGGTATTAGAAGTAATTCCTGCCCTTCAGGAATATGCAATTCAATTGGGGAAATAAAATCTTCATAAAATAATAAGTCACAAATAGAACAACTGAGCTCACTAATTAGTGAAGCCCATGGGTCACCCAATCCTTTCCTTCCCTGGTTCACTACCAACCAAGGTAGATTATGGTTATCAATTCCTTGATGGCACAAACCATCTAGTAGGAGAGCTGAGATGTATATATGTACCAAAACTGCCACTTGGTATGTCAGGTTAATAGAAATACATGGGAAGGAGAAATCACTTCTAGTTTTATTGAAAATTACTAGATGATATACTAGACCAATATTTGTTAAGGAAAGCACCACTTCGCCTAACAAAGAAGACTATGAAAACATTTCTGTGTCTTTAACATTGTATCTCTGTTCATTAGGAGGAAAACATTGATTCTAAAAATTGGGTAGGATAATCCTGTAGGATGTCCTTATAGATATGTGCCCTCCACCTGTGAAATTGAGTCACATTCTTTTATAACTATTACACTGTGGTCTTATGGATATGCTTTCTAATAACTGAATATGTACAAAACTGGAATGTTCTCCTGGAGAGGTAGCCAAGACCCACCGTAGGGAGGTTGAGTGGTTGACCTTAGAGACTCTCTGTTGCGTGAGAGGCTGAATTACATGACTAAGTCACATGCTTTCTGAAAACACTGATTTTCAAATGAAAAATTCCCCAGGCAATTAACCACCCAGGAACCAAGTCAGCAGGAAGATTGTTCATGTTACGTATCTTTGACAGGTCTTTGCTGAACCTAAACTTCTCTCTTCTGGGTTCCTGGTTTTAGTCTCACTGGATGTACCGGGTTATTCAATCATACTGATTATTTGTTAGAACCTCCTAGATTCATCATAAAGGGGCAGTTAGTTCTCCACTGACTCACCCCATGACTTCCCCTCCATTCTATAATAACAAGAAGAACCACCACCCATCTGCATTTGCTGACTAGAATGCCAGCCACCAGAAAGCACAGAGTCCCTGATGAATTACGGTTGAGGAAATGCGAATCCCCCGGGCAGCTCTTCTCCACTTGTAAATGTGTTCTTCTCTTAAAGAGAAGAACCATTTTGAAGATTTTTTTTTTTTTTTGGTAAAGTTCCAAATGTTATCACTGTCATCTTATTTTTGGTTTATACGCTTGTACAGATTGGGCTGACCTTGGGGTGAGAGGCTAAGTAGGGACAGTGGTATCATGGATCAACAACTCTTTCCCACAGTCCACTATTGTTTCCTGCTATAGTTTGGATATTGTCTAATTGTTTATTACTCAAAGGTCCATTATTTTAAAGGCTCAGGTGAGGGTCTTGGGAGGTGCTGCAGACCTTTCTGAGGTAAGTTCCTAGTGGGAGGTCCTTAGATCATTGGGATAGACCCTTGAAAGGGGTTGTGGGAGTCCACATTTATCCCCCCTCCCCCACCCCTCCTCTTCATTTTTAATCTCCATATTAATCCTTTGTCTGATGAATAGTTTGAACATATTTTCTCCTGTTCCGCAGGTTTTCTCTTCACTCTGTTTATTGTTTCGTTTGCAAAAGTCGCTTAGTCTGATAAAATCCCATCTGTCTACTTTTGCTTTTGTTGCCATTGCTTTTAGGGTCTTATCTCAAAAAAAAAATGCCCTATATTGATGTATTGAGTGTTTCCTCAGTGTTTTCTTCTAGCAGTTTTATAATTTCAGGTTTTTTACATCTAGATCTTTGACCCATTTTGAGTTCATTTTTTTTTGATATGGTGAAAGATAAGAGTCTAATTTCATTATTCTGCCTTTGGACATTCAGTTTTCTCAGCACCATTTATTAAAAGGAGTGTTCTTTGTCAAAAGTTCCTTTGTCAAAAGTACTATAGAGGCATGGATCTATTTCTGAGTTCTCCGTTCTGTTCCATGGGTCTGTGTGTTGGCTTTTATATCAGTACCATACTCTTTTTGTTACTGTAGCTCTGTGGTATGGTTTGAGGTCAGGTATTGTGATGTCCTCGGCTTTATTCTTTTTGCCTATAATTACTTTGATTATTTGTGCTTCTGTCTATTTTTCTTTCTTTTAACATGGATGATACTGGTAAGAGAATGGTGGAAAGTGACAGATGTCTTATTTTTCTAGTTTCCCCATTTGCCCAACAATATAACTTAATCCACAGGCATAGAAATTCTGGAACCACATCTTCATATTTGAGAATGAAAATCAGAAACAAAATTGGAGTATTCTTGTTCATTATTTTCAGGATGAGGAATAATTATTCTCCCAAAGCAGAGGGCAAACTTCTGAGATGATGAATACCACTTACTGGAAATGCTTTTTCTGTTCTTTGCTCATAAAGGTTCCCGTGACCCCAGAATGTAAAGAGTATCTTTTCACTGCCAGAAGTTTCAATTCCCCATGAATTTTGAATGTGCGGTTCATTTCACTCTACACTGTCTTCAATAAAAAGAGAATTGGGAGTTTCAGAGAATAAAGGACCGGAACTGTTCACCGCACTTGAGACTTCATGAATGCACACTGATAGCACAGCACATACCTAATGATTAATCCATCCCTTGCTCAAAAGGCTTTTGCTAATTTATCAGTAATTCTGATTGCATCATACTCAAGGGGCATGCATTCCTGGACAGTCACAATGGAGCTTTGTATGCAGTGATAAATGTCAGTGTGGTGTCTTGGCAAAAGGCAAATTTCAGGAGGTAGTTGCTGTTCCTTCAGGGACTCGGAGTCCTCAGAAATTAAATCTATATTCTGAAAAAGAAGTGACCCAATTTATCTAGCATTCAATTGCAGTGCTGTCAACAGAAAATAATATTAATATCCATGTTTTCTTAAGAAGGGCAATGTCTTGGTGAGGGGAACCTGTGGCAGGCTGAAGTGCATTCTGGGTCACTTCCTGGGCCAAAGATTAGCTGCTGCTGTGACAGTTCCTGACAAGTCCAACTTCCAGTAGGGTTTGTCTTCTATTCCTTAGTTCCACATAATCCATTTAATCCTACTTTCCTACAAGAAGAGAAAAGCACACACACACACACACACACACACACACACTTCAGAGAAGAACTATGGCTCTTAGAAGTCTCTTGCTCCAAATCTACTCCTGCTGTCTTGAGCCTACAGTTTCAGCTGAGGTTTAAGTATGCAGGCTCTTTGTTGTGAGGCTTAGAATATTCTAGAAGTTAGAAGAACAGATATTAACTCTCTTACTTTGCAAGTCATCTCTCGGAGTTAAATGAGATGATAGATGTGAAAATGTGATGAGAATATCACATTCTACTTCATGGAATAGAAGTGTCAAAAGTTAAATGCTTCCTTCAGCATTAGTTATTTCTAGGAAGTATTTGGAAATTCAACTATTCAAAAGAATAAAAGCCAAAGACCTAATAAGGATCTTTCCTATTCTGATTTGGACTGATGTTTGTCACTTTTTCTGATTTGTCCTTGTAAGGAAACAGAAAAGGAAGAAAATTTCCCTCTGTGTTATGTAGCTGTTGTGTAGCATGGCTATGTACATAAGTAAAGTATATTTCCAATTAAGAAGGAACCTCTGTAGTAAAAGCATTTGTTTGAGACTTTTCTTGGCTGGCAAAGTCAGCTCTGCCCACCTATGTGGCAGGTGAGCTGCAGAGAGCATTAACTTCCAGGTGCATTCTCCAACAGTGACTCATGGGAGTTGGCGTCTAGCTCCCACACTCCTAGTGTATTAATCAGGAAGAAGTGAACCAATAGGTGGTATGATTATAAAAAGGGGGTTTATTAGATTGGCTTAGGTAACCAGAAGCTGGATAGTCTACATTGGCCATCTGCAGGCTGGAGAGCTGGAGGAACCAGTAGCTGCGCAGTTCAAGAGGCTGAAGCCTCAGAACAAGAGGAATCAGCAATGTACCCCAGACTAAGACTGAAGGCTTCTGGAAACTCCCTGGAGAATCACTGTCAGAGTCCACTTTAGAATAGTGAAGGAGCAAGAGTCTGATATCCTCAGGTGATACAGCAGCAATCAAGAACATGTTCAAGAAGAATGGAGCTTGCATCTGCTGCTGCTTCCTTGTTCTTCCAACTTTTATTCCATCCAAGCTTACCACCCAACCCATTGGATGGTGCTGCCCACACATGGGGAGGATCTCCACTTCAGTTCAATATCCCACATGCCAATCATTCCTAGACACATCCTCACTGACACACCCCGAAGCCACTTAATCATCAACTTTTCTTACTCCAATCAAGTTGATAATTCAAATTAACCATTACACCTAGGAACAGAAATTCTACACTGATTCTTGGAGGTTCCCCAGAAGAATTACAATCTAGTCACCCACACTGGGAAGTGGTTTGGGAATATTCTTTCATTGTCTGCCTTCCCTCCTTTGTTTCCCTCCCTCATTTCCCTTCCCCTATTATTGGCAAGAATACCTTTACTCAAATTCTTGCTCAGGGTCTGCCCCAGGGAAACCCAACTTAGGCACCCTCCAAAGCATAGACAATCTTGTGGTAGATTTGGACAATATTATATTTGTGTTACAACGAATTCTTGTTTTCACCAAGACAATGAAAACTGTCATGTAAGCTCATTGCGTCAACCAGCATCAAGAAATTCTTTGATCCATGAGGACTCACTTTGATTTATTAATCATCAGATTGTGGTGGGAATTTTGACTTGCTTACCAAAGGAGACTATCTTCTGAATAATAATGTTCATTGGTACTAATGACACCTTATATTTGAACATCATTTTACAGTTTAGAAATAAATTTAACATATATTTCTACTTAGTCCATCACAGGCAAAGAGAGGAGGATTGCTTTTCCAAATTCTAGGATAG